CTAAGCGGCCCTAAAAAGCCCCACACTGTAATTTTCCTATCATATCTTAAGACACAAAACAATACACCCTTTTCTGAAAAAACAAAGCCGCCCCTGGTCCAAAATATGTACAGAATCAGACTCAGCGGCCATCAAAACCCTCCTGCTGAGCTTTTCAACGCCGTATCTTGAAGTGGTGAGAGGAGCGAGTGGACACACATCCCAACATCGAGAAGCCCCCCCGCAAGTATCTTTACATACCACAAGTTCTGCAACACCTGACAGACTCTTCAGTGAGAGCGGAAACATGAGACGGACAAAAATAATTGTTGACGAGAACATTTGACCATATGGCATATTATCTTCTTTAATGAATTTCTTTTGTGGGAACATGTACTTCCTCGTTGACTTTTCAAGGGAAAACAAAAATACACACAGAATAGGACATAAAATGCTCACTGAAAAATGGGGGGGCCGTGAAACACGATTTTTCGATATCGCAACCGTAATAGCGCGCCAAAGTTACTTCATGGCAATACAAACAAAACGCGATCTGGGCCGGTCTGTAACCTAAGCTTGACCCTCGCGCATCGACGTTGAAAATTCGAAAATTCGACTTTTAGGGGTTTTTTTCTAAAAACCGCCATAGAAACTGAACCAGATGTCCAAATGATGTTTCCGAGACGGAAATGGAAACGTTGATCATGCTTTATCAGTTTAAGACCACCGGGACCCTCTCCGAGCAGTAGGAGCCCAAATGGGAAAAATTAAAAAATTACCATTTTTTTTCGTTTTTTACAAAATGCAAAAATTGCCTTTAGGGTTTGATACGGCCATCCTGATGTCACCGTACCCGAACCATACCCCGAATCATCTTCTCTAAGGACCCCTTTCCCTTTTTAAGCGCACGGGGTCCCCCGGGGATCCGTTCACACGTTGGGATTTGGACGCCAAAAACCATGTTTTACTAAAAATGCAAATTATGGGACTCACGGCACTGTGGGGCACTCGTCTCGTCCGTATGAACTGTAGTGACTCTAAATAGATTACTAGATGGTGTCTTTGCGTGGCAGGAACCCACCAGTATATAGACAATCGGACGAAGAGCCCTTTAGAACGCTATTTCCATTGAAGGTTCGGTTAAATCCGTTTTCCAAACATGAAGTTTTCACTGTACTGCTCTTGGCTCGCCCGGAAAATCCAAACGACTCAGCCCTCCCCATCAGAAGGTGGCAGTACGTCGAGATTCACCACCACCCTTCCCCAAACCCAAACCAGAGGTGGGGCTGCGACACACTGTTAAAAAGGCCGTACATTTTAAAGGGAAAAAAGGTACGGCTAGACCGTCCCACCCCGATGTACAGAAAGCTGTCCCAAAAAAAAACCGTGCTTCCCATGAGAGCCCATGTCATAAAAAACCCGTACTCCGTACCCCAAAAGCCGTACTGGCTGAGGTACGGTGGTACCAGGCAAATTTTTCCACCAACTGTGACTGTATTTTTTCCCGTGGATTTTTCCTACAGCGCATGTATAAGCTGACACCTCGATACTGTATGCAGGAGATTCGAGAAAAACGAAAAGGGTAGAGTACGCCAAAACGAAGGTAAATGTTTACCTGTGAGAAGACATGACTTCCAAAAATTTGGGCAACTGGCGTAACAGACGCTGCGGCTGTCGCAGGCAGTCCCACGCACAAATTTTAACGGAATTGAGAAACAACCTACGATTTACGAAACCAAACAAAAAAGCGGCGTGTCTACGGGCGGCTCAGCTCTACTAGCGCACCAAGCGTAAGTATGTCCCCTGGGCCGTTGCAAGCGGACATAATAAGAGAGAGAGAGAGAGAGGAAAAGAGAATCTATACGAAGGGTAAGAAAAACCTTATAAACGTGCAGCGACCTTCTGTCGTTAATCCAGACGAGCCATTTGCGGCTTAAAATACGTGTTAATTTCCAAATTTAAAGAGATATACAGTGTAAAAACGTTCTAAAGGTCTCTTCGTGCGATTGTCTTTATACTGGCGGGTTCCTGCAACGCAAAGACACCATCCATTATCGATTTTGAGTCACTACAATTCATACGGACGAGACGAGTGCCCTACAGTGCCCTGAGTACCATAATTCGCATTTTTAGTAAAACATGTGTTTTTGGCGTCCAAATCCTAACGTGTGAACGGATCCCCGGGGGACCCCTGCGCTTAAAACGGGGAAAAGGGGGCCTTAGAGAAGATGATTCGGGGGATGGTTCGGGTACGGTGACATCAGGATGGCCGTATCAAACCCTAAAGGCAATTTTTGCATTTTTTAAAAAACGAAAAAAAATGGTAATTTGTAATTTTCTCCCATTGGTCTCCTACTGCTCGGAGAGGGTCCCGGGGTCTTAAACTGATAAAGCATGATCAGATGTTTCCATTTCCGTCTCGGAAACATCATTTGGACATCTGGTTCAGTTTCTATGGCGGTTTTTAGAAAAACCCGTAAAGTCGAATTTTCGAATTTTCAACGTCGATGCGCGAGGGTCAAGCTTTAAGTTATAGACCTGGCCCGATCGCGTTGAGTTTTATTGCCTGAAGTAACTTTTGGGGCGCTATTACGATTGCGATATCGAAAAAACGTGTTTCACGGGCCCCCCCTACTGAAGAAGCTTGTCACACTTGTTGGGACTGGGGACTGTTCTTGAGCTGCAGACAGAAAAATGACATCAGAAAAAAGAGATGCAACTTGAGAGAGAAAATTTTAAGTAAATTTGATTGCCAAATAAAAACCCCGAACAAATGACCCCAAGATAGTTTGTTTTCGGCTTGGAACGTTCCACATGGACATGTCGTTCATGTTGGCGCTAGGGAAAACTTTGACGGGTAGCGGTCTGGAAGAATTGTTAAGCACGGTGTATGCAAGGAACGCAGTGTCACACATGCTGACAGGCAAGGCGTACGCGCTCGGATTTGACCTACGACCAATGGTTGCTGAGATGTTGCCCTCCAAAGTTGCGTTGTTTCAATATTTTGCAAAAAAGTAAATTGGCCAAAGCCCCCCCTGGGGTGCCGGACCCCAAACCAAGTACCGATTATTTCATGGGACCATAGGGGGAAAAAACCCTGAAAACAAGAACCGGATCGGAGCCCATGGTGGCTAAGGCCTGGTTGACTTCACAGGAAGTCCCTACTGTCGACCACCGACTGGCCGCCCATGCCCCGCTACTGAGCCCTGTATTGTTGCCACTGCCCCGGCAACTTTCGCGGCCACCGTTCGTGCCTCACTGATTTTTTTTTGGCAAAAATTTTTTAAAATTTTTAAAATGTTTGACCACTGCTCAAAAGTCACGGACGTTTTTAAGGTTTTTGACGGACAGGATCCTAAATCACTGGCAGAGTTGCAACACGAAGGTTCCTCAGAAATAGAGTTTTTAGTCGTCGCCGATCAAAGAACAAGAAGAACCAACCGGAAATGGCCCTGGCAAATAAAAATGAGTAATTGATTGCAGGAACCAAGCTGTCATTTGCCCAAATTCGAACTTGCCCCAAAAATACAAACATGAGGTACGTGTGCACTAGTTGTGCACTGCGTTCTACTGTCATACTGAACACACTACGGTATCCCTCTCAGGTTGTCAATCACTCTGAAAATTTTGTTGACCCCGTGACGGGGGGTCGCACCAATGCAGTTGAGGGTACTGAAACAGATGTAAGGGGTTCTTCAGGCGGGAAGGCGCAATGACAACCCTCTGACCTACTCCCCGGCCACATTGACGAAATCATGTGGCGCGAAGTGTATGATCAAGGAGAGCCGAAGGAGACCTTCAAGAACTTGTTGAGTCACACGGAGCTGCCAACTTCACCCACCCTGGAGCGTAGTTGTATGCTTCATTCAAGCATACAACTACGCTTGAAAGATTTACGCTTGAAGTCGAGCGTAGAGGCGCAATCCTCCCATTCATTTAGAAAGGCGGGAGAGGGGCAAAATGGAGAACTACACATGAAGCCGAGCGTAGTTCTACCACGCTTGAAGAAATGCGTAACAGTACGCTTCATTTTTCCAGTGCTTGTTTGAAGTGAGCTTGGATTCGAGGTTCCAGACGTAAGTATTTTGATATCTTACATGATAAGTATCGAGAATGACATGACTCTGATATCTGAGAAACACGGTGAATTCCATCTAAAGGTCACATTAGAGTGTATTGACACGTTGAAAAGGTATGATCTGGAAATAGTTCGTGAAACGCGGTGAAACGACATACACGCGACTAATATGTATATGAATGTAATTTGATGTTACCCAATAGGTGGGGCCGGGTACGGATGGTCGGACCTGGCGCAGCATCGCGAAGCCTGTTACGACAAGGCACGGTCTGTCGTACACCTACCTTGTCCACCTCTACAGCTCACAATTTAAACGGAAATATTCCAGTACGAGAACGGGAACACCATGTAGTGCGTTAGCATAAAAATATTCTTTTCGTCGAAAGTTTGAGCATGAGCAATGAGAACATGTTGACGTCAAGTGACGTCCCAGTGAGCGTTCGGTGATCCCACGGTGCTGCCGCCGCAACGGTGGCACGAAGTAATTGTTGCAGATCCAGAACTGCTAATTTGTGATATCTGCCATGCCCCACACCACACTACACTCGGTAAGCCATAGCAACCTCACTGAATTTCCAAACGTGGTCCAGACCGCACCACTGGTGTGGTCAGATGGGTGCCATTTTGACCACATCAGTTGGTGTGGTCTAGACCACGTATGGCCACGTTTGGTGCGGTCAAAATGTCATCCATTTGACCACACCAGTTGGTGCGGTCTAGACCACGTTTGGTTTTTCAGTGCTTTTAGGCTCTGTTGTGTCCCGAACGATGTGACGTCACAAGCAGTCTACCAGCGGTTCGTGCAAACAAAATTGCCCACTTTTATACTAGAGTTTTTTTCTCACATGGCTCGCACGGTGTAGTCATTGTCACCAACTAGATTCCGCAGCGTTTGACGTTAGTGCCTCACGGGAAAACCACTCAATGGAACGACTCGTGTTAGTTTTTATGTCATTCCGAATCGGACACATTTGCACCTGCGTTGCGCTCGGTCAGAAGCGAAGCCTGTGCAGACGTCCAGTGTGCTAGCGCCATGTTGCTCCTAGTCGCTGTTCTGCTGCTCTCCACCGTCGAGGGACAGTCCGTCAACAGTTTCGCGGTCAGTGGTGCTAATAACAAAATTATATTATAAACAAATTGTTATACACTCTAATAGTTGTACAGAGAAGATTCTCTATAACATGGTGGAAATATTCCGTCTTGGTGCAGCTGACTTCATAACATACCATTGTGAATTCCCTGTACCTTGTATGACGAATTAAGGTGGTAACGGGGAAAACCTACATCACAATATGTTGGTGAAGCCTTTCACCGTAAGACATTTACAATGCAGGCTGATTTTGCCAATACACGAAAAACTGACTTCGAAAGTCTTGTTCACCATGGATGTATAAGTGGGACGCTGTTTCGTATCACGTTCACGTGGATTTCTGAGCACATGACTATCAATATGGAGCTTGCCGCTGGCTGGGCGAGCGCCGTAGACCAAGGTAGGTGTAAACGCCAGGCGTAGATTGTTTGGACTGGCTGGCGGTGCATCGCGAAGCCTGTTACGACAAGCCTTGGTCTGGCGTACACCGACCTTGTACAATGGATCCTCACCCGTAGGACACCCCGTCAAAAATTTTAGTCCTATTAAGCTTCTACTCGCCGTATACCTTTGTACCATTTAGTACGCGACTAAAGCTTTGGGCACAGAAAATCTTTATTACCCATTTGACCTCTGAAGTCGCACTGATACGTGCGAAATTTTGCATAACTTCGTACGGAAGGCATACGCATATTCGAAACGAGATCATGCTTCCAACTTGCTCTACAAACTCAAGTAGCAAACTCCACCTGGAGCCAACCTGGCATGTACTCTCCACCTGGAGTCAACCCAGCATGTGCACTGTTGCTGAAGTCCTCCACCTCTTGCATGTAACGCAGCAACAGTGTGCTTGCAGGTACACGGCAAGCATGCTCCAGCGCGAAGTGTACATTCTACGTTGACTCCACCCACACTAAATGTTATGTGCAATTTCGTACGAGACATCACAGTTTTTTAGTGCACACGAACTTTTCGTACAAATTTTGTACGAAAAACTGCACAAGTTTCACGATTTTTGTGCAAAATTGCGTACAAATTTGTACGTTAAAATCGTGCACACAGGAGTTAATGGCGGTGTTCTCCAGGGTCCCTTCGATCTGGAGCTGCAACGAGTGGAGGCCTGCCCGAGCGCAATCAGCGGCCTCAACCTCTACAACATCACGCGGGGCCTGACTCAAGACAAGAAGTACCCGACGCGGTTCTACGCCGCCGGAGTGATAAATCACTCCTTCAACATCATGCCCTCAGTAGCGGTAAGGCACGATTGAGCGATTCTGCCATACAGACGCGTAAGAGTCGCTTGGAACTGGAACCGAACGTGTGACTCCACCGGAGTCCTCGTTCCGATGGCAATCGATTGGTGGTCACACGTTCGGATCGAGTCCCATTTAGGGACTCCGGAGCTCGAAACGCGCCCGGGATCTTGGCCGTCTTCACCGCCCAGAGGGTTAGACCAGTGGAGGCGGCCTTAACTCTTGACGCAGATAGAGCTGCACAGTCGCTAAACAGAAGTCGAACTAAGCGTGTGACCCCACCCATGGATTGCTCTCCGAAGGAGGAATCCATTGGTGGGGTCACACGTTCGGTTTGAGTCCCATTTAGCGACTCAGGAGCTCGAAACGCGCCTGGGATGTTGGCCGGCCCCACCGGTCTTCTGGCCCACTGTGCGCCGCTTCCATGTAACCTCCGATCCGCAGGTTATCGTGAGAGTGAGCAGCTGGAACCGCGGTCGCTGGAAGGAGAACGTGTACCACCACACTGTCCCCCGCGCGTGCGAAGAGTTCAAGGCCCGCGCCGAGGATCCCGCATCGAAGCGCCTCCTTCGCAGCGCCCTCGGCCCCGACTTCAGTGTCACCTGCCCCTTCCCCGCAGTGAGTGCCCAGGGCGCGGTCAACATTCTATTCTGGCGGCAGCAGGACACGAACGTGCACACACTGAAAATGTCTTACGGTGAAGGGCTGAACCAACATATTATGGTGGATATTTTCTCCATAATACCAACGAAATTCGTCAAATTATCTATAAGGTACAGTGAATTCTCAACGGTATGTTAGGAAGTCAGCTGCACCACCATAATATGGAACATTTTCACCATAATATGGAGAATGTATACACTGCTCAGTGCTTTTAAAGTGGTATTATCAGCGCGACGCACCGACGCTTGCGTGCACGCATGCATGCACGCACTCCCGCCTTGTCGCTAGTGCTCTTCCAAACTGCCCTTTATCTTGTATGCCAATAGTTTCGAGCATTGTTATGTGACAAAATGTCATTCTAAATCCTGTCGGATGAAAAAAACACCTTTCTATATGAATTCCATGGCGATCCGCAACCCATGCATGCATGCATGCATGCAAACATCCATGCGTATGGATTAACTTTTCAGACCCCGGTATCTATCATCATGGTATCCAGAGGCACGTTGGATTTCTAATCTTGCCTTGGGCTCGGACATGCTTAGTCAGACCTCTTAATCATAGAACTCGAAAAATTTTTTTTGATTTACACTCCATACTGAAATGTCCTTTTTTTAAAATTAAAATTTTTTGTGGGTCGATGTGCTTTCTTAGGTTATGATGTCCTCAGTCGTAATTTTTTTGTGCACAACCCACACCGTTGAAATGAACAACAAATCTGAGATTTTACAGTAATTTCAGGTAATGTAAATTTAAGTAATGTAAATAAAATCCCAACTAGACAAAAAATATTAAAAAATCACTATAGGGCTGCGTAAAACATTCAGTGAATTACCATAGACATAAACACATGTGGTGTCACAGACTCTAAGTAAGATTTTAGGGGTAGGCAGAGAAGCTCAAAACCCGGGTGAAGGATCTATAGTGAAACTGCAGTTTAAACTGTAGTGCCAAAAACTACAGTTCCCTGAACTGCAGTTTTTGGTAAGAACAAAGTGCAGAATAAGTCCAGTTTCAGTTTGCTCATGGATCTGTAGTTTGCTGTGTATGTAAACTGCTTTCTAGCTGAACTGCTATTTGTTGACCAGGTATTAAGTACTATCTGTAGTTAACAAGTGAAGTTAAAAGTTTTTTAATACTACTCTACTTTAATAGTCCACTACTGAGATCCGCCTTCACTTATATCTGCAGCAGGTTCTACAAAGGAATTGTGAGAACCGTTTCATAGCCTTCTATGCTTCTTTTCTACTTCACCCCAAAATTCTCATAAGGCTCGGCTCTCTCTCCCCCCTCCTCTCAACTTCCCCTCCAAGCAGCTCTGGGATCATTCTGCATCGAGCTGTCGTGTCGTGATTACTCCCTGCCTTCCCTACACTCAACTCTACTCTACGAACTTAGCACTGGCGACGAGGATTACGAACTTCAACGGGCAACAACCTGCCATCGTCAAGTTTTGGTGTCTACCTCTGAGCAACAACCTCGGTATGTACTTTTATGGCATGGCATCTTGGCGATAATCAGTTACGCTTACTGTTCCCCGATATGGTGCTACCGGACCGCGTTGAACCCAGTGTTTTGCGTGCGTTTCGGCACGCCGCGTTTCCAAGTGATGGGTCCGTTGAATGGGACGTGTGGAAGCTTTCTTTTGAGTTCGCGTTAGAGGCGGCTACCGTCGAACATGAGGACGACAAGAAACCCCTGCTCCTTGCCCATATCGGGGCTACTGCCCTTCAACTCCTGGCATCGCTCTTGTATCCAAACAAGTTGCAGCAAGCCACCTATGCCGAAATCGTTCAAAGATTGGACGGCCACTTGGGCCCTCAGGAGTCTCTCGTTATTGCCGTCGAACGGTTTAGGAATCGCAAGCAGGGGTCTGACACGGTGCGCGTATGGCTCGCGGATTTGCGTCGTTTGGCGTCTCGCTGCAAGTTCACGAATTTCGAACAAGAAATGTGCTCGCAGCTAGTTCGCGGCGTGGCGTCCACTGCAAACAAAGTGCGGTTATTGGAGGAGCCCAACCTGACAATGGCCAAGGCCCTCGAGTTGCTCAATGCATGGGAGCTCGCGCGCGAATCAACAGTGGAATTGGGCTCGAGTCAACAAAACCTGCACGCTGTGGCCACGACGCTGCCCTCCAAGGGCGCGCCGGCGGCACAGCCCGCGCCGCAGCCCGCTGCGTCGGGGGCGCGGGGCAACAACAACGCCTCAAAACAACAGGTGGCCAAAGCAGTACCGGGCCAGCCCTGCCCCTCGTGTGGGCGGGTTGTGCCCAAAACCGATGGGATGTGCATGCGTTGTGGCGGTAAACACTCCCCTACAACATGCAAGCACCTCGGTAGCACTTGTAATTACTGCAGCATTGTTGGTCATCTCGAGAGTCAGTGTTTCAAAAAGAAACGCGACGAAAAGGCGGCCGCGGCGGCGGCGCTAGCACAGCGTTCGAACGCAAGCCCGGCTGCTTCCCCGGTGCCCGCTCCGGGCCCGGCGGTGCACGCGCTCGCCGCGTCCGAGGCGCCGGCAGACGGTCATGCGGACTCGTGTTTACAAAACATGTACAGTCCGGAGTACGGCTTGTACACCTTGACCGCTGCTGGCGACCGGCTGGAGATTACCCCGAACGTGCTCAGTGTCAGTGTCCTGATTGACGGTGTGCCCGTCTCTGTCGAGCCCGATACCGGGGCCGGCGCCACACTGATAAACGTCAGCCAATTTCACAAGTTGTGGCCTGGCCGTACATGGGAGCCAGCGGACCTGGGGCTGCGTCAGTGGACTGGGCTACCGGTTCAAATTCTCGGACAGTGCACTGTGCTCCTCTCGCAGGGAGACCGTTCGTGCCAGGCGAAATTGCACATTGCTGAGGGCAGCGGGCCATTGGTCATGGGTCGCGATTGGTTGTCGCTTCTAGGCTATACGCTAACTAGAAACTTGCACCATGTCCAGAATCCCTCCCTGGTACCGCACGCCGACGACGGGGTGCCGGAGCACGTACGGAAGTACGCGTGTCTCCAGAGCGGCCTAGGTAAATTTACCGGTCCACCCGTGGAACTGCAGGTACGGCCAGACGTAACGCCTGTCGCTCTTAAAGCTCGTCCGGTCCCTTATGCCCGTCGCGATGCGGTAGGCGCGGAGCTGGATAATTTGACCCAGCTTGGGGTAATTACGCCAATCACGGAATCGGTCTGGAGTACCCCCATTGTCTGCGTGCTCAAAGGAGACGGGTCGATACGTATCGCCGGCGATTATCGTAGTACGATAAATAAAGCCTTGCAGCCGGATCCGTACCCGCTTCCGACGCTCCCGGAGGCCTTCGCCAAGCTTGCGGGGGGCGTTATTTTTACAAAACTCGATTTAAAGTTAGCCTACAACCAGGTATGCGTGACCGACGAGACGGGCCTGTTGCTTACGCTCGCCACCCACAAGGGCCTGTATAAGATGAACAGACTGCCCTACGGCGTCTCGCGCGCCCCTGCCATTTTCCAGAGAATCATTGATTCCCTGTTGTCTAACATTGAGGGCGTTATTGTCCTCCTGGACGATATTCTAATTTCGGGTCGCTCCCGGGCCGAGCTTCGTACCCGCGAACTAAATGTCCTCCAGAAATTGAGTGACGCGGGGTTCCGAGTCAAGGCCAACAAATGCCAATTTGGGGTGGCCTCGGTTCAATACTTGGGTCACATAATTTCTGGCGAGGGGTTGAGCCCTTTAAATGATCGAGTGGAGGCCCTCCGTGAGGCTCCGCCACCATTAGACGTTCCCCAATTGCAGTCTTTTTTAGGAAAACTTGCGTTTTACGAGCGTTTTCTTCCTAATAGGGCTGATATTGTCGCCCCCTTGTACAAGTTGCTCAAAAAGGACGTGCCATGGACATGGGGAAAGGTGGAACAGGAAGCGTATGACGCGGCGAAAAGCTTGCTTTGCCAGTTTCCCGTGCTAACGCATTACGACCTAAACCTCCCCCTCTGTCTTAGCGTGGATGCCAGCGCGTACGGGATTGGAGCGGTCCTCGCGCACCGCTATCCTGACGGCGCAGAGCGTCCTATCGCGTTCGCGTCGCGTACCCTCAGCGCGCCTGAGAGAAATTACGCGCAGGTTGATAAGGAGGCGTTGGCGGTGATTTTTGGAGTGGTGAAATTTCACCAGTACATTGGTGGGCGTTCGGTAAAAATATTTACCGATCACCGCCCGCTGGTATACCTGCTCACAAACCCGCTTTCACCAATGGCAAGTGCCCGCATGACGCGGTGGCTTTTACTTCTAAGTGCCTATGATTTCTCCGTGGAATACAGGCCAGGGAAAAGCCACGCAAACGCGGATGCACTTAGCCGTCTTCCTTACGAGAAGGCCCCCCAGGGTAGCCCTCCGGATCCACCCGAAGTTTATGTGCTCTCCATGCCCGCCAATCGGGCTGGAGCCTTGTGTGCCAAGGACGTGGCGCAGCACACGCTGCAGGACGCCACGTTGTCTCAGGTCCTAACTTGGACTCGCACAGGGTGGCCCGCCGAGTGCCCTGGGGATGAGTTTCGGCCGTATTTTCGCGACGGGCCGACCTCTCCATTATTCGTGACACCCTTGTGTGGGGGGACCGTGTGGTCATTCCCCGCGCCCTGCGTGAGTATGCTCTGCAAAAATTGCACGAGCCTCACCAGGGTGTTGTAAAAACGAAGAGGTTGGCCCGCTCCCTCATGTGGTGGCCACAGATCGACCAACACATAGAAAAATGTGTGGGGGCCTGTGCACTCTGTCAGGCGACTCGCCCCATGGCGCCCCTGGCGCCCTACAAACCTTGGCCAGAATCTGAGCCTTGGGAGCGCCTTCACATTGATTTCGCAGAGCCCACCAATAAAAATTACATTTTAGTGTTGGTCGATCCGGCTACTAACTGGATCGATGCGTGGCCAGTGTCTGGGCCTAGCACTGCTAGTGCCCTAGAAAAGCTGGACGAAGCGTTCGCCCAACACGGCCTCCCTGAATTAGTAGTCACGGACAATGCAACGGCCTTTTCCTCCCCTGTTTTCTCTGAGCATTTGGCCAAGTTAGGGGTGCGGCATTTAATGCCGGCCCCTTACTGCCCCTTTAGTAACGGACCGGCCGAAAAGGCCGTCCAAACTGTCAAATCGTTGCTCAAGAAATTCGTCGGGGGGACCCTGAAGGACCGGTTGCGACGTGCACTTCAATCCCATCGTTTCACCCCCGGAAAACATAATCTGAGTCCGGCTCAGCGCCTGAACAATAGGCAGCCCCGCACCGTGGCGCACAAGTTGCGCCCGGAAAAAGGGGATATTTGTTTTCCGGTTGGGACTGCAGTTTGGGCTGCAAATTACAAAGCGGGGAAGCACCATGGGTGGCTGCCTGCCGTAATTAAGGAACGTAAAGGCACTGTTATTTATGTGGTCCAATTGTTGCAGGGCGAATGTCTTGTTCGTCGACGAAGCCAGTTACGCCGGCGTCACACCATGGACCCCCCCCAGCCGATGGACGACGTCGACGAGGACACCTTGATGCTGGACAGCCCCACCGCGACGCGGACCCGTCGGTCATGGTGGGATCTGCACGAGGAGGACGACCCCTGGACGGCGGTAGCAGAGGACATTCTCGAGGAGTTGGGGCCGGGTTCCATCCCCCTCCCGGCCGACGGAACCCTGCCCACCACACCGCCGCGGCAACCGCGGTTGCCCGTGTGGACGGGGCCGAGCCCTCTGGAGGCTTCGCCACCGCCACCAGGACCGCCACCAGGGTCTCCTACAACGGAGCCTCCTCATCCTCCACATGTTCCATCACCCCCGTCGCAGCCACCCGTGGTGCCCGCGGTCGCACCGGTGCCCCCCGTAGGGCCCGGGGCCGCGCCCGTCACGTCGAGCGTGGCGACCTCCCCGCGGTACCAATGGCCAGGGTTCGCGACGCCGGGCAGGGGTCCCGCGGCTCCAATGGTCGACGCGGCCACCTCCCCCATCGTCATGCGGGAGGCGAGCGGTGCGTCGCGCCAGCACAGCACGGAGCCAGCGTCGACCCCCGGGGATGTCAGACCGCCGTCCATCCTCCCGCCCCTGCGCCAGGACGCAGGGCGCGTCGAGGAGTCGACGTCGAGGGCGTCGACCTGGACGACGTCCTCCCCGACGTCGCCGCCCTCTTTGAGTCTCCAACCCGACGCCGCTCCCCTAAGCCCGGAAACCAGCACAAGTAAGGATGACGAACGCAGCCCAGTTGATTCCCGGTACAAAACCTGGGACAGGAGGCAGCGGAGGAAGTATCGGGCTTCCCTCTCCCCGGTCCACCAGCGCGCCTCCCTGCCCGGCAGAGGGCCCCATGGTGGGCCTCTCCGCGGCATGGCGTGCTCTGGGGGGAGGGGACGACCCGCTGCTAGGGCCCAGAGTGGGCCTAGTAGCTCCTCCAAAGCCTCATCCTATCCTCAACCCGGTAGAGGGCCCCAGGGTGGGCCTCACCGCGGAACTGGAGCTGGGAGCTCATCAGGAAGGAGGCCCGCACCTGCCACGGCCACAAGTGCCAGCGGGTCGGGCCAGGCGGGGCCCCGAGATGGGCCCGCCCCCGCAGCAGCAGCGGGGCCCCGAGGTGGGCCCGCCCCCGCAGCAGCGGCAGGACCCCGAGGCGGACACGCCCCCGCGGCCAACCAACGCCCCCAGCGTGCCACTCGTCGTCCGGGCAACCTGCGGGACTACGTGAACAGTCTAAGTGATACTGACCTCCGCCATTTGCTGTCTAACAGCTCGGTACCTGAATATTATGACTAATTGTAATTGTGACCATTTCTGTTGAACTCTAGTATTATTTTCTGTTCCAACAAAGAACAAGTTATGTTTCTGTATAAATGTTCTGCTATTTACCTGTAATTTAGCACTCTCTTACAAGTCTGATGTAATTGTATAATTTGAATTTATTTCTGATTACACTCCTACCTGCTGGGGCTCTTTGGGGAAGGGGTGTGAACCGTTTCATATAGCCTTCTATGCTTCTTTTCTACTTCACCCCAAATTCTCATAAGGCTCGGCTCTCTCTCCCCCTCCTCTCAACTTCCCCTCCAAGCAGCTCTGGGATCATTCTGCATCGAGCTGTCGTGTCGTGATTACTCCCTGCCTTCCCTACACTCAACTCTACTCTACGAACTTAGCAGAAATAAAGTTTTCGCTTATACTTTTTTACACAATGACAACTATTGAATGTTTACTACCATTTGTAGTAATTTTTCGCTTAGGCCTAGTTTAGATGTCCAAGCACTACATTTGATATGAAGAAGAAAACATTACATTAGTGATTAAAATAATATAAGGATTGAAAGGGAATATCTCTTAGAAGTTTTAGTTATTTCTTTAAAGGTTTACGTTGAAATACTTGTCGTTGGAGACTTTTAGAAGACACACTCAACTTCCATATGAAAACCTATATGGCTTGGATGTAACCAATTCTTAAAAACTATCTGTTATCTGTTTGCTTATTTTGTAATGTTCCATATTGGTCAGGTAGCATGTGACAAAGTATCGTGGAAATCAACAAGCCACAAAATTTAGCCCGCTTGTCGCCAAACAAGGTCTAGCTAAGTGGCATCAAATTCATTATGACTGGATAATAAAATGTCAAACACAAATAAAACTAGAAAGCATTATAATGCAATGCGTCTCAGAAGTTGAAAAGGTAACGACTCCAGTCGTTGAAAATTAAGACCTTGAAGGCTCTCTGAATTAATCACTCCACGGTGTCTTGGTTTCTGAGGCAAATTCATAATTACATTTTAGGCAAGTAGATTTCACTCATAGTACAGAGAAGCTTACAGTAAAACTGTAGTTTTCTAGCAGTTGAACTATAGTTCCTGAGGAAAGCCGGCCTTCCATGGGTCGTGTAGCCAACCCCCCTCCACAAGGGCTCAGTAGTGCAGTGGTCAAGGCTCTGCCTCACAAGCCATGGGTCCGAGGTTCAATTCCCGGCAACATCCAATCAAAACACACAATTAACACGAAGTCAATCACCTAAGGGTCAGAGGGAGGAAGAGTCCCTGAAAACAAGGTTCAAAATTAAAAATTTTGAATTTTGAACAAATTTTGAACTGCAGATTGTCTTCTCTTTTGAACTAACTCTGGCTGTGTAACTAAACTACAGTAAAACTGTACTTTGAACTGAATCAACTGATCTGAAGACTAGACAACCTGGGTCAAAAACTATAGTTGTCCGAAATAACTGGTAGTTTTTTTGCAGTTTAATTGTAGTTTACTACACTTCAACTGTAGTTGAACTACACTTACCTGCAATTATACAATGCATTACAGTAATTCAAAGTATGAAAAAGGTATTTAAAATTAAGTTAAACATTACAAAAATCTATATTTGTTCAATATAGTTTAACTGCAGATCCTTCCACCCGGAAGATTTTTTATTCACAAACAATATGCGGAATTATAAAAACTAATGTGATATCATTGCTGTTTTATACTGCATCATGCATGCAAACCGTCCACCATGAAACAAAAATTTCCTCTGCCTGTCAGCTTTGTTTACTGAGAATATTTCGCAATTTGTCGGCCGCAGCGCTACCGTCGCACGTAGATACTCTATACCCTGATGCAAATAGTGACCAAAGTAAAGGAAAATTCCCTCTTTGCACTGTAGTAGGGTGTATTAACTGTGCAATTGCCATGTATTATGGTTTATTTGCTGTGAAATTGTCATGAATTATGGTGTATTTGCTGTGTAATTGCCATGTATTATGGTGTATTTGCTGCGTAATGGGTGTATTATCAAGGTATAGTCGTAATACCAAGGTAATGGCGTAATTGCAGGTATTGTCAAGGTAATAGCTGTAATACTTTCGAAGGTAATAGTCGGTTGCCCATTTTCGGGAGTGAATTCCCCCTCGCCTTGAAGTAGTGCCTCGCCGCTCTACATCGACTCTGAAAGGTACTTCTTAACTGTCAACTACAATCGATTCCACGCAAAATCACACGTTTTCACCGTAGACTTCGTCAGGTGACAGGTGGCTGCTGTACTGACCACGAAGATAGGGAGAGAATGGCAGAGTTCGGCAGCAGCTTGCACATGAAAATGCTGCAACGGGCTCAGTTCTGGGTCATGGATGGCACCTTCAAGTCAGCGCCCAACATCTCTTGACAAATATACGCCATTCATGGTCAAGTCAACGGTGTCAAATGGGTGCTACTCGTGATTGCGCTCAATAGGCCACTTGTGTCAAGAATTTGAGGTTCGCTGGAACACTCATTGTTGACATGCTGAATTTCCTTGACAACAATTGGGCGTAGGTATGGCAACAAATTGCTTCCGCTAGTCTTACTTATTTCAGCTGATGCGGCAACCACTTCAATTAGACAAGTTGACCTCCCTTAACCTGATGGTCTGATGGTGGACGGACGACGAACCAGCAGGACGTTTATTAGCCTCTACACGGTAAAAACGGTTCCTGGTTTTCCTAGAAACTCCCTGGAAATCACCTATGTCTCTGCCATAGGCTTCCTGGGGAAACCAGGTACCGTTTTTACCGTGTAAGGATTAGGGCCCTGAGAGCTTGACACCGACTACACTCCCAGTATCCTACTGAGCTTTTTTTATGTAATACGAACGAAAAGCTTAGTATTAGGACTGCGCAGCAAAGGTGGTGCAGGATTGCACCTATGGTGCAGAGTTCTCAGTAACTATTTGTGTCGTAAAGTACTGAGAATTAGCTTAGTATTATGACTGCCCGGCATTTCTCAGTGGAAAATTGAGGGTGTTGAGCTAGTAATATGAAAAGATATCACGTCTTCAAGAAACAATACAACTCAAATCTCACAACTTTTTAAATAGAAACATAAACTTTTCAAGAAACTCGTCAACTCATCACAATAAAAAAGTAAGGATCTAAGTGAAAAATTGGTCAGAATCATTTACAATTGGTTTGGTGGATGTAACTGCCACGCATCTGTCAAATTTGGAAACATTGTCAAAGCACTGAACTTCTGTTGCTGCATTCCATCGCAAGAGAGGAAGTACTTCACTCGCCAAAACAAAATCGGGCTGAACTTCCAATGTTCCGATGACAACAAGTGGGTCTTGAACTGAGCACTTCCGTACGATCAGGCAGACATGATCATGGCGGCAGAAGCTCATAGCGCGTCGGGAAGACTTGCGAAAGGCAAAACTTATAAACGTGGCTGATGATAGAAGGCAAACGCAAACGCTTCAACTGATGAGTACTTCTGAGTCGTCGTGCTCCACGCCGCAGCTTGCCTCGGAGGGATGGCTGAACAGCATGAAGTCGCCTTCCTCTGCGAGATCGGCGTGGCACGTGTTCTCCGTGCAAAAATCGCACAGGCAGACTTCGCAGTTGCAGGCGCTGTAGCACCTCCTAGGTGCGTCTGCCAAGACGTGCAGGCGCGGGCACCGCTGCATCAGCTCTTTAACTTTCTTTCCGTGGATCCACTCGTGAGGGCAGTCAAAATTGTAGCTTACGTTCAGGCGCTCCAAATTGGGGACAAACTCTCCATCCAGCGCGTCCAGGAGTTCGCCCGACGGCTTGCCGATGTCGAGACTCACGAGGTGCTTGAGGCGGTGCACCACGGCGGCTAGAGGGCGCAGCTGCGGTTGCGGCTCCATGTAGTCGAGCTCCTTTGAGTGGTTTCTGAACACAAACCGCAGGCTCTTGAGCGCTGGCGTTGTGCGTCGCTGGCCGGCCAGGCTCAGCACCAGGTCCACCGCCTGGGCGCGGCCTTCGTCCTCGAAGTAGTCGAGGACCAAGTCTTCGATGGTGGCGACGGCCGAACGGAGGTACTCCGCCACACTGGGGAAGATGAGCTGCAGCGATGCGTCCTTGGAGACTGAGAGGTACAGCGACCGCAACTCCCTGCACGCCAGGAGGGCCGGCATGTCCTTCAGCACGGGACACTGCAGCTCTCTGAGGCGGGGCATGGCGGCCAGCATGGGCGCGGCGCGAGGGTGGCCGCACCGGAGTTTCACCACCTGGCGGGAGCACAGCCACGATGAGGAACGATCCAGGAAGCGGAACACTAATTTTCCTAGAGTGACAATGCACTGGTAAAACTAAAGCATAGTAATACCCTCTGTTTTCAAGCATAATTAGGTTACGCTTGAAATCAAGCGTAACAGGCTCAACCGCCAAGATTCCCCCTATCTAAATGCATGGGGGAATTTCCAGAGTATGCTTCATTTCAAGTGTAACGTCTTCAAGCGTAACTTTATGCTTGACTCAAGCATAGAGTTACGCTTTAGTTTTACCAGTGTGGACTTAATTTAAAAAGCAATAACATTGTTATTGCATTAATGCAATAACATTGTTAATGCATTAAAGCAATAACATTGTTATTGAATTATCAGCGCAATGAAAAAGTTATTGCATTGATCGATGAATATTGTATTGCACCATCGCATTTATCACTTAATTAGCGTACTGTGATAGTCTGGGCCCAGACCGGCCAAAACTTAGGAGACTTATTGCATTTTAACGCGATAATTTTTTATAGGCTGCCACAGATGCTAAGGAATCACATTAGCCATTTTAGTGCTGCAATTTTATGAATCTTAGCACATTAGTTATATCAGTGAAGACGGAAAACTTGACCAATCTCCAATTTAAATTTTATTTTAGAGTTTCCGAAATGGAGCTCTTGTTGTTTTCGGTCTACTTTTCTTCCGCTCTAGGCTTTTGCAAGTGAACACAACCAAAGCATGTCTTGCTTTGAGAAAATCAAATTTCAATTATTTTCAAAAATTCATCGTTATGTGAGCAAAACGATAGCTACAGATTTGACTCTGCATTGGAGTCACTGACGCTGACCGCTTTTGACTGCAAATTCCTCTTCCTGTAAGTGGGATTTCCTTATAGAAGTACCAACTTACTGTGCACACCATGCTGCAAGGGTCCAATTGCGATTACACTCACCTCCAGGGTAGCTGCATGCCACTCAAGGAACAGGGTAGGTAAGGGTCTTTGCACGCCGAGAAGTACTCTAGGCGTCGGAGGCTTGAAGGCCCGGCACCGCACGCTTGACTGGGTCGAGTCTGGAGCTTCCAAAAGAGCAGCAGTCTCTCATCCAAATCCAGCTCGATCGACTCCAAGCCTGGACAAGCGGAATCAATTCAGGAGAGTAACAGAAAAGAAACACAAGGACCTGCCTACCCGGCTCAGAAGCTGCCAGAATCTGGCGACCTTGAGTGGTCATCTGACACAACCACGTATGTTCACAGGGAACACTGAGAATGAAGAGTCATGATCATGACTAAAATTTTTGGACGAGGAATTATTAATCACTCAAATTTGAGTGAGGAAGGGTTTTAGAACCCAAAATCGAGATTGTTTTCGTGAACGTACAAAAATTTGTAAGACCAGTCGACATTCAGTCGAATTTTAATGAACTTCAGTCGAATTTCGATGAATTGTGATGAATTTCAGTAAATTTTACTTGTTTGATCAATTTCGGTGTACAAACTTGGTTGGAGTTATTTCCCCTTGTTGGAAACTGACAATCCCATCAGGAAGCAAACGTTTTTTGATTGCATTTGTAACTTCTTTTCATGTAACTGCAGATGGTGGATGGGAGCACCGTCCTGTCGTGCTATCGCCAGTTCGTGGACACGGTGCCCAAGGTGCCGGGACGGCAGGCGCCCCAATCGGAGGGCAACTACACTAACACCGTCCGCATCTCGAGGATAAAGTCTCTGTACCCCTAGCAGCACGGTGTGCCTAGCACGAGGGGCGAATCACAAGTGTACTCATGTGTACAAATTTGCCCGTACCCAGTGTACTCACAAGTTTAAAAGTGGCGAAACTCTCTCGTTTTTTGACCGATTTAACGTGGAGTGCCATTACAAACGCTAAATTAAGCCTCAAAATGTTTAAAATTGTGAAATTTGTGAGTAAAGCAAGGTGTACTCACCCGTACTCATGTACTCATGTGTACACCAGAAAGCTGAGTGATTCACCCCTCGGCCTAGCAGTTGAAATGAGCTCTCTGGAATGCAATCCGCGGCGCATCCGTCCAACAACCTAAGAGTGCACAGATTTCAACCACTGGCGAGACGGGATGGGAGCGCGTGAAACCCTTGACGCTCCCTGTATTTTTTTAGCGCTGCCCAACCAAGGCTATATGTAAACACTAAGCGTCAACGCCCAGTGATGCCTTGGAGCGTCCTCTTGCTAATTTCGTGGTGCAAGAAACTTAGCCGCACATCAGAAAATGCACGGGAGCGATTCTCCGAAATTTTGAACCTGTCCCTTTGTTTCCGACCAGCGAGCACTATGGGACACTCACTTCAAAGCGGTTAAAAACAATATTTTCATTCTAGCTGAGCTCATATTGTACGTTAACTTTTCGTCGTTAGCACTCACATACTGAAATCATCCCTTGCTTTGCTTTAACAGTTCAATTATCAAATAAAGAATAGGAAGTATATTGTCTTAGTTAAGCTCTAGTCACTCATGGTGCCATTGTTAGGATAAGTTGTTTGTTCAAACAATCGTCTTTTTCTTTCCGCGCATCGGCACACGAAGTGCACATTGTTGCCGCGCGCTTTGTTGGACTGGTGGCCACGTGGACTTGGAGACACGGACCTTCATTGGCTTGCCAAGTTTTGGCAAGCCGGGGAGTATTGCCGGGCCAAGCTTGCCAATTTTCGGCATTCGAAACGGCTTGCCAATTTTGTGGCAAGCAAACATACCACTGGCTTTGCAGCGATGAAAGTCGCTGCAGGAACGTCACGGGCACACTGAAAAACCAAACGTGGTCCAGACCGCACCACTGGTGTGGTCAGATGGATGCCATTTTGACCACATCAGTTGGTGTGGTCTAGACCACGTTTGACGACGTATGGTGCCATGAGAGAAGGGCGCCCTGGAGAAGAAGCGGGAGGCCGCCAGGACGCTGCCCCACTCGATGGGGCACAAGCTGGAGGGCGCAAATGAAGAGCAAGGAAATTTCTATAGAGCGCATTCGATTCGCAAGGAAATTTCCTATCGTCAGAAAACTGTCTCATGTTTTTATCTGATCGCGTTTTCGAACGCGAGCTCAAAAACCCCGAGGAAAAAGCCGCGGTGGATGCGCCACTTCGCCCCATGTAAAAGGATAGGCCCGACTGCCTGATTTTGCCGTTTTTAAAACCTTCAAATGAATGTCAATCCCAAAAACCAAAATGGATACATGCATGCGGTAAAGTCGAAAGGGTAGCCAATACTCCAACCCAAACTTGTGCAAAGCATGAGAGGTGTGGTGGGGGTACCTGGCTGCCTATCTTTCCGCACATAGTGAAGTCGGCGCATCCGCCGCGGCCCATTTTTGGAGGTTTTTGAACTCGCGTTCGGAAACGTGAAGAGTTACAGACTTGAGACAGTTATCTGGCGATAGGAAATTTCCTTGCGAATCGAATGCACTTTAGAGAAATTTCGTCACCCTTCATTTGCGCCCTCCAGCTTGTCCCCCATAGAACGGGCCGGCGGCCTGGCGGCTTTCCGCTTCTTCTCCAGGGCGCCCTTCTCTCATGATGGTGCGGTCTAGACCACGTTTGGCCACGTTTGGTGTGGTCTAGACCACACCAAACGCACCAAACGTGGTCTAGACCACACCAGACGGTGTGGGCAAAATGGCATCCATTTGACCACACCAGTTGGTGCGGTCTAGACCACGTTTGGTTTTTCAGTGCATCAACACCTGCCGTGATTCAGTCCAAAGTGAAGAAACTCCCTGATGAAAGACCTGGAGGGCCTTGAAGTAGTGCCTCGCCGCTCTACATCGACTCTGAAAGGTACTTCTTAACTGTCAACTACAATCGATTCCACGCAAAATCACACGTTTGCACCATAGACTTTGTCAGGTGACTGCTGTACTACGACCACGAAGATAGGGGGAGAATGGCAGTGTCGAGGGGGAAATCACTCTTAAAACCTGCGACCCGACTATTACGCCTAAAACGCTCTATTACGCCTCAAAGTATAGGGATTGAGCTGAAAACAGACCAAAAAACCCTAAAATTGGTCAAATTTTGAGAATTTCGGCTATTACGCTACTATTCGGACAGAGTGACCCGACTTTTACGCGAGTGCTTTCCCCCTCGGGCAGTGTTCGGCAGCAGCTTGCACATGAAAATGCTGACCTTCAAGTCAGCGCCCATCATCTTTTTCCAAATGCATGGTCAAGTCAACGGTGTCAAATATGGGTGCTACTCGTAATAGACACTTCTAGCAGAGCCTGGAGTGAAGAACAAGAAGAAGAACATAGGCCGGAAACAGTTGCCAAATTAAGCTTATTTCTTGGTGACGAATGTTTATTCTCAATCCAAAAATTCAAGGAAGCTTAATTTTGTAATACAATTTGATTTAAACTTGCCATAAAACCCGAAAAAGCCCGATTTCTTGTACTGTTTCCGGTCTATGTTCTTCTTCTTGTTCTTCACTTCGGGCCCTGCTAGAAGTGTCTATTGCGCTCAATAGGCCACTTGTGTCAAGAATTTGAGGTTCGCTGGAACACTCATTGTTGACATGCTGAATTTCCTTGACAACAATTGGGCGTAGGTATGGCAACAAATTGCTTCCGCTAGTCTTACTTTTTTCAGCTGATGGGGCAACCACTTCAATTAGACAAGTTGACCCCCCTTTAAACCCTGATGGTCTGATGGTGGACGACGACGAACCAGCAGGACTTTTATTAGCCTCTACAGGGTAAAAACGGTTCCGGGTTTTTCCCCAAAAACTCCCTGGAAATCCCCTTTGTCTTTGCCGGGGGCGGACTGGCCCGGGGGCGGGTTGAGTTTTCCCCCCCGGGCCGCGGGCCCCGGGGGGGCCGGGGGCCGCAAGCCGGGGCCGTTTTGGGCCGCCGTGGGCCGCCGCGGGCCAAAGCAGGGCTGCAGGGTCGGGTCGGCCGTGGGCACGAGAAGGGCATCCGCGGGCTGCCTGCTTTCCTGAGAGTGATTCCGGTTCCGCACTGTGCACTATGAGAGGCCATCGGTCTCTCCGAGTGGCTTTCGCTCCGCAGAGGAATTAGTAAACAGCTCGGGCCACGGCCGTTAACTTCAGCCTCACTTGGGAGGGTGTAAAGACAGCGGCACAGTGTAAAAACAGGCCGAGAAAGTGCGAGAAAAAAGATTTTTTCTCAAACCACTGTTTTCAATTTAAAACGATGCAAAATGAAGTTTTTGAAGTTTTGGGGTTAAGGGAGTAAAGGTGGGCAGCCACCTCAGAAAAAAACCCCCTTTTTTTTCGACTGTTAGAGTTTAATTCCAGCAATTATGAGTTTGGGCAGCCAACACTGAGAATGAAAGAGTCACCACCATCGCCCTTTCTTGGGGTAATGCACGCATCGTCGCCCTTGGGTGACGAGGCCACGGTGCCCAAAATTTTTGGGCAGTCTAAAATCGTCGCCCAAATTTGGGTAACGTCGTCGGCGACGCGCTGAGGTCCCCGATGACGCTACCCGGGGGCCACCACGATGCCCCAATGTGGCGTTGAGGCCTCTGGTCAACGTGGTGCCCCGGCGACGTCTATCGCGGACCTCACGGCGTCGTCGACGGCGTTACCCAAATTTTGGGGGACCAAACGCCTGTTTCCAATTTCGGGTGATGAATTTTTTGTCACTCAAAATTGGGAACGAAGTTGCAAAGGGTGATGTAAAAGGGGGATGGTGGGGACCCTTTTATTCTCAGTGAAACTCTTATCGACACTTTTGTTTGGAGTTTCTCTAAAAAAGAGACCTCTCCGACCCGCAGAACGGAGGAAAAGTAGACATGTGCCCCCAAAGATCAAAAGACGGCTTTTTTGGCTGAGCGATAGCGAAGCCTGTTACTCCAGTGCGGTTGAAAAATTTTGTCTGTCTGTCCGTCTGTCTGTCTGTTTGTGTGTCTGTGTGTGTGTGTACACTACTACTCCTGAACGACTCGGCCCATCTGGCTGAGATTTTGCAGGCTTTTTAGGTATGTTCTTGGCTCAGCACACGCGAAATTTCACCATCCTAGCTCAACTGGTTCAGTTTTATAGCCGAAAAAAAACCTAAAAAACGGGGAAAAATCGATTTTCTGCAGGTAATCACCTCTGTCTTGAAGAAAGGGGGGGCTGGGGGCGACCCCCCCGCTTCGACAAGTAAAAAAGTGACAAAGGGGCAAATCGTGTTATCTGTAGATGAAGCAACTCTATCTAGAATTAAGGGGGGGCGGGGGGCGGGCCCCCCCGCATGCAACACGTAAGAAGTAACCGACATGGACAAGCCAAAGCCTGCCGAAGGGAGGCTAGGGCCCCAGGCCAAGGTAGGTACGCCAGGCGCGGATTGGAGGAAAAGGCCGCGAGACTCGCGAAGCCTGTTACGACAAAACGCGGTCTGGGGTAAACCTACCTTTTATTCGAATAGTTTCAGTAGGCCTATGTTTTCGGCAAACTTTGAATATTGTAAAATTCTTTTCAAAACTTTCGTTTTGAGCCGTTGTCCGACCTGGAACTGATGATATAGTGCCAATGGTATCGAAAAAAGGCAAAACAATTTCTACAAATCAAAAATTCAACTTCAAAATTGAATTTAGTCGAAAAAAAAAACATGCTGTACCGTTTTTGCACTCCAAATCCAAAGGCAATACTTTTAGCACCTTTTTTGGCGATACAATTGAGTATCGCCAATAAACGGCCCTTTCGGGAAAAATATTGCCCTTTAAAACGGCGATACACAAAAGTATCGCCAAAATTTCTTTTTTGTATCGCCGTTCTGAAGGCAGTACTTTTTCCCTAAGGCCGTTTTTTTGGCGAACTTGTATCGCCAAAAAATGTACTTAAGTATCGCCGTTGCATTTGCAGTGTATGAAATATGTACCATTGTAATGTGTGATCTCTCTCTTTATGCCCTTAAATTACTTATTTATGTAATTATGCCAAAATAAGGGGCACATCTAAACCACCTCTCAGCAGAACGCTGTTTTGGGCATTAAAACATGGGAAAACCCGGGACGGGGGGGGGGGGGGGGGCCGTCCGTGAATTTCCCGCTCGGGCCGTTTGGGTCCCAGTCCGCCACTGGTCTTTGCCATAGGCTTCCTGGGAAAACCAGGTACCGTTTTTACCGTGTAAGGATTAGGGCCCTGCACTGTGGCAAAAAGGTACGGAAAATCCTTTTAAATTTTTTTGCCAGGATTCTCCGTAGCCCTCTTATCAATATTTCCGTAGGCTCTTACAGTATTCTCCGTAGGGCCGCACAGTTTTCTCTGTAAATCCGCACAGTCTTCTCGTAGGCCCCGAAGACTGTATAGTCCTACGGAGATCACTGTGCGGTCCTACGGAGAATCTGTGCAGTCCTACAGAAATACTGTAAGAGCCTACGGAGAATATTGAAAAGGGGGCCTACGGAAAATTACCACAAGCGTTTACAAAATTTTTCGTAGCTTTTTGCCACAGTGTGAGAGCTTGACACCGACTACACCCCCATTTCCTACTGACTTTTTTTATGAAATACGAACGAAAAGCTTTGTATTAGGACTGCGCAGCAAAGGTGGTGCAGGATGCACCTATGGTGCAGAGTTCTCAGTAAAATTTGTGTCGTAAAGTACTGAGAATTAGCTTAGTATTTTGACGCCCGGGATTTCTCAGTGGGAAAATTGGGGGGGTTGAGCTAGTAATATGAAAAGATATCACGTCTTCAAGAAACAATACAACTCAAATCTCACAACTTTTTTAATAGAAACATAAACTTTTCAAGAAACTCGTCAACTCATCACAATAAAAAGTAAAGGGTCTAAGTGAAAAATTGGTCAGAATCATTTACAATTGGTTTGGTGGATGTAACTGCCACGCATCTGTCAAATTTGGAAACATTGTCAAAGCACTGAACTTCTGTTGCTGCATTCCATCGCAAGAGAGGAAGTACTTCACTCGCCAAAACTAAATCGGGCCGAACTTCCAATGTTCTGATGAAAACAAGTGGGTCTTGAACTGAGCGCCTCCGTTCACTACAAACCTAACTGTCTACTAAGTACACACTTACAAATGCGTGCTTGGAAGTACACACTTACAAACGCATGCTTGGCCAAGTACACACTTACAAATGCATGCTTGCAAGTGTGTACTTGGCCAAGCATGCGTTTGTGTGTACTTCCAAGCATGCATTTGTAAGTGTGTACATAGTAGACAGTTAGGTTTGCAGTGTAAGTTTGAAGGGCAGGCCTAGTCATGGCGGCAGAAGCTCATAGCGCGTCGGGAAGACTTGCGAAAGGCAAAACTTATAAACGTGGCTGATGATAGAAGGCAAACGCAAACGCTTCAAGATGAGTACTTCTGAGTCGTCGGCTCCACGCCGCAGCTTCCCTCGGTGGGATGGCTGAACAGCATGAAGTCGCCTTCCTCTGCGAGATCGGCGTGGCACGTGTTCTCCGTGCAAAAATCGCACAGGCAGACTTCGCAGTTGCAGACGCTGTAGCACCTCCTAGGTGCGTCCGCCAAGACGTGCAGGCGCGGGCACCGCTGCATCAGCTCTTTAACTTTCTTTCCGTGGATCCACTCGTGAGGGCAGTCAAAATTGTAGCTTACGTTCAGGCGCTCCAAATTGGGGACAAACTCTCCATCCAGCGCGTCCAGGAGTTCGCCCGACGGCTTGCCGATGTCGAGACTCACGAGGTGCTTCAGGCGGTGGACCACGGCGGCTAGAGGACGCAGCTGCGGTTGCGGCTCCATGTAGTCGAGCTCCTTTGAGTGGTTTCTGAACACAAACCGCAGGCTCTTGAGCGCTGGCGTTGTGCGTCGCTGGCCGGCCAGGCTCAGCACCAGGTCCACCGCCTGGGCGGGGCCCTTCGTCCTCGAAGTAGTCGAGGACCAAGTCTTCGATGGTGGCGACGGCCGAACGGAGGTACTCCGCCACACTGGGGAAGATGAGCTGCAGCGATGCGTCCTTGGAGACTGAGAGGTACAGCGACCGCAACTCCCTGCACGCCAGGAGGGCCGGCATGTCCTTCAGCACGGGACACTGCAGCTCTCTGAGGCGGGGCATGGCGGCCAGCATGGGCGCGGCGCGCGGGTGGCCGCAGCGGAGTTTCACCACCTGGCGGGAGCACAGCCACGATGAGGAACGATCCAGGAAGCGGAACACTAATTTTCCTAGAGTGACAATGCACTGGTAAAACTAAAGCATAGTAATACCCTCTGTTTTCAAGCATAATTAGGTTACGCTTGAAATCAAGCGTAACAGGCTCAACCGCCAAGATTCCCCCTATCTAAATGCATGGGGGTATTTCCAGAGTATGCTTCATTTCAAGTGTAACGTCTTCAAGCGTAACTTTATGCTTGACTCAAGCATAGAGTTACGCTTTAGTTTTACCAGTGTGGACTTAATTTAAAAAGCAATAACATTGTTATTGCATTAATGCAATAACATTGTTAATGCATTAAAGCAATAACATTGTTATTGAATTATCAGCGCAATGAAAAAGTTATTGCATTGATCGATGAATATTGTATTGCACCATCGCATTTATCACTTAATTAGCGTACTGTGATAGTCTGGGCCCAGACCGGCCAAAACTTAGGAGACTTATTGCATTTTTAACGCGATAATTTTTTATAGCTGCCACAGATGCTAAGGGATCACATTAGCCATTTTAGTGCTGCAATTTTATGAATCTTAGCACATTAGTAATATCAGTGAAGAACGGAAAAACTTGACCAATCTCCAATTTAAATTTTATTTTAGAGTTTCCGAAATGGAGCTCTTGTTGTTTTCGGTCTACGTTTCTTCCGCTCTAGGCTTTTGCAAAGTGAACACAACCAAAGCATGTCTTGCTTTGAGAAAATCAAATTTCCAATTATTTTCAAAAATTCATCGTTATGTGAGCAAAACGAAATAGCTACAGATTTGACTCTGCATTGGAGTCACTGACGCTGACCGCTTTTGACTGCAAATTCCTACTTCCTGTAAGTGGGATTTCCTTATAGAAGTACCAACATTACTGTGCACACCATGCTGGCAAGGGTCCAATTGCGATTGCACTCACCTCCAGGGAAGCTGCATGCCACTTAAGGAACAAGGGTAGGTAGGGGTCTTTGCACGCCGAGAAGTACTCTAGGCGTCGGAGGCTTGAAGGCACCGGCACCGCACGCTTGACTGGGTCGAGTTCTGGAGCTTCCAAAAGAGCAGCAGTCTTCTCATCCAAATCCAGCTCGATCGACTCCAAGCCTGGACAAGCGGAATCAATTCAGGAGAGTAACAGAAAAGAAACAACAAGGAAACCTGCCTACCCGGCTCAGAAGCTGCCCAGAATCTGGGCGACCTTTGAGTGGTCATCTGACACAACAACGTATGTTCACAGGGAACACTGAGAATGAAAGAGTCATGATCATGACTAAAATTTTGGACGAGGAATTATTAATCACTCAAATTTGAGTGAGGAAGGGTTTTAGAACCCAAAATCGAGATTGTTTTCGTGAACGTAAAAAAATTTGTAAGACCAAAGCATCAAGGCGAAATTGAGCTCCCAAAACCTACAGCCACTGTCGAGACTACTCTTGGTAGAGACCATTTGAGGCAGAAACGTCAAACCAAATCACTGATTGCTCAGACGTGAAAATCTATCGAATACTGTTTTAAGAATGTCTTCATCACGGACTCACCTTGAGTAGAAAGAAGTTGGCGCAGCAGCTGTCTGAGTCGGCACAGGGAAGATTTCTTATCGACTTTAGTCGACGTCACTGTCAAACTCACTTCTTTAAGTCGTCCCAAATCGGCTTGCCTGTGAACGGAACACACTCCAATCGTAACGAACAAAATGTGAAGATGTCAAAGGCGCGATCGTTTGACACAAAAGAAAACGAATAACATGCTAACGCAGTGCACTATGTCTCTCTGAAATTGTTTGATTTATAATGCCATTTACGCCAAACCACCACGCGCCTAGGCTTTGACATTTTGATCTGAGCTCTTTGCGAAATTCAAAGCGGTTTCAGCCATCATTTAAACTTTTTACCGACTCAGAAGAAACAATGAAATTCAAATTTCAACCACTGCTTTAATTTTGACGACAAAATGAACTTCCTTTTACAAATATTTCTTTCTAGAACATGCCAGTATCACTATACAGTATCCTTGACTGTCATGCTTCCAAATCATTTCCTCACGTGGGAAAAATAGATGAATTTTGTCTTGGAATTCACCTGGCCAGCACCACGGCGACGAGCACCGCGTCCATCAGGTCCAGGGCCACGTGCAGCTCGGAGACGGCGCAGCTGGAGGCGGCGAGTAGAGTGCCGAGCGGAACGACGTCGTCGGGCTCCCATACAGTGAGCCTCTCCAGGCAGGGGGCCACGCGCAGCGTCGCAGCGCCCAAATGACACCTGCAGTCGCAGCACACTGTTAGCAATTGTTACCGGCAGCAATTCATGAGACGGGAACAGCTTCCCACAATCATTGTACAAAATTTAACCACATTCCACATTCAGGTGGCAAAAGGGCCTAAAAGGAGGCAAAATGCAAGGCAAAATCGCGAGAAATCTTGCACATTCTTCCACATTCACGCAATCATTGTATACACAAAATTTTACAGTGGGTCAACCCTCGGATTCGTAAAGGTGCCTCGGCAATGTCGCGATTTTCATGACAAATCCCTCATTCTGAAGCCATGAATTTGGAACAAGGGGAAATAACTCAAGCCAAATTTGGACACCAAAATTCAGCAAACATGTAAATCTCATCGAAATTCACCAAAATGTATGAAAATTCACAGAAATTCTTCTCAAAATTCAGTGGTTTTAGCCTGAAATGCATCAAAATGCAACTGAAATTCATTTGATTCGAACACTCTAATATGCAGTGATTTTCCCTTGATTTTTAATTCAATTATGAATTTTTTACGTTAACTATTTGCAGTGTCAATGTTCTGATATGTATATGCACTGCACTACTTGCAAAGCTCCTTAATTCAAATTTCACTCCAAATCGCAAAGTATGGGTGAAAAGTGGGATTAAAAAGTCCATTCATTACAATAGTAACCACAGTTTGTCTCTGACGATCCTACTAACCTTTTTTAGGGAGTCTAAGCAAGAGGTTCAAAAGTTACAAATAAAATAAAACGATCACTTGATATTGTTTGTCCTTCATGATGAGAATACTCACCTGATAGGGTTCCACAGGCTAATCCTACGCCAGAGGGCAGGGTGGAGGGTGAGCTGCCTGAACCTGCGGCAAACTGTGCGGCACTGCAGCAGCTGCTCGCGCGTCAAGAAGCCGAACACTTGCAGCAGTTCATCGTCGGGCAGTGAGCAGAGCTGCATTGGAAACACAGAAGTTAATAGTTTTCACACACGACTGCCTTGTCGGCACAAGAGCACAGGCCAAAACAAGGTTCTCATTTAAGTCTTGCTTGCTCAAGAATCGTCATTTTCCAACATTTTAGAATACGGTGAAGTGTGAGGTTCGATGTGTTGACCTTAGCGTCACCGACTCGGATTTCGAGTCCTTCATCTTTTAAGTAAAAATGAAGTTTGTAAAACATGTTTTATCGCTAGGTCCCACCGTTTGGGTCAAAACCCTGCATACAAACAGACTGTGCCTTTGTTGCTAGAGAAATTCGACTTAGTTGAAACAGCCCCATCGCCACTCTAATTTTATAATTTCAATCGAAAATAAGAGAAAAGTAAATGCCCATAGTCAGTTTTGACTTCTGATACACCACCCCTACTCTACAAACTGAAATGTGTACTCAGTATGCATCTACAGATGCATACTTATAAGTACACACCTACAGATGCATACTTGGCTGAGTACACATCTACAGATGCATACCTGTTAAGTATGCATCTGTAGGTGCGTACTTGGCAAGTATGCATTAGTAGGTGTGTACTTGTCACCATATAAATGCCCAGTATCAAGTACACATCTACAGATGCATACTTGGCTGAGTACACATCTACAGATGCATACCTGTCAAGTATGCATCTGTAGATGTGTACTCAGCTAGGTATGCATCTGTAGGTGTGTACTTATAAGTATGCATCTGTAGATGCATACTGAGTACACACTTCAGTCTGTAGAGTACACTGATATTCAACGAATGTGACGCCATATCGCGCCATTTTCGCTACAACGTTAATTTCACCACGTTGGAGTCACCACATTCGGGCCGTTTAGTACGGGTGTCACATTCGTTTGGACTTGGATCAACATTGAAACGAATGTGACATCGTGAACGTGACACAATGCACATATTCTCACGAATATGACGTCACATTTGTTGAATTACAGTGTAACCGCAAATCGGTACTCACCTCCGTGCTGTGGCCGTTCGGACTCGGCAGGTCTGGGAGTCCCAGCGAAGCGTCGGGCGGCGTCGCCAACTGCTGCTGAGCCTGCACTGCGCCATCTGGGGTCAACGGAGCCGTCTTGGCTTTCTTGGCTGGAGGCGAAGTCGAGGGGGAGGCATCGGACGAATCCTGGCACGCCAAAGAACAAATTTGGTTTTAAACAGCAAACTCCACGCCTTAATCCTTGCGATTATTTTGAACATAAGAAAATGTAGCGGCGTGACTTCGTGCCGTTTCAGGGGCACACTGTGAGAAAAAGAGACGGTTTCCACCGTTAAGGGGAGGTTCTGGTGAAAATGCTATTTTCTCCTGAGTCCCACTGTGAAAATTTGTTAAAAATTTGATGTCTTATGAAGTATCTATTAAAATTTTTCATTGCGGAGACACATTCTATGCCCTGGAACCCAGTCACAGAGCCTTTTTCTCCCATTTAGGCTATAACTTTAAAAATCTTCTTGCGCATACTATTTTGTCGTAAAAGGTTGGCTTAGACATTTTTCACTTCTTCGATTCATTTTTTTAAAATGCCGGCATGCACATCTCAAAATGTCAATTGCATTTTTATTCGCAAGCTATCTAACCAAGCATTTCACTATAAATGATCAAAAATGTACAAAATAGACAAATCTTAGGGACTTTTAAGCTTAAAAAGCTAATAATTAATAATATAAAGGAAGTTTTGAGCTATGCATGCCGGAATCTTTCGAAAATGAGTCGAAGAAGTGAAAAATGTCAAGGTCAACCTTTTACGACAAAATAGTACGCGCAAGGAGATTTTATAAGATACAGCCAAAATAGGCTCAAAAAGACTCTTCGACTGGGTTTACAGCCTGGCATGTGCCTTCAAAAGTCGAATTTTAGTCTCCTCAATGAAAAATTTTAAATTCCGAACAAATTATGACTGTAGGATTCATTTGGAAAATGGCAAGATTTTCACCAGAACCTCCCCTTAATTTATTAACGGGATTTGCCGTACTTGGAAGTAAAGTGTTTACCGTACCCAGAAGTACGGCGTTTACCGTAGTTTGTACACTGCATGGTGAAGATGTACAGCAATGGATTCTGTAGGAAAGATATGGGTGTCTCTCAGCTAGTGCACTGCTTGAAGTACGGTGAACGCTGTACTTCCAGGTACGATGAACACCGTATCTTTTCCTCACAGTGCATGAATATGAAGTGAAGTGTCACGCCCAAAAAAGGCACGTCAGAGAAAGTCACGCCAAAAAGTTGGCGTAAGCCTGAGTCACGTGACTCAGATGTCACCAGCTCGCATCTCCTTCACTCACCTTCGACTCGCAACTGTCATGCTGCATCTGTTCCTCAATGTTATCCATGGCTCCTGCTCGTCACCAAAATCTGAAATAATTGGAAGTAGCAATTAATAATGAATGTTTCAGGCTCAACTTTGAGGCACGGGAGTTCCAAGGTTTTCATGTGCGGCTCTTCGGATGAAATTTTGCAGGTACATTGAAAATGGCTCTAGAATGATCCCTTAGAAACGCTCGTTCCAGTTTTGTTTCAAACGACTAAAATGTTGAAAGCATACTTTGGGTCAATGTTTGTTACACGCGCGTCGACTTTGGATACATGCAAGTGGTTTGGGTGGAATTTCAAAATGGACAATACGAACATCTTTTCATAGAAATCGATTCATCTAATCCAAACATATAAAAAAAAAATCTTAGTCTATTTGATGGGCTTGAGTGCGAAATAAACAAGATTTTAAGCTTCAAATTTCTCATGACTCGATCGAACTGGCGCAAGATTGATACGAAGGTAGTGTTTCTTCCTATTACGAGGGTATTTCATTGAACCTTACAATGAGAATACAAAACAGATTCGCATTGTCAGTAAATATTGCTTCGTACAACGCTTGCGCTGCATTCACTGGAACAAAGCTTAAATTTCATTGTGAGACATCTTGGAGGGCTGGAACGAATTGAAACTCAAGAAGAAAAGTAGAATTTGGAATGAGCGACTGGGCAAAATCAAGTAAATCTTGTTCTGATTACTACAGTGTTCACTGAATTCAGAATACAATTACGACGTTTTTACAGGTATATTTGTACGGTTTTTGTCTCACTGGCAGGTGGAAGTTCGGACTACTTCGGAGAAGTAAGTATTGTAGTAGACACAGAAAACCAAACTGTGGTCTGAGCCCGGCAAAAAATCCTAACTGGATTGTGTGTCTTTTCAGAATGGTTACTGTGCCGTTTGACCGCATCAGTTATTTGGGGTCTATTGACCACGTGGTTGCGCATGGTGTGGTCCATGACCAGTACACGCAAGTATGTGGGCAACAGTGCCAAACCCGTGGTTCTAGACCACACTAACTGATGAGGTCAAAATGGCACCCATCTGACCACACCAGTGGTGCGGTCTGGACCACGTTTGGTTTTTCAGTGTGGGGGCCCGGCGTTTGTCCTTCTTGACAAGCTCTCCACTTCCGGTCCAGCTCTACTCGCATACCCCATAAAGCTTTCAGACTTCTGGTCCGCTTTTGGTAAAATGGTCGGCGTAGATTCGTGTCCCACAGAACTCAGCTTGACGGCGTATCAACCCTCGCGATGTCTCGATCATAGGATACTCCAACGAATCTTGAAACGGAAGAACACAAGCCCTATAAACAGCTTCTGTGCATGTGCACCGGATGGTGGGGGAACGTCTGCGCATGTGCAGACGCTGTTTAATTGGCTTCCTTCTTCTTCTTCATTTTCAAGATTCGTTGGAATACCCTGTAATATATACTCTGTCATTTTGGTGCACCGGAAACAGTATCGAAGAACACTTCAAAGGAGAAGGCTCGCCATCGTGACGCATGTTACGCTAAGATGTGGCTTGGTGCGAAGCACAGCAAGAAAAAACCACAACAAATGTACACAAATTTCTGGCAAATATCGGGTTTTTATTGTACTTTCAAAGTACATCAATTGTTGCACAAAGTACAATGGAACCAGCATGACGAGTGCTGTGCAGTCCAGGCCTCGTTGTGGTTTCTACAATTCTCGTTGTACTTTCTACAATCCCTGTTGTTCTTTTATTGTACAGTTTTTGTTGTACATATGTCGTAATGTTGTACTATTCACACTTTTTCTTGCAGTGAGGTATCCTTTCACGTGTCACATCTTCTAGCAGTGCAGGACTTTTTCCCTTCCCAAAGCACTGCAAAACCGCCAGAACTATACAGTCACTTTGCGGAGCCTGATGTGTAAAAAGTGTTTGTTGAATTGAAAATCCAACCTCACCACGTTGTTGGCCAGTCAATTTTACAGTGTATAGCAAGTTTCATTGAAAACTGGGATAGGTACTGATAAAAGCAAAGAAGTATCCGGTATCATTCGCAAACTGCAGCCACAGCGATTTCTCGTACTTGCACATCCGCTACCAAACTCGCGTGATGACGCCTTTCAAAAAAAAACTGCTTCCTGAGCGTCGCTTAACGATGCGTTAAAACAGCGTGCCTGACCAATACTGCTTGGGTCCTGGACATACAGTAGGAAACTGTGCTTATAGGTACGCACTTTCAATAGGGTACTTTCGTAGATCCCTGAACCGGAAGCACACAGACGCCATGTTGGCGGAAGTAGATCCAAACTTGACATGGGAAAGAGACGTTCGTCAAAGGCATCGGCCACACTTGAACATAAACAGTCGTTTGATACTTGTTTGCAGTGCATATGTGTTTCGCGAGCAATATTTGTACAGCTCGGCTATAGTTTTAGATCCGAAGAGAGGTTAGTTTCCGGCCAATTTGGCGTCTGCTGGTCTGCTTGCTTCCGGTTCAGGATCTACGAAAGTACCCTATCAGTGTGCATGGAGGCATACATTTTGAAGTGCGTGGGGTCGGAAATGGGGTCAAGGAGCCCGACTGTAAGAGTCACTGTGAGAAAAAAGTACGGGAAAAGTACGGAACATGTCTGGTCAATAATTTGCCTGGACCGTCCGTACTTGTCAACTACGGAACGTTCCGTACTCTTTTTCCGTACCCATTTACATGGGTTCTTATGGAGCAAGTACGGAACGTTCCGTACTTTTCTCCGTACCTCCGTACTATATTTTTCTGTACCATTTCCGTACAAAAGTACGGAACTTTTTACAGTGGTTCTGGCAATCGGTACCTCGGACTCGTTTTTGAGCTTGTGCAGGGCCTCGATTGCAATGAGTTGTAACTGCAAGACCAATGTGGGTATTGCGACCGATGAACCCATTTTGGACCCTTTGCGTCTCAGAGTACTCTTCTCATTGCTTCAACATAGATTCGTGTCACGGCTTGCCGAAGGCCAAGGTAGGTGTAAACGCCAGGCGTGGATAGACGCTACTAGCGTTCGTAGCACCGCGAGGTCTGTTACGACAAGACACGGTCTGGCGTACACCTACCTTGTACAGTGAAGTTCGTTACATTACTGTTAGGTGGATAATGCAATACGTTCAAACAGCTGTCGCTGTGTTGGTCCTTCAACCGTATTCCCCCAAACAATTTTCTCTTACCTGATTAGTTTCTTTCCGTCGCTTTTGACCCGTTATGCGCGTTTCCCGAAAGAAAACCGCATCTGATCGTTAACTGACCAGTTCTTTTAAGGCCTGCTTCTAGCCTGTGCACACGCTTACTACACGACCTGTCACTTATAATGTGACCCGTTTCTGCAAATTTTGTTGTGAGTCTGGCGGAGTCACGGAAGTGGTTTTGAACCGTTTGTAGTGTCGCCGAAAAACCGCACTCTCAGCACGTTACTGACTTTTTGCTCATTTTGTGCCATCGCACTACATACTTTTCCGTTGTTTTTTTTTAAGAACTACCTGTGAGATATTTAATGATTTATTGACAATTTGGTTTAGTGCATAATTTTACAAAGGAAACCAGTTATACCAAGGGGGAAATCACTCTTAAAAACTGTGACCCGACTACTCCCTATTACGTTCTATTACGCTATTACAGAAAGCTTATTACGCTCGAAAATACCCAGATTTAGGCTAAAATCTGACTCTAAATAGGGATTTTTTTTTTAAATTTGGCAATTACGCTGTTACTATTACGCGTAATACTTGGAATCGGTGACCCGACTATTACGCGAGTGATTTCCCCCTCGAGTTATACTTGTCTTAGAAAATGCCAAGTAATGTCGTTGCTGAAACAATTACGTAATTAATGAAAAAAAAATTCGGTAACGTGCTGGGAGTGCGGTGGAAAATAGCTGAACTTGCCTTCCCTTCGATCTGCGTGAAGAGGAATCCTGCGTGAATCCTGTGCTCGCCTGTGCTTGAAATACTGAGCTACACTTTAAATAGCCATTTCCTATAATTCCAGATTTTGGTGACGTGCAGGAGCCATGGACCACAGCGCGGAACAGAGTGAGCTTGACAGTCTCGAATTGAATGTGAGTGAAGGAAATGCGAACTGGGCTGAAGAGCTCAGATCCTAGACGGATGAATTCATTTTGAACTAGAGTGTGCACTGGTCAACTTCGAGTGGTAATTTTATCATGTAGTCTGGAAGGGACCGTCGCTGGTAATTTCAGCGTTACACACTGTCAAAACCAAAGCGTATAGGGTACTTTTCGTAGATCCCTGAACCGGAAGCACACAGACGCCATGTTGGCGGAAGTAGATCCAAACTTGACATGGGAAAGAGACGTTCGTCAAAGGTATCGGCCACACTTGAACATAAACAGTTGTTTGATACTTGTTTGCAGTGCATGTGTGTTTCGCGAGCAATATTTGTACAGCTCGGCTATAGTTTTGGATCCGAAGAGAGGTTAGTTTCCGGCCAATTTGGCGTCTGCTGGTCTACTTGCTTCCGGTTCAGGATCTACGAAAGTACCCTATTCTTGAGTCAAGCTAACAGTTGCGCGACACTGTTAAAAAAATCCGTACTTCTGTACGGTAATTGTTCAGACAAAATTAGTGCGGATAAAAATGCACGGAACGTTGTCAGGTATTTGTCCCATTAGATGTCATGCAACCGGGTTACGAAAAATTTAGTACGGAAGTTTCGTAGAAGTTCAGGTACGGACGGTCCTGGCACATGATTGATCAGACATGTTCCGCACTTCATCTGTACTTTTTTCTCACAGTGTAGAAGGTGTTACGCGACATTACGCTTCGATTGAAGCCAGGACAAATAATACATCGAGACAGGGGGATTCTAAGCGGATGAGTCTCTCACTTATACCGCTTGGAAGCGATGGAAATGTCAGATTCTTCAGAATCCATGTTGTTGATTGTTGTTCTTTGGCGTGCCAGGGTTCGTCCGCTGCCTCGTCCTTGACTCCTCCAGCCAAGAAGGCCAAGACAGCCCCGTTGACCCCAGATGGTGCAGTGCAGGCTCAGCAGCAGTTGGCGACGCCGCCCGACGCTTCGCTGGGACTCCCAGACCTGCCGAGTACCAAGGGGGTGACTACCGATTTGCGGTCACACTGTTATTCAACGAATGTGACGCCATATCCGTGAGAATGTGCATTGGTGTCGCGTTCACGATGTCACATTCGTTTCAATGTTGGTCCACGTTCAAACGAATGTGACACCCTCATTCAACGGCCGTGTCACGTTAAAACGAATGGGACCTCGTGTTCCAACGAACGTGACAAAATTAACATTGTAGCGAATTTGCGCCTCATTCGTTGAATAACAGTGAAGAGATGGTAAGGGATGTCCAAACTGGCTACTGTATTACTCTAATTTAACGTGGATGAAAATGATCTAATTGGAGTGGCGTCAGTTACGACTGAGTCGAATTTCTTTCAACCAGTGCTACAATGCACAGTCTGTTGGTATGCAATTGCTAGATCAAGCAGTGGGACCCAAAGATATCTTGTTTTTCTACCTTCTTCTTTGAAATGGACTCTAAATTCGAGTCGGTGACGCTAAGCTCAACATATGAAACCTAACCGTATCTCTAAACGTTTGAAAATGTCGAATCTTGAGCCAAAGGACTAAAATGTTAACCTTATTTTGCCCTCAACTCTCATACTTTCGGGGCAGTCGTGCTTGTGCTCACTAGTGTTGACATTTAAACTTCTGCCTTTCCAATGCAGCTCTGCACACTGCCCGACGATGAACTGCTGCAAGTGTTCGGCTTCTTGACGCGCGAGCAGCTGCTGAAGTGCCGCACAGTTTGCCGCAGGTTCAGGCAGCTCACCCTCCACCCTGCCCTCTGGCGTAGGATGAACCTGTTGAACCCCAGCTGGTGAGTTTACTTTTCCTGATGGAAATAACAATGGTCAAGGGCCGTTCCATTTTTTGATAATGTCGGAAATCACTGTAAATTTTGGTGTACAAATCCAATGAATTTCAGTCGAATTTCAATGAATTTCGGTCAAAAACAACTGAACTTTGAGGAGAATCTCGATGAATTTCGGTCAAAAACAATTGAACTTTGAGGAGAATCTCGGTGAATTTCAATGAACTCCGAACGTAGGATGAATTTTGATGAACAAATTTGGCTAGAGTTTTTTCACCTTGCTTCTGCCTGCTTGGATATGATAGCCGGTGTTGCGACATTTTGCCGCACTGACCGTATCAACACTCCCAAGATCCTACTGAGATTTTTCTTCGTAATACGAACAAAAAGCTTAGTATCATGACAGCAAAGCGAAGGTAGTAACCTATGGTGAGGGGTTCTCATTAACTTATGACCAGTTTCTTAGTTTTACAAACAAATTTCTTTGTATTATGATAGATTTGTATCGTAGAGTACTGAGAATGAGCTTAGTATTATGACAGCACGGCATTTCTCAGTAGAAAATTGGGAGTGAAGAGAAAAGTGGTCATTGCTGCCGGTTACAATTGCTAACAGTGTGCTGCGACTGCAGGAGTGCTTTGGGCGCTGCGACGCTGCGCGTGGCCCCCTGCCTGAGGAGGCTCACTGTAAGCAACCTGGACGAACTCGTTCTGCTCGGCACTCTACTCGCCGCCTCCAGCTGCGCCGTCTCCGAGCTGCACGTGGTCCTGGACGTGGTGGACGCGGTGCTCGTCGCCGTGGTGCTGGCCAGGTGAATCCCATCACCACACACTCTCAGATTCGTATTGACTTTTTATCTCTTGCCATAAAGGTTTTTGTGCAAACGTGATATGTACTATTTTCTCTTTCACTATGCACAATTTGGTCGTTGTATAACGTATTTAGTTCATTAAACCGGACTTTTTGTCATTTGCAATGAACTTTTCAATTTCTACATGATCTATTGACAATTTTATCTTTGTGACGATCAAAATTGTTCATAGTTAAGGAGAAAATTGTACATATTACGTTTGCTCATAAAACGTTGTAAACAAGAGAGAAAAATGTCCATACAGGTCTGAGAGTGCACTGTTACAAAATATTGTCCATTGACGAAATATTTGGGGGGATGAAATATTTCGTCAAATGGCCAGTGTTTCTTCATGTCTTAAAGGAAAGTTTCTGAAAGGTACAAGCTGCCTCGTTGACTTTCAAGTTGCTTCGTGAACCCATGAAGCAATATCGTAAGCTTACGGACTATTCCGTCCACTCTACCAAAAATGTCCTGTCAACGCCGTTAATTTATTACCAATTTTCACTGTAGGTTAATTCACAGCGTTTACTGTGATCTGCTCACGCGATTCACTGTGATCTTGTTCACGGTGTTCACTGTGATCTGGTTCACAGTAAACACTGTGAGTTTGACGCCGCTGAGCACCGAAGTGCTGCAAATCAGGCTCCAATTCACGGCGTTTACTGTGGCCAGATCACAGTGAACACTGTAACCGAGATCACAGTGAACGCCGTGAACTAGTTCACAGCAAACGCCGTGAATTGCATAACAGCAAACATTGGTAATAAATTAACGGCGTTGACAGGACATTTTTTGTAGAGTGTCATTTTAACAGAAAGCTAAATCGCTGAACACGACGAAAAACTGATAAGTTTACGAAATATTTCATCCCCGACGATATCCAGGTGGTCTGGCGTGGAACGGCCTATTGGGAAAACCTCTCAGATCTGGACGACGTGCACTACGTTATCATTGGATTTGATTTCTGTAGGATCGATTTAGTCATTTAGTCAACCTTTTTAACGTTTTCCTTTTTCAGGCAAGCTACTCTGGGTCGATTGAAAGAAGTAAAGTTGACAGTGACATCGACTAACGTAGATGCGAAGTCTTTCCTGCCCCGACTAAGACAGCTGCTGCGTCAACTTCTTTCTACTCCAGGTGAGTTCGTATGAAGTTTCCACGTTCAGTAGTATTGCCGTTTTTGTCTGGAATGGTCTCCACCAAGAGCGGTCTTGACAGTGACTGCGGGTTTTGGGAGCTTTGCGCCTTTTGCTTCGTTGTTTTCTTTTTTTTTTTCTTATGTCCATGAGAACAGTCTTAGTTTTTTGGGATCTTAAATCATGTCAGTGAAATTTACTGAAGTAGACAATTTCGCTGTATCCAATTCGATCTCTCGAGAAAACAAATGCACAGGAAGTCGGGTCGCGTCGGCCAATCAGAATCCTCCTTTCATCAAGAATGGGCGCTGCCACCGATGAAAGGAGGCTTCTGATTGGCCGACGTGATCCGACTTCCGGTGCATTTGTTTTCTCGAAGGATCGAAATGGATCCAGCAAAATAGTCTATTCTCATTCACTTAAGAAGAGCATTGAATCTGCTTGGAAGAAATGGTCAAGAGCGTACATTCTGTAAAATTAGTAAATTTATGACTGGAACTGCATGGACCCGAAATTGTGTTTTCGTTGCTGCCAACCTGCTGAATACATATAGATTCCGTTTGTCCAGGCTTGGAGTCGATCGAGCTGGATTTGGATGTGAAGACTGCTGCTCTTTTGGAAACTCTAGCCCTCAATGCAGTCAAGCGTGCGGTGCCGGTGCCTTCAAGCCTCCGACGCCTGCAGTACTTCTCGGCGTGCAAAGACCCCTACCTACCCTTGTTCCTTGAGTGGCATGCAGCTACCCTTGAGGTGAGTGCAATCACCTTTGGACCGTGCGGCTTGCGCGAAAATGTTGGTTGGTACTTCTGCAAGTAAATCCTCCTTCCCCTTACGACAGGATCCTGTCGTATCTGAACTTCAAAGTTTCAATAACTCATATAATATTGAGACAATCATTAAGTGTGTAGCGTTGTCGAATCGCGCGCGGTTGAGCTCGTCTCAAACGTCTATCATTTACGCCAATTTTAAGCCTTTGGTTAACCAGGGAGTGCAGTGGCCTTGTGTCTCATCTTGGCTGTGCTCCCGCCAGGTGGTGAAACTCCGCTGCGGCCACCCGCGCGCCGCGCCCATGCTGGCCGCCATGCCCCGCCTCAGAGAGCTGCAGTGTCCCGTGCTGAAGGACATGCCGGCCCTCTTGGCGTGCACGGAGTTGCGGTCGCTGCGCCTCTCAATCTCCAAGGACGAATCGCCGCGGCACCTCTTCCCCGGTGTGGCGGAGTACCTCCGTTCGGCCGTCGCCACCATCGAAGACTTGGTCCTCGACTACTTCCAGGACGAAGGCCGCGCCCAGGCGGTGGACCTGGTGCTGAGCCTGGCCGGCCAGCGACGCACAACGCCAGCGCTCAAGAGCCTGCGGTTTGTGTTCAGAAACGACATGGAGCAGCTCATCTTCACGGAGCCGCAACCGCAGCTGCGCCCTCTAGCCGCCGTGGTGCACCGCCTCAAGCACCTCGTGAGTCTCAACATCGGCCAGTTCTCGGACGAACTCTTAGACGCGCTGGACGGAGAGTTCGTCCCCAATTTGGAGCGCCTGGAAGTGAGCTACCGGGATGAGTGCCCTCACGAGTGGATCCACGAAGAGCATGTTAAAGAGCTGATGCAGCGGTGCCCGCGCCTGCACATCTTGGCAGTCGTACCTGAGGGCTGCTGCATCGAAGGCTGCACGTTTTGCACCGAGAACAAGTGCCACGAGGACCTCGACCTCGCAGGCGACTTCACCCTGTTCAGCCACCCCAAAGAAGCAAGCTGCGGCGTGGAGCACGATGACATCGAAATACTCATCAGTTAATGCGTCTGCATGTCCACTCTTCCATCTCGCTAGACCTCAAAACAAAATTTATTAAAGTAAAAAAAAATTATCAGAGACGTGTGAATTTTCTGGTGAATTTTTTGTCAAGTTGATTTTTATAATGTTAGGTTCACTTTATAAGCTAGCTTACTTAGGTTTAATTGCCCTGTAGTATCTACGAAATTAGAGTTAACAAGGTGATTTTATCTGAGAAGCAATATAATTTTTGTAAGCTTTGATGTTTTTCTTCTGGAAATTAATCCTAATGAAAGTTTACTAGTTTCAATAAAGCTGTATAATCCTTTATGAAATTTCTATTATGTCTTGTTAATTTTTATAGAAGAATAGGACCTGTTAGGCGTTAGGCCCCAGCAGGAGTGAATGAATGGATGCATACATTCAAAAATTGAATGTTTAATAAAATTGTCATAAAATTATCAATTGAACTTGAAGACACAACCAAAGTGACTTGACTAATTAAACGAACGAAAGGTAACAATACTCAGAGACACACTTTAAATAACTCACGTTACACAAATGTATGAGATCACTACTTTGTCAAACAAAGGAACCAAACCCTAACAAGCCACTGGGGATAGACAAAAATTTAATTGGCATAGTCCAGATAGGCACTAGAAGGCTCATTAAACAATTAATAAGAGAAATATGATGACAAATTTTTTCGTAATCAAGGAATTTATTTCCTGTAAATGTGGTTTGCTCTCATAAATAATATGTCCTTGACTCGTTTGTGATCTACAGTAAATATATTCAGTGAAATTGTTCTCCGTTCAAATATAGCTGATTGGAGGGTAATGAGCTTGGTTAAAATGATCCCACAAAACATTTTCATCTTCGACATGTCCTCACAGGACTCAATGTAAGCGGCTATGAAAAGATGGTTGAGATGTTACTTTAAGCGGAAACAACCCAGAAATTACACTGACTCTTTAAAATCTTTACTGATAATTCTTGAATATTTAATCTGTATGCAGGGAACATTTTGTCTACATTCATAGATCATTTTTACTAGCACGCACTAGCAATTTGTTTCTGCTTGATTGTGACGCCACCCTGGGAGGGTGGAGTAGAGGTTGGATTATGATTCAAGGAGATTCAGTTGGGGAAATACTCCCAGACCAACCTACCTTCGTTTCGGTTTTCTTCAAGATTTCTAACAAGTGCAATAATTTTTAGACAAGGACTTTATTGTAAGTACACATGCCAGAAATAACAAAAACAATGACATTGAAACTATAATGCAAACCTAATGTCAATAAAAATGTATTTCGCTCCATGCAGTAAACTGAACACACTATTTGATCTGAGAACAGTGCAGTATCCCAATTGATAAGTTTATTTAGTTAACTTTCTAAGCAGTCCAAATTTAAGTTCTAAAAAAAGCTGTCTAATTTTAAATGGTTGGGGCACTATAGCAAGTAGCAACTCTTGAGACAGTTTTCAAACCTCGTTAACCCCATCACCTTTGGATGAATGTCACCATCTGGGAAGATGGATTGTCTGGTTGTGGCAACTAGCTGCAATTTGAATAATATCTGCATCTTCTCCAAAGCCTGTTGTCTCGAAGTGGAAAAACACAACAATCCTGGCACTCAACAGAGTCCTGCCTTTGCGCCAACCATTTGAAGTTGAGCAATGGAACAGAAGTCAAGGGAGGCCTTGTAAACATTTCCAAGTAAAAACTTAAAAACTATATTTCTTGTCTACTCAGCAAAAATAAAGAACACACTTGGTTGCAACTCCACTTCGGGGCTGACTAGGAGAAAAAATCCTATTATCCTTAGGTTCTTTCATTACAAGAAGTGCACTGTGACACCTTTCGCGTTTGTCACCTCTAGGTACTTATTGTTTGTTCTTGTCTGCACCTGCACATACAAGAAAATTGGTGGAAACATTATAATGCAAGAGGTCTCCTGGGATGAAAATTACTAAGGAACTTCAATGTTAAAAATGTGACCAAATAGTACGATGTTCCTACATCAGCGTGTATAAATGAAAATTTACACAAAGAATTGCGGTCTCAAAATGAACAACAATATTTATCTAACACAGTGTGGATAGCCCTGATCCGTTTCCCTAAATATATTTGATATCATATCAGTTTTTGAAAATGTGAAGCAGGTCCAGCCGTCAACTCTGTTGAGTCAAAACAAAAAGAGGGTACTTGAATGGAAACCATGCAGACTTCATCTTCCCCAAGTTTCTTTGACTTGACAAAAATTTAATAAAAGTAACGAATACATAATAAGTTGTCATTAACTTGCATCTTAGATAATCTGTAATTACACCAGGAACGTAAACAAAGAGAAATAGCAGAAGACACAAGCGACTTCGTGCTTACTTATTCATATCAGTCTCACCTGAACATTTTGAACACCTCACGATGACTTCTGATCAGAGAATCAAACGACGATAAGCATGATGAGCGAAATCGATTGGAAATTCTTAAACTTTGCACGTTGCGAGCGAAGGGAAAATAAACCAAACAGGCACCATGTTGAGTCGCTCGCCGCCTCAAGTATGAGAAATTAACGACGCACCGTCGTCCACCATTGCCAACGCTAAAAATAAAAACCTAAGCAGGTTTTAGGTTTTTATTCTCACAGCGCGACACTCAACTTACTAGATTTGATGTGGTGAGATATAAGCTTATTAAAGTTGCTCTGCCAGTCTGCAGTTAGTCTTTTCAGCTAGAGTTTTCACTTTTCATCCACCGTGCCGCTGTTGGTCAGCCAAACAGCCAAGGAAGGGGAAGTATGAGAAATTGCGCACGGTCGTTGAGGCTCAACAAAGCAGCGTCGCGGCCGCGGCGTCAGTCAGTGAGTGGGACGAGTGGGAGTCGGTCCGTGAGCGAGCGAGCGAAAGCGAAACCGAAGCCAAGCTCGGAGTGCGCGTAGGCCGTGTTGTCGCCGCCGTGGCAGAGTCGGCGAATTATTGTGTGACTGGTCAGCGCGGCTTTCATTGAACTGGTGAGTACCCTGATTTCACTGATGATGCTTCGAGGCTGTAAAGTTAAACGGAATCGTGACGCTCACTCGCTGGTGGACGGAAAGCAATTCATTGGTGGGGTCACACGTTCGATTCGAGTCCTGTTAGCGGACTCTGGAGGTCAATACGCGTTGAGAAATTTGGTCGCCTTCACCGGTCTTCTCTCAATAGCGGAGGGGCCATACTTGACTTGCTAGAGTAACAGATAAAGTGCTTCAGAACCTACACGGGAAATCGGCGTCAATGATACACACTCTCCATCGGCCTAATTGATTTATCGGATTCGTGTTAATTGAATTCGAAAAAGCGCGGCGTTGATCGGATTCACGTCCTGGCGTAACCGATGGCGTAACATAAGCCTTTGCACTTCTGGTGCACGGAAGCATCGATGACCCGTGACTTAGTGGGAAAGTGGGATTAATGTTCAAAAATTTTACTATGTTGTCATGAGAGCTTGACAAGACTCCCACTAGCAGCGTCTCCCTCCCTTCTTCACCCTTGCGACAGGCCCGCATTGTTGAGGCATTCGCCGGCCAGAGTCGCACACTGGCCTTATTGTACGGCTCTGACACCGGCCACATCGCACAGTGGGCTAGAAGACAGGCGAAGGCGGCCAAAACTCTAGACGCGTTTTGAACTCCAGAGTCGCTGCACAGGACACGAACCGAGCGTGTGACCCCATTAATTGACTCCGCGTTCGAAGAGCAATCCATTGGTGGGGTCACCTGCTCGGTTTGAGTCCTGCTCCATTCCCCCCCCCCCCTTTTCCGCCTCCGTGAAAAAGTTTTCCTCTAGGCATTTGTCCCAATTTCATGACGACGGTACACGGTAAAAACGGTACCTGGTTTTCCCCGGAAGCCTATGGTAGAGACATAGGCGATTTCCAGGCAGTTCCTGGGAAAACCAGGAACCGTTTTTACCGTGTACTGAAAAGTCAAACGTGAGATATTAAGCCGAGCCACGCAACGTGTCAGAAAACAACTTCTTACCTATGGGTGTCAAGAATCGAAATTCTCACCTCTGTAGCGGTCGGTAATTTATGCCCAAGTTTAGTGAGAATTTTGATTGTCACCGGGACGGTTCGAAGGATTTCTTGTGAAAATGTCATCACCATTCAAGTTTTAGTGAGTCATTTCCGGTCATTTCTGCATGAATCGCGTCTTTCTTGGTCTCTGAGGTATTCCCCGCGTCGAAGCAACAAGGCTGGGCGCCCCCTCCCCTCTCTCCCGCCTTGTTCTGCTGAGCCGCAGAGAACGATACAGTACGTGCTGTCGGCTGGTTCAGGTTCATCGTAACTCCGTCTCTGTCGCGCCTCTCTGAATGGGTGCGAGAGAGAAAGAGCAACGAAAGCACGGACGAAAGCGGCACTGTTCTGCAAGCCGATAGTGTACGCCCGCGATAGCGTGGGGACTACCCGACGGATTCCAGCGAGAGGCATTGTGTCTCTTGTGCGCTCTTTAGTGTGTGCACTCCAAATGTCCCACAATGAAATTTGAACTTTCTTACACTTTCAGACTCGCACTAAGTTTTTGGTTAAAAACGCATTGACGTTGCGCATTAATAAGCGTATTAGCATTTTTATTTGTATTGTAAACATAAATAGTAGTACGAGTGAAAACCTGTCAGCTGGAGCTTTGACTATGATACGCTTGACCTGAAAATTCTTTAGAAATTCCTTGGACGTAGCTTTGATGAAGTCCCGGGAAACCCCGTCAGTGAGCTGCCTGCCCGCCACCTGGGTCCTTCTTTCTGCACAGAGCACTACGTGCCTGTTTCGGTGAACATGACTTCACTCTCATTGCAGGAACGTGACATCACGTTGAAACGAACATGACAAGATGTCACGTTCGTTTGAGCATTGTGTCACATTCGTTTGGATGTGAATCGGCCAAAAATTAGCTTGTTCACATTTAAACGAATATGACACAATGCTCAAACGAACGTGACAAAATGTCACGTTCGTTTCAACGTGATGTCACGTTCTTGCAATGAGAGTGTTAACATCCCTCGGATCGGAATCTGATTCGTGTCACGTTTCTTCAAATATTGTGTTGAGTTACTTACGCACGCAACCACTTTTGACGTATAGGAGCACAAAATTTCTTTATGGGAAGAAATTTAGTCGAAGTTTGCAACCTTTCGACCGAGTTTGCGCTTCATATAATTTGTTTTGTCTTATCTTTGGAGGGGGGGGGAGAGATTTCAGATTATCAGATATTTCAGACATGAAAGTAGACACAAGATTCCTTGAAATGTTGCCCCAAATTGGCTTTCTCTAGGGCCTAGAGTCTAGACGTATTTTGGACGAGCCCTAAATCTTGAATCGAAGTTAAATGGATAAGTACTTCCTTCGACGATACAATTTCGTTTCCGTCTGACGACTGCAATTTGCGATTTCATGGGACTCAGTACCACTTGGTGGACACAAAATTGTATCTCGCCGTCGGATGTGCTTCTAATTGCTAACTTCATGGAGCATTAACAGCCCCGTGACTTGTAATGTGTAGCCGGACAGTGGTTCATATGACTTATGCTTTGACCCTTGTGTTGACAGGAAGATTGGAGACAAACCGTCGTTCTGCCTTGTCGGGGTTGCTGCCAGCATGGGAAGAGGTAAGTTACGTTTTCCTTGTGGGTTGTAATAACACTTCCACCAGAGCACCGAGTGAAGAAGATTAACAAAAGCCGGAAAACAGTTCATAAAAGTCGCTAATTCGTTACGTTATAGGGTCATTTGGGTTCTAAAAATTGTTTAAAATTAAACAAAGATGAGTACCATTATTTTAAAACGTTAAAACATCAAAACAAGACGAATTTAGGAACTGGTTCCGGTGCTACTTCTTCCTCTTGTTCTTCTCTTAACGTTCTGGTGGAAGTGTCTATTTCTCTGAAAATGATCTTCTGTGGGAATTTTCGGCTGCTCAATAATAAAGTCTACAAAGCTTCGCTTTGTTACGAAGAAAACGAAGGCATTGTAAATTTTACTGCAATTGCTTCGTACTACAAAGCAAAATTCTTCGTAGTATTGTTAGCAATTCTACAATGCCTTTATTTTCTTCGTCGTGAAGAATCCAAAGCTTCGTGTGGAAGTTTGTGGTGAAACAAAACCTGTGGCTTTCTCTAGGGCCTAGAGTCTTGGCGTATTTTCGACGAGCCTAAAATCTGGGTATTTCTGTGAGTCCTAGACCGGAACCAAGAAGAACAAAAGTAAGCCCTAAATCGGAAGCTTTAATCATATTTACCTCTATTCTCCATGCTTTAATTCTCGAGCCCGGCCGCAGCCGTTATGAGAAAAATAGCTTGCGCTCGTCGTTTGTTGATTTTTGTTCCGCTGCTCTTTCACTGTGAAAATTTGTTGTCACTTTATAACAAAAACCCGGATGGCATTTTCATCACTTTCAAATCAAGACAATATCATCGGAATTTGATGACATTTTCGTCAAAGCTCCTACACTTCCTGCATGGGCGTGACAACAATGTCATCCAAATTTTTTTATGACATTGTTGTAAGGAAACAAATTAGCCTTGAAATTGTCATCAAGTGACGTCTCACAGTGTTCACAGTTTCACAGTGTTCACGCGCGCGTTGACTTGTGATTGTCGTACACTTGTATGACGCACTGAGAGGAAAAAAGTACGGAAAAAGTACGGAACATGTCTGCTCAATAATTAGCCTGGAATGTCCGTACTTGCCAACTACGGAACGTTCCGTACTTATTCCGTACCCATTTACATGGGTTCATATGGAGCAAGTACGGAACGTTCCGTACTTTTCTCCGTACCTCCGTACTATATTTTTCTGTACTACGTACCATTTCCGTACAAAAGAACGGAATTTTTTGGCCCGCCCTTCTATTCAAAAAATAGGGGGAGGGCCTATGCATTTGCCTTTGTGTCTGTGTGTTGTTGTTGTTGTTGTTGTTGTTGTTGGCGTCTGTGTACAAGGAAGGAGTTGAGCTAGAGTAACCAGATTTGGAGGGTACTTCAGGAGTACCGTCCAAACAAATAATCCGGTGGTGCAAATCCCGTCCGGGTCGCACAAGGGCTGCTGCAGGTGCATCATGGTTTACATGAGCGGGAGGGGGATTTCCGCCATTATTGGTGCTAGCGGGGCACATAGGGGTATTTTTGGAATCGGGGCGACGAGACAGGATGAATGGACCTGGTCCCGACCCCATCGGCCGCTTTTACAAGTTGGCCAGATCAGGATCTTCAAAAAAGGGGGTCGACCGACTAAAAAAATTTATTGCAGATTTCGATTGGTCTCAGCAAGACCTTTTCAACGAGGGGTCGGAAAGGGGGTCCAGGAGCCCGACTTCGTCTAATAGTCACGTCAGGATCTTGAAATAAAAGGGTCGACCGACTGAAAATTTTTACTTAAGTTTTGGATAGGTCTTAGGCAAGACCTCTTCAACGAGGCGTCGGAAGGGGGATCCAGGAGCCCGCCTTCATGAGTTATGGGAAAAAGTGCGACGGACTCGTTTTGCGCTCCTGCTGTGCCTCTATTGCAAGGAGTTGCAGTAGCATGGCAAATATGGGTATTTTCGGAATGAGGGCGAAGAGACAAATGAAATGGGCATATTCTAAGGACAGTTGGAGTAAAAAGTGTAAGGACTTTTGCATATTGTGAATAGAAGGGCGGGCCTAAGTGACGGTGGTACATCGATAACTTTGCTTTACCCGCTCACGGGGTGTGTGATGCGAGCGGGCCGAAGGCCCGGGCCTTCGACTGGCCAAGTTGGGTCTGATGCGAGGGCCGAAGGCCCGAGGAAAGGCCGCCGGCAGGCCAAGCTGGGCCGGCCCCCTGTCGAACCGAGTTGCCGGCGAAGCGGAGCTGGCAACTCGGTTCGACGGAAGGGCGGGCCCTAGCTTGTTTACAGTGCTCCGGTCAAGGATCCACGGAAATACCCTATCAATGAACGTCCCCTGCCCTGTGAAGCTAATCCGTAGTCGCAATGCTGCTGTTGCAGGCAAAGGAGGCCGTTGCCGTGGTGGTCGAAATGCGGCTGCGCCGGCCTCCGAAGGACATCCTGGACCTGAGGGCGCGCCCCCAGGCAAACCCGCGCCGCCCAAAGAACGCGGCCGAGGACGACGTGGCGGTCGAGCGGGGGCGGCGGCTGGACCGTCGGAGCGACGGACTGATCCTGGCCCGGCCGAAGCAGCGCGTGGATCTGCTCGACGTGGATCGTCCCGGGGAGGCCACCATGAGGCCCGCGGAGCTGGAAGTTGCAAACCCGGGCCTCGCAAAGTTGTCCCAGGTAAGTTACCGATTGCAAATGATGGACTCATTCAGCGCGTTCGTGGCTTTTTAGCTCATTAACACATAGTTATACAAGTAAGTGGTGTATTGTGAGGCGGCCTTTTTCAATCCCGAATCGAATGTTGGAAAATTTCTCCGTATCGAATCAAATTGCGTATTTTCGAGGGGGCAACAACTCGAATTTTGTAGTACACGTTTCCCTTGAAAAAACGTCGAAATAACGTCAAGTATGTTAACAACAACGTGAAGTATCGCGAAATAACGTCAGGTAGCGTTGAAATAACACTGTTATTCCACTTGCGATACAGACCGCACTTTCTGCGCAATACAAATTTCATCACACGTTACTGTGATGATCACAGCAAAAAGGTGTGATGAGCTACAGTATCGCAGAATTTTGCAATGATCATTGCGTAATGATTCGAGATTTTGTGTCATCATCGCAGTTTTTAGCAATAATTCCGATTTTCATTCCAGAAAGTTGCGATGATCATTGCAGAATTTTGTGCGATACGGAAGTCATTGCATCTCAGGAGCAATGATACGTGGGAATCACATTTTGGATATCATCACACGTTTTTGTGTCGAAAGTATCGCAACTTGGATAACAGTGAACGTAAAATCACTTGAATTTGAATTGACGGTGTACAAATTTTTTTGGAATTGTATGCGCCTTGGGTATATTTATGTCTAGAAGGGGGTAAAATGAGCACTCTTGCCGTTTGAGTCCAACAACTTTGATTTGGAAATTTTCCTTCCTCTTTATGTTTTTGAATTGAATCTGCTCTGTTTCGATTCAGTTTCGAAGCATTCACACACCATGCAAACGTACTTCGCGCTTTTTGATTTTAAAATAACTTCTTACGTAAAAGGAGCGGGGGCGGCGGCTGGACCGTCGGAGCGACGGCCTGATCTTGGCCCAGCCGAAGCAGCGCGAGGATCTGCTCGACGTGGATCGTCCCGAGGAGGCCACCATGAGGCCCGCGGAGCTGGAAGTTGCAAACCCGGGCCTCGCAAAGTTGTCCCAGGTAAGTTACCGATTGCAAATGATGGACTCATTCAGCGCGTTCTTGACTTTTTACTCAATCATATAGTTACTCAAGTAAGAAGTGCGTGAAACGGCCTTTTTCAACCTCGACCTGAATGTTGGAAAATTTCTCCTAATCGGATCAAATTGCGTATTTTCGAGGGGGCAACAACTCGAATTTTGCACGTTTCCCTTGAAATTACGTCGAAATAACGTCAAGTATGTTAAAATAACGTGAAGTATCGCGAAATAACGTGAGGTAGCGTTAAATCGCTTGAACTTGAACTAACGGTGTACAAAATTTTTTGAAGTTGTATGCGCCTTGGGTATATTTATGTCTAGAAGGGGGTAAAATGAGCGAGCAATGTTGCCGTTTAAGTCCAAAAACTTTGATTTGGAAAGTTTCCTTCCTCTTTATGTTTTTGAATTGAATCTGTTCTGTTTCGATTCAGTTTCGAAGCATTCACACACCATGCAAACGTACTACGCGCTTTTTTATTTTAAAATAACTTCTTACGTTAAAGGAATTCACTGACGTATTTTCAAGCTCTTACAAAGAACGATGTATTATCCTCGCTCATAATGAGGAAAAAGTCAGAAACGAGCCGAGAGGTTCTTTACATGTGTGTTTAGGGGAGAAAAATAGCATTTTAGAGCACAGTAATGCTACGACTATGGTCTTTTTTTTTCATTCCATTACAGACCGATCGTCAAACCCGCTTAGAGAAATCGGCTGGAAAAAGCTCAGAGAGCTGTCGGACGACAATGGACTTACTATCATGGAGAAGCTCTCGAATGAATCTACTCTAGCTCTCTTCAAAAATTTAACGTGCGAAAAGGACATGCCTGAAGATTGGTTGCGGCTAGTAGTGACCATTTTGGCCAAGGTATCCACTGTCGAGTACAAGCCAATTGTGGTGAAACTGTTCAGCACTGTTTGCGAAAAAAAATTCGTTGATCAGTTGCTTCTGCACATTTCACGTGTGCCTTATGACAAGAATGCTAATCGCAAGCAGACAGTTGGCAACTTTTTCAGTGAACTTACCATTCTCTGCAAGGCCATTTTAGAACTTACCCCCAGTCTTGCATACGACAATCTGGATATTGTCCTCAAGAGAGCTTCACAGGAGCTGGACGAAATGCCTGCATTTCAAGGGTGTGAGACAGTTAAAGAAAATCTCAAGCTGCTCAGGGAGAAATTAATGACTGAAAAAGAAAGATTTGAAAGCATGATAGCTGCATCGGTTCAAATGAACAACTTGCACTTGACGCCACCATCAGATTTGAACTTTCGAGATCTTTCACATGTTCCTGCCATAGAAGACATAGTGGTTGAGTCGTTTGCTAAACCATTTCTACGACCCAACAAGGTCAACCAAGGCCCTTACGACAGTGTTGACGAATATTTGGACACTCATTTTCGACTTATGAGGGAAGATTTCCTGCGGCCTTTGAGGGAGGGTATTTTAGAATACCGCAAGGCTCTGAAAGAACAGAAGAAAACAAATGGAAGGTTTCGAGGTCGCATACAGAACATACGTATTTATGACAAAGTGCGCATGATTCACGTTGATACGGAAAAAGAGAGAGTCGGTATTGTTCTGGACTTCGATCTAGACAAGAGGTATGCCAAGACCATCCAGTGGAAGTTTTCCAAGAGGTTCATGACCGGGTCATTGCTTGTGCTGGCCGAAGACGAGGATTTCTCGTCTATTGTTCTCGCAACGGTCAGCAAGCGAGATGACGCAGAGCTTGCTAAGGGGAAGGTCCTCGTAGAACTCTGTGGAGGAAGCGCAGTGAGCAGGGAGCTTCTCAGACGTGAGTACATGATGGTTGAATGCCAGGTTTTCTTTGGGGCATATTCCCATGTTTTGGAAGCTCTAAAGAATTTCAATGAAGACTCATTCCCTTTGAAGACGTACATAGTGTACGGGTCGAACAAGCCAGAACTGCCTGATTACCAGGTACGTGCACGAGATGCCGACATGAAAATGAAGCTCTTCCCCGAAAGCAAAGGGTCTCCTCGTGAAGGCGTGCCCGTCGCTGTAGACAACCTCAGCACTTGGCCTTCCGCTAGCGAGCTAGGCCTAGACGAGTCCCAGTACCGAGCGCTGATCGGCGCTCTGACGAACAAGCTTATGCTGATACAAGGCCCGCCTGGTACCGGGAAGACTTTCGTCGGTCTCAAGATTGCTGCTTGTCTCATCAAGAACCAGGAGTTGTGGAGGCCAAAGGAGGATCCACGGCCGATGCTTGTTGTATGTTACACGAATCATGCCTTGGATCAATTCCTGACAGGACTCATGTCAGTAACCAAGAGCATCGTCCGGGTGGGATCGGGAAGCAAGGACACTCATCTTGACGAATTTTCAATCAAGTCCCTTCGAGGGAAAGGCGAATATGGTGCTGCGGGGCGACTCTCTCAGAATATCCGAAATGAGAGGGCTAAGTTCAACAAGATCAAGAGCTTGGGGGACCGAATCCGATATTGTTCATCGCACCTGAGAGAAGGCGTCATTTCCATGAAGACACTGTGGTCGTATGGCATTGTTCCCGATCAGTACCTGCGCTTGACAGATGTAGATATGTTCCGGTGGCTTTGTGGCTATAGGGAAAATGTGCGTCTTCCAGAATGTATCAGACTCCGTCTGAGGAAATCTAGTTTCCTAGACCACGAGGACCCTGCGTTCGACTATTTGGAATTCCCCAAAGCGGGTGTGACTAAAGTTCAACTGATTTCATTTCACCAAATTCACGATCTCATCAAGATGCTTGAGACGGAGGCCCAGCAGGAGGCCCTGAAGGAGCCACATCAGGTGCCCCTGCATTCTGAACTCCTGAACCATCTACGTAGGATAGTAGCGACCTTGAATCAGGAGCTTGCTGCGAACAGACATCGACAGCATAACGAACAACAGTTTGAGCCGCATCCTCACCTTGCTGATTTCTGGAAGATGAAGATGGAACGCCGCTGGCAGCTGTACAGGTAATAGTGAACTTCGTAAACTTGCATGCTAAATTACTATGTAGTTTTTGTGCATAAGCTTTGCACGAAATTGTGAAACTGCATGCGCTTTAAAACGTTCAAAATTGTGCGTAACTAAGAACGAAAGTGTGCATTGTTGAGCATGAATTCGTGCGGTTCACGTCTATGTTCAATTTTGTGCAAATCTTATGCACAAGAATTAAAAAGTAATCTAGTGTGTTTATAGGAGTGTACTATGCAGTACACATCTATTGAATTGTGACTGACAAGTATTCATTTAGAGGAATGTGACCGACAATTATGCATCTTTAGAATCCGCAAATCCAAGTGTAGTACAGGTCGACATTTTAAGGCGTAGACCAGTTTGTCCTACGTTTGCAAGTGTCGACCAGTTGATCTAGGAAGCGGAAGAAGGGAATAACTTGACTTATACCCAAATAGAGTTTTTATTTTATTATTGTGCCTTAGAATGGTTTCCATCATTACTCCAAATTATTTGACTGAATTCCAAGCAGTTTAGGAGAAAATCCACATAGAAAAAGCGTATAACTCAACTTAACCCCTTTTACGGTCTAAATTTCATTGGAAAATGGAGATAACTCAACGGAAGTCCCCATGAGTCCGTTTGACAAATTGGCAAAAGGATATAACTCAACTTGTATTTTTGTGAATCTTGTGTAAAAAGAATCAACTCAACTTAACCCCCCCCCTTAATTTTAAATTTCAATTTGGAAAAAAGAGCTAAGTCCAAAAAATATACCAGAGTAACATACACTTTATGCAGACTATTGTTCCACTTGACTTGTCTCCAAATTCCTCTTTGTTTAGGAAATATAAGGTGAGCTGACTCTGTTTTCCATTTCAACGGAAAGTGATAAGTCGCAGAAATCCTCTACGGAGTGACCTTACACTTTTGATTTTTTTCCAAAATATTACTAATGCTGTTTGAAATTATTAACATCTGCAACATTCATTTGTTTTGTTTTAGTTTTCCCTGCTAACAGTTTTTGGTTTCTCCTGGCAAATGGCCAAAATTGAGTTATCCCCTTCTTCCGCTTCCTGGATCAGTTGTGCCCGACGCTTTTAAGCGGCGACCACACAGTCTCCGACGTCTGCAAGTGTCGACCACAGCATGTCCGACGGCTGAAGTGTGGGGCCACAAGTGTAATTTGCCGTAGAACAAACAGTGTCCTACACATGCGGGCGTCGGACACTGTGTGGTCGACACTAAAAAGCGTCGGACACAACTGGTTAACACTTGCAAGCGTAGGACAAAGTGGTCCACGCCTCTAAGTGTCGACTTGTCGTAAACTTACATTTGCAGTGCACATTTATAGGGGTGTACTTGAGTATGTATGTCAAGTACACCCCTATAAATGTGTACTTTTCTATCACTCATTTTCACTGGTAAAACTAAAGCGCAGTATTACCCTCTGTTTCCAAGCGTAATCTGTTTACGCTTGAAATCAAGCGCAACAGGCTCATCGGCCAAGATTCCCCCTATCTTAATGCATGGGGAAATTTCCAGAGTATGCTTCATTTCAAGCGTAACGTCTTCAAGCGTAACTTTATTCTTGACTCAAGCATAGAGTTACGCTTTAGTTTTACCAGTGTAGATGTGTACTTCTCTATCACTCCTATAGACTTACTTAAGGAGGAAGATGAGAAATAAGTCCACATAAGATCTTGTAGTGTGATCATACAAACAGCTGGGCTTGCTCACCTTATTTCTGACTCGGAATTCCTAAAACTCACTTTTTGTTTCCAGGAACTGGAGGGCTGCACTTGCGAGGATCATAGAAGAAGGCTTCGAACCGCTAGCAGACGAAATAGATATGAAGCTGGGAGAAATTGCTAAACTGCTTAAGACGTGGAGGATGGTTCAAGATCAGCACGTCATGGCTGCACACGAGATCGTTGGCATGACCACATCCTTCGCTGCTGCTCACCAAGAAAATCTGAAGGAACTGAAGCCACGGATAGGTGGGTTTATGCGGCAAAACATACGTCGAGTCGCACAGTGGGCCAGAAGACCGGTGGAGGCGGCCAATAATCTAGACGCGTTTCGTTCGAGCTTCAAAGTAGCTAAATGGGACTCGAGGCGAACGTGAGACCTCCACCAATGGATTGCTCTTCAAACGAGGAATCCATTGGTGGGGTCACAGGTTCGGTTCGAGCGAGGTTCGAGTCCTGTTAAGCGACTCCGGAGCTCAAAACGCGTCAAGAATTTTGACCGCCTGTACCGGTTTTCTGGCCCACGGTTAGTCGCTAAATACGTCCGGGTCTACAACCTTTGTACCAATTTCGAGACCAATTTAATTCACACATAAATCATTTACTTGCAGTGATTGTCGAGGAGGCCGCGGAAGTGTTCGAGAGTCACGTCCTTGTGTCCTTGGCGGGAGAAGTTGAACATCTCATTATGATAGGTAAGCTCACTCTCCCCGCTCGAAGAGTCCGCCCACCCTGTGGGAATAAATCACAGTAAATCCTGTAGTGATTAGTACAGCTGTCACTGTAGTTCCGAGTACAGGATTTACTGTACTTTTTTAACAGGATCTACTGTACTTTGTACGGGATTTACTGTACCACAGGAGTGGAGTAGGCCGCCGGAAGTGATCGAGGGGTCAGGGTTCCTTTGTGTTTTTGACGGAAAATTTGAACATCGGCATTAAAATTTAGGGATTCACTGCCCCGCTCGAAGAGTCCACCCACCCTGTATAAGTTTTTCCAACAGTCTTAGGAATGTTGCTTGTATCGTGAAACTCTTGAGGGCTTTTTTCATGCATACATGGACAGACACTTACGTAAAGTGTGCGTACTATTATGCAGCACTTTGTACATTTTATGCAGGAACCATTCACCAACACTGCTGGTGCTGTTCGCACTGCACTTTACACAATATCTTAAACGGTAACGGTAAAATTTGTCTTTCTCTAGGCGACCACCAACAACTTCGCCCCAGCCCCTCAGTGTACCAGCTGGGGGTCAAGTACAACCTGAACGTGTCCATGTTCGAGCGGCTCATCGGCAACGGCGTGAACTATGTCACGCTGTCCACTCAGCACCGCATGAGGCCTTAAGTAGCCAGGCTCATTTGCCCCACAATTTACCCGAAACTACTGAACCACAGATCGGTCCAATGTTACCCGGGCGTGCTGGGCCTTGCGAAGAATGTCTTCTTCGTGGACCACAAAAACCCTGAACAAGTGGTAAGCTGCTGTTTATTTCCCGTTTATACTTACCAGTTTCGTAACGTTTGTTCGAGGGGTCTACCACTCAGCTCGAAAGTGCACACACCATTACTGATTACCGGTGATGACCCAAGAAAAATCCCTACCGGCTCTAAAGTTTTGGCCAGTTAAAAGCATTTATTGCATTTTTTCATAAGAATAAAACCCAAACCGCGAAAATATCCTGTTTTGCCATATGGTTACCAGTGGTTTCTGGACGAAGTGTATACAGGATTACCTGAGAGGTGGACCCCTCGCGTTGTTTTTTTTTTTTTTTGGGGGGGGGGGGAAGTACTTTCTTCTGGTGGCAATTTTTTTGTGTGTGAGGCCGAGCGAAGGCTAGGCATAGAAGAGCACTTCACTTGTAATGAAATTTGGTTCATTTTAGGTCCAGGATTCTCAGAGCTATCAAAACAGCCACGAGGCTGAATTTATGGCATGCATGGTGAACCATCTCTTGCTCCAGGGATACGACCCCACACGTATCACGGTGTTGAGTGCGTACAAGGGCCAGCAGTACTACTTTTCCAAGGTATTAACGGACATTTGTGGGGAACATTCGGTTGCCTTCCATTTATTGTGTACACTGGTCAAATCAAAGCGTAGTTGCGCTGAGATTCCAAACGCTATGAGTATGGCACGTATGGTGCAATGCAGCTGAGATATCGCACCATACGTGCAATGACACAGCCATATTGCACCTTACGTGCAATGCGTCCCGAAAATGCCCTATGCTTATGAATGGGAATGGGAAGGCATTGCACTTCATGTGCAATGCTTTTGCATTGCACCAATTGACGCTATACTCATAGGTTTGGATTCTCAGTGTGCACGCCTTTTTTGCGTACGCTACCAATTGCATTTTATACCCAGTGATGATGATTCGACAAGTGGCGTAAGCATAGAGAAAAGTTGCAATTTCTTTTAACCAGCATGTCTTTTTTTCTGTCAGTTGAAAGATCAGAATCAGCACCTTAAGGACGTACGGATGACAGTAGTTGACAACTTCCAAGGCGAGGAGTCCGACATCATCCTGCTGTCTTTGGTGCGCAGCAACCCGGATGACAACGTTGGTTTCCTCAAGACAGAGAACCGAGTGTGCGTGGCTCTCTCCAGAGCACGGCATGGTAAGGCAATGCACTGTGGGCCAGAAAACCAGTGGCGTCGCACAGTAGGCCTGAAGACCGGTGGACGCGCCAAAATTCCGGACGCGTTTTGAGCTTCAGAGTCGCTGAAGGGACTCGAACCGAACGTGTGAACCCACCAATGGATTCCTCGTTCGGAGAGCAATCCATTGGTGGGGTCACACGTTCGGTTCGAGTCCTGTTTAGCGACTCTGGAGCTCAGAACGCGTCTCGAGTTTTGTCCGCCTCCAGCGGTCTTTTGGCCCACTGTGCGGTGCACGCCACCGAGTGTCCCCCACAAGTTTCTCCTCAAAACATGAATCAAGGGGAAATCACTGTGAATTTCGGTGTACAAATCCAATGAATTTCAGTCAAATTGCGATGAATTTCAGTCGGATTTCGAAGAATTTCAGTCAAATTTGGAAGAGTTCTAGTCGGACCTCGATGAATTTCAGTCCAATTTCGATGAGTTTCAGTCCAACTTGAATGAATCTCAGTGAAGTTTACATATTTGACGAATTCAGGTGTACCAATTTGGCTGGAGTCATTTCCCCTTGACATGAATCCATGTATAAACCGCATTCGCAGGCCTGTTCATGATCGGCAACATGGCCAACCTGACTGCGGCCGAGGGCACGGTGTGGCGCAAGGTGGAGGAGGAGCTGCGGCGACAGGGCGCCATCGGGCCGGCCTTGCCGCTGCGCTGCGACCACCACGGCGTCATCAACAACGTGAGCAAGGCCCAGGACTTCTCCAACAGCCCGCAGGGAGGCTGCCTGCAGCTCTGCAAGACCCTCATGCCGTGCGGCCACGACTGCAAGCAGGTCTGCCACATCCTGGACATGGAGCACAGGAACGCCAAGTGAGTATTCCCCACTGTACAGTGGGCCAGAAGACCGACCGGTGCAGGCGGTCAAAGTCCTGGATGCGTTTTGAGCTCCCTAGTCGCTAAGCAGGTCTCGAACTGAGCATGTAACACCACCAATAGTTTTCTCGTTCGTAGAGCAACCCATTGGTGGGGTCACACGTTCGGTTCGAGTCCCATTTAGCGACTCTGGAGCTCACAACGCGTCTGGGATTTCGACCGCCTCCACCGGTCTTCTGGCCCACTGCGCCCCGTTGCGTCAGATCACAGCAGCCTCTCACAAGCTCCAGCGTGTGACAGTTTTCGTTCACTTGTAGGCGGAACCGCTTTTATTCGTTTGAAATGTCGCATAAATTTTTGCGAATAGCACGCAGCGCTTTATTGTGCGAGATCACGTTCGAGAAAATAGTACTGACGAATGTAATTTGCCGAACGCAACCCTTGTCCGTGTGTCCACTCCACAGGTGCTTGGAGAAGTGCGAACGGCCGGCCTGTCCCCAGCAGCATCCTTGCCCAGAGCGGTGCTCGACTCCGTGCCCGCCCTGCCTGGTGCCGAAGCAGGAGCAGCTTGCCTGCGGCCACTCCGCCACCATGGCCTGCCACGAGATTCCCGCCCAGTACAAGTGCAAGGTGAGGCACCACCGCACAGTGGGCCAGAAGACCGGTGGAGGCGGCCAAAACCCTAGACGCGTCTTGAGCTCCAGAGTCGCTAAATGGGACTCGAACCAAACCCCACCGATGGGTTGCTCCTTCGAACGAGGAATCCATTAGTGGGTTCACGTTCGGTTCGAGTCCTGTTTATTAACGACTCTTAGAGCTCAAAACGCACCCTGAGACTTTTGGCCGCCTCCACCGGTCTTCTGGCCGGTACACTGGAAAAGCATCCGCTCTTTTGTACGGTTAATGCGTAAAAGAATATAGAACGTATTTACGGGAAAATTACGTAACGTCAGTACTTGTTCCGTGCGAGCTGTTGCGCCTCGGGGTACGGAAAAAATGTATACTCTACACGCTCTACCTGGAGCATGCCTGCAAGCACTCTCTAGCTAGCGCATGCCTGCCACAACATAAGTACACAAAATTTCTGGCAAATTATTTATCAGGAATTTATTGTACCTTCAAAGTACAACAATTGTGGTACAAAGTACAATGGGACCGGCATAAGGAGCGCTGTGCAATCCAGGCTGCGTTGTGGTTTGTACGACTCTCGTTGTACTTTCTACAATCCCCGTTGTACTTTTATTGTACAGTTTTTGTTGTACATTTATTGTACTATTCACACTTTTTTTGCAGTGCATAAGACCGCCAAGAGTTGCTGGTTTGTATCGCCACCAATCCTACCTCCTGTTTTAGGTTGAAATTGAATCCTGCACTCTACCCGCCTGCGGACACGAGAGGAGCGCCCTTTGCTTCCAACTGGCTGAACTGGACAAGCTGCCCTGCACGACGCCCTGCGTTTTGCGCATGCCGTGCGGCCACGCCTGCAAGTCCAACTGCCACGTGCTCAAGGACCCCAACCATGAAAAGGTAAGTGCACACTAAATGTTTATGTACAATTTTGTACGTGGTGATGCATAATTTTAAACTTGTGTGCCGTCGTGCATAAAATTGTGCGTGAATTTGCATAAATTTGTGCATTTTCACGCATTATATTATGCAAATTCCCCGCATGCACAAAATCGTGCAAGTGGCACGTACAAAATTCTACATAAACATTTAGTGTGTGGAGCGCACGGCTGCGTTTGATACTAGAGGCCTGTGAAATTAAATTCACTGTAAAAAATAAATCTCCGGGTTTTACAAAGGTGCCTGTAGAAGAAAAAAAAAAGGTTGGCCGAAGAACCTTTGTAAAGTTGCGAAGTCTCTTGGTAATTTAGGAAGGTTTCGTAAGGTCACAAAGATTCTTAGTAATTAACGGGATCTTCGTAAACCCACGAACATTCACCCTAAATTCACAAAGAATCTAAGCTTAGTGAGAAGCCACTACAAACCTAACTCTCCACTGAGTACACACTTACAAATGTATATGCTTGCAAGAACACAATTATTACACACGCAGTTGAAAATGTGAGCTTGGCCAAATCTGCGTACATTTAAGGACTTGCAAGTATGCGTTTGTAAGTGTGTACTTGCAATGCATTTGTAAGTGTGCACACTGAGAATCCAAACGCTATGAGTATAGCGTCAATTGGTGCAATGCAAAAGCATTGCACATGAAGTTCAATGCCTGCACATCCCCATGCATTAGCATAGGGCCTTTTCGGGACGTATTGCACGTAACGTGCAATATGGCTATCGCATTGCACGTATGGTGCAATATCTCAGCTGCATTGCACCATACGTGCTATACTCATAGCGTTTGGAATCTCTGTGCAGGAGACAGTTTGGTCCTCATAAATTCTCGAAAAATTGTGCCTTTTGTGGACTCATCTACGTTGTTTCCCTCAGGTGAAATGCATGGAGCCCTGTGGACAGAAGAGACACGGCTGCACCGCCGACCCAGAACACCAGTGCCGACTGGTTTGCCATCAGACCTGCGAGGTCTGCACAGAGCGTGTGCTGAAGACCCTGGCTTGCGGTCACGTCAACAAAGTGCCGTGCAACTCGGAAGTGGAGACGTTCCGGTGCCAGCGGAAATGCCCGAAGACCCTGCCGTGCGGCCACAAGTGCAGCAAGACGTGCAGTGAAGCCTGTGAGCCCTGCACCGTGCAGGTAAGCTCGACCCACGACGCACAGTGGGCCAGAAGACCGGTGGAGGCGGTCAAAACTCTAGACGCGCTTTGCGCTCTAGCCGCTAAATAGGCCTCGAGCCGAACGTGTGACCCCACCAATGGATTCCTCGTTCGGAGAGCAATCCATTGGTGGGGTCACACGTTCGGTTCGAGTCCCATTTATCGATTCTACAGCTCAAAATGCGTAGAGTTTTGACCGCCTCCACCGGTCTTCTGGCCCACTGTGCGACGTAGGAAAACGGTGCGCAGTTGGACAGAAGACCGTGGAGGCGGCCTAAATTCTAGACGCGTTTTGAGCTGTGGTGTCGCTAAATGGGACTCGAACCGAACGTGTGGCCCCACCAATAGATTGCTCTCCGCTCCGAACGTGTGATCAATTTGAAGCGTTTGGATTCTCGTTGTTTCAGTAGTGTTGCTCTTAAGGGCATTTAATTGATGCTTATTTTTGCTAGTGTGGGCTAAATTCTCCGCAGTGGACTCCTTCCTCCCTCATGCATAGCACTGTTTGGTCCTCCGCAGGTGTCCAAGGCCCTGCCCGGGTGTGGCCACACGCAGAGGATGGCCTGCGGCCAGTCTCCGGACCTGTTCAAGGACTGCAAGGAGCCGTGCCAGCGGAACTTGCCGTGCGGACACCCCTGCGAACTGCAGTGCGCGAAGGACTGCTCCAGCGGTCGCTGCCGACAAGAGGTGCCCTTCCCCGGCACGCCAGCCTGCGGGCACACCATCATCGTCCCTTGCCACCGGAAGAATGACTTGGGTACGTACACTGATTGCTGAGCGAAGCGAAGCACCCTGTTTGTAATTTTGAACTGAACAGCTTATTTGTCCGCCCCCCTTCCCCCCTCCCCCCCATACCTTTAGTTTACTAGAGGTATCTTCCTCTGTTTATTTTTACTATATTCATGTGCGTATACACAGTCGAAGCTCCATAGTCCAGACGCTATAGTCCAAACTCTATAGTCCATCCTCTATATATAATCCCAGCTCAATAATTTAAACTTTATGGTCCAAGCTCCATAGTCCAAGCTCTACAGTCCAAGCTCCATAGTCCAAGCTCCATAGTCCAAGCTTCATAGCCGTAACGCCATACGCCAAGCTTCATTGGCCATTAAGGCTCCCAGCTCAACACTCCAAGTTCCATACCCGGGTGGAAGGATCTGTAGTTCAAACTGCATCAGTGAGCTACTGTCTTTCTGTTCCTGTCAGTTCAGTTCCTTTTCAGAAATTTAAGCAGATGGAAGTTAAAGTTTAAATTGGACTAAAAGAGGGATTTTTGAATAGTTTTATTGATGTTTGTTTATTGTTAAGATGAAGTTTAAGTGCAGACTATAGTCAAGACCATAAGCCGAAAGCACCCTCGTAAATTTAATGGGAGACTTGGTGACTTACGAAAAGTCCTCGTAATGTACAAAGATTTTTCGCAATTTCAAGAACTTAGATGACAGTTCACGAAAGTCCTTCGGAATTAACAAATGAACCTGCCAGAGGTCCCTTCGTTAATTCTTACTTCTTACAGTTTTACGGTCTTACGGTTTGTTCATTCAAAACTTTGTACTAGACCGCAATACTTTTGCCCATTTTCAGTCCTAGGAATCCGTTTTCGTCTCCAGGGATTTAGTCAGAGTGTGTTTTGATTGCAGCCCCCAACAGCAGCGACCTGCTGGCGCTGTGCAGGCAGCCCTGCCGTGCCTTGCTCAAGCCCTGCGACCACCAGTGCGGCGGTTCGTGCGGGGAGTGCCTGCAGGGACGCCTGCACCAGCCCTGCAAGTCTAAGTGCGAGAGGCAGCTGCTCTGCGGACACGTGTGAGTACACTGGAACTGTTGTTTGCAGGAAAGTCGATTTCGTTGCACAATAATAATGGGTATTTGGGACAATTGTAAAGGAAACCCCTCACTAGAGGCTCCTCTAAGTAGCGTGCTAAGAACGCGCCATAATCTGGGGACGTTCCTTCAGTTTTCGTATAAATTCAATTCGTATTACAATGAAGCTATTTGCTTTATTTTTTTAGTAATTCAGAATGGTGCGGAAGGATTTGGTGCTTGAGGGAACCTTCGGTAGAACTAAAGCACACTACTCTAAATGTCTATGAATTAAATTTGAGCTGTTACAGTGAATTCAGTGCAAGCATAATATGAAACAACATTTCTTCGTAATACGAATCTCTTCGGCCTTTCTTTATTGTAAGGTGCAATGAAAAGTCTCCTTAATATTAAGAACAATCACCTTCGAATTCTGCAGAATTCGAAGGTGATTTTTCAAGCATGCTTGCGCAATTTCCGCAAGAGAAATTTCTTCGTAAGATCTTTTGAATGGTAGAGTGTCTTAGTTTTGCTGTTCTTGTACGTGTTGACGTGCCATGTCGTGTTGCCTGCAGGTGCAAGGAGGCTTGTCCAATGAGCTGCCCCCCGTGCACCCAGCCCTGCGAGCTCAAGTGTGAGCACTCAGCCTGCAATCACCGATGTGGTGAACCGTGTGCCCGCTGCCAGGTTAGTTCGATCGACAGATCTTCAACCGCAAAGGACGATTGTTTTTACTTTCGGATGGCAAATGAATGGTTTTACGCTGCGCGTTTAGGGAATGAAATGGGGAGTGACTTTGGTCTTATCCCTGAAGAATTTCACTGAGGGGGAGGAGCTCTCAAAAGAGCAACAGGAGCGAGGGGGTATGCACTCGCGTAATAGTCGGTTCACTCTATCTGTAATAGCACGCGTAATAATACGCGTAATAGTCGCGTATTAGTCGCGTAACAGCCGAAATTGTCAAAATTTTATCAATTTTGGTGTGTTTTAGGCCATTTTTAGCTAAATTCCGATTAATTTGTGGCGTAATAGAGCGTAATAGCGTAATAGTCGGTACACAGGTTCAGAGATCGCATACCCCCTCGAACAGGAGCTTCCGTCCGTGTCCACTTATCCTCTTTTCTAACTGCAGGAGCCCTGCAGTCGGCGCTGCGCGCACGGCCAGTGTCCCAGGCGGTGCGGCGACCCGTGCACCTTCGAGTGCAAGGAAGCTTGCCTAGGGAAGGTGGAGGACTGCGGCCACGACTGCATCGGGCTGTGCGGCGACCCCTGCGTCTGCAAGGAGTGCAACTTGGAGGAGGTCACCACCATCTTCTTCGGCCCGGAGGACGAGGAGGACGCAAGGTTCAAATTTGTCTGGCATTTTAGGCTCTTTCGGTGTCTTAATCATTTTCCTTAATTAAATTTTCTTTATTTTTAATATTAATTAATTAATATTTTCCTTCATAATATTCATGCGATGGGTGGTTCTGTTTAGTTTCAAAGGAAATTTAACGATGCGCGCGCACGCTGTAATATTTTGCATTTGGTATCGCGTAATTTAGCGCAGACGTGCTTTCTGCATAAATTTGTACGCGATTTCACATGTTTTTTTGCAATTCCGCGTGCAAATTTGTACGTTAAAGCTCGCAGTTTTTTTTAAACTATTTGAGAGCACGTGGAAAATTGTACGAATGTATTTAGTACGTCTGACTCGACTAGGTGCGACACCGAGTGTGTCAATAACCAACAAGTTTCACATCTGTCACTGTAGGTTTGTCATGCTGCCCGACTGCAAACACATCGTGGAGTCGAGGAGCCTTGATGATTGGATGGCCATTGTCCACAATGACAAGCCGACCGAGATAAAACAAAAGGTTTGTTGGTTCTTTTCAAGTTTCTTGCCAAGTTTCTTCGAACGACCAGTGTGCACTAGTGGGGCCTTCTGTGACTGACCAAGCACTAGAATGGCTTTTCTAGAACGACCAGTATGCAGACTTTTTTGACTGGGGGAAAAATTACTCTGCAGTCTTATAAATGAGCTGAATACGTCGCAAAGGTTTGAGCAGTGCTGGTCAGGATGGTGATGTGTGTGATTTTGTCTGTTCCAGGTCTGCCCTAAATGCAGCACGCTCATAACAAGTTGCCAGCGGTACGGCAACGCCATGAAGAAGCTCGCCAAAGACATAACTGCCGTCAAGGCACAATCCTACGACACCAAGAAGATAAGGACACACCTGGAAACGGTCAAGGAGATCTTACAGGGCATCCCTAGATTTCCACCAGGTATTTCTTCATTTCTTTTGCACTGTAGAGAACCCAAATTTACTCGATCATTTAAAGCATTGTGTTCTTGCGGGTTATTTGCGGACAGTGGAAGTAAGGGACCTACAAAACTGTGATTATAGTACTCCACTATGCATACTCTAGCTTTGTTCCAAAGTTATTAAATAATAAATTTGATGGGGCGTGGGAACCAGCTGTTGAGACTTCCTCGAATTTATCGAAGCCAATGCACTGTATACAGCAGGGTGCAGGCCGCAAGTTTTGACCGCTTTCGATGAGATTTTGCAAGGACATGTAAACCAACGGACTGTGTATATGTCGCAGTGGTTGGAGGAAATTCGACTAAGTCCCAACAGCTGATTTCAACGCCCCTACAATTTTTTTTTCTTTTTTAATTTTATTTTTTATTTTTTTTGCTTAAGTAATTCACTGTAAAAAAAATATTCTGAAATTTCAGACAAAATTTGACTGAAGTTAATTAACAGTAAGGGGTTCTGAAATTTCAGACCATTTCGGCGGTCTGAAAATTTAGAATAGGGTGGTCTCAAAGTTTAGAATTGGGTGGTCTGAAAATTAAGATTTAGGTGGTCTGAATTATTAGACACGGCCAGTCTGAAGAAAATTCAGACAAAAACACAAAATTGTAACGTTGAACCTTCACTCCATTGCGAGAGAAGTCTTTGATAGAACTTGCGCGTTACTTATCGGCCTTGCTCTTCACTCGGAAACTTCGAATATCTTGGTATTCGAACCATCTAATCCTCGCTCGTCGGCTTTGCGGGCTATCCATTACACCACGGGACCGCTCTGAGAGCACGCCTGCAGGATGCCGATGACTCCAAGCGCGCTCGCTGGACGCTGGGAGGCCACAAATAAACAAACCAAGCGCGTGTTGTGGGAGTTATAAACTGTGGACAACTTGGGCTGTTCGTGAATATTTAAGATTTTGTATCGAGCTCACAAATATTGCGGTTAAATTTGGTCAAGTGAGGCAACCAGTCTGACATTTCAGAACAATACGTCTCCCGTTTCAGACCCATGGTCTGAAAATACACAACCAGTTTGAAATTTAAGATCAATCGGTCTTCCTTTTCAGGAGAATAGTCTGAAAAGGCGATTCAGACTACATGGTCTTGTACTTAGTCTGAATTTTCAGTCACCCCTGTCAGATTTTTTGTCGGGATGGTCTGAATTTGCTTTTAAGACTGCGAAAGTCTTAAATTTCGTCCGAGGATTCTTCTTTTGCATACTTCTGGTCTTAATTCGGAAATCAGACCACTAGGTCTTACAAAATTGGTCTGAATTTTAAGAATTTTTTTAACAGTGAAGGACTACATACCTAGGCTAGTGAAGTCCCAATATCAAGTTGACAATCCTTACTTTCTTTGTGCAGAAAAAAAACACGCAAAAACACTGTTTAAATGATGTGATAATTAGAGTACATATTGATTTGAGTTTGTTAAGTTTGCATCTGCCCTTCCATGCTGACCCATAATGACCATCATCCCATTTCGTTTCAACGCCTTCTTCCACGCGTTTTGTTCCAGGATATGAGGCGGTGGATCGGTTCGTGTCGCAGGTCTATCGGTACCGCGAGAGTCTGGACAAGAGGATGCCCAAGGAGAGGGAGACGGGGGCCAGGAGGGTGCCGCCGCTCAACACCGGCGAGGCCAAGAACTTCGAGCAGAAGGTCCTCATCCTCCGCAGTGTCGGGCAGATCGTCGACAAGGTGTCCAAGTCCACCGCCATGAGCGTCAAGGGCAAGAAGGAGATGCAGACAGCCGTGGAGCAGCTGAGCAGCGCCATCTCCCAGCGCGACCTGCTGCGCCTCAGCGAACAGGAGGTCAGTTTCATAGCTTCGGCCTTTTTTCTCTAAGTGTGTCAGCCTTCCTTTCTTCAAACCCACACTGCAAACCTAACTATCTACTTTGGACATTTGTACACACTTACAAATACCCTATGCGCGCAGCATGGAGTCATACGGTGCCAAGCATGCATTTGTAAGTGTGTACTCAGTGGACAGTTGGATTTTTTTAGCGTCCATAGGTGTACCAAGCATCAAGCAGGCTTTAGAAATGGTCTGTTCGTTGTTGGTCAAGCGTGCACACTGCGGGCCAGAAGACCGGATGCGATTTAGATGGGACTCGAACCGAACGTGTGACCCCACCATGCTCTCCGAACGGGGAATTCATTAGTGGGGTCGTCACACGTTCGTTTCGAGTCCCATTTAGCGACTCTGGAGCTCTAAACGCGTCTAGAATTGTGGTCGCCTCCACCGGTCTTCTGACCCACTGTGAGTACACCTACATTGTTCGCTTGACGAGGAGCGCCTGCGAACTCTGTGTGGACACGCCCGTAGAGCGCTGGTGTGTTGCGGGCTAGCCTACCCACAGTTTGCAGGCGCTTGGCCTCGATGGGTAGCCGTGATATGTTGACGTAAACAATGTAACGCTGCAAATTTAACCTTCGGACAGACACGCTTTAAACATTTTTCGATTGCAAGCGTTGGATAGTCGTGCGTGCCGCCTGGAAGTGTCAGATGTCAGCGCACGTTCCAGGCTTTGCTTAGCCCTGGACGTAAACACACTCGTACTTGAGACGCTTGCTGGTTTAGGACATTTTTTGTCACACCACAAAGTGCATGCCTATCCTACATACAGAATGCAGCAAGCATTCTGTATGCAGATCTCAAATAATTAGTGTTCGTTGCGAAAATTGAGATCACGAAAAACATATTAATTTACCCATGTGTTGACGTTTTAAAAATCTTTTTCATACCAGTGCTTCTGTCTTATTCCCTCCAACAGGCGTCTGACATCAATTCGGAGCTGGAACGTTTGCAGCGCTTGATGCAGCTGCTGGAGATTGAGAGCCTCTGCCTCGCGTCAGCAACAACCGACAAATCGAAGTTCGAAGAGATTTCCCAACTTTTGAGGGGACTATTGCCGCTCTCAGAGGTGAGTCGAGCGGAATTTCAAACCCACTCTGTGAAACCATGAACACTGCAAACCTAACTGTCTACTAAGTACACACTTACAAATGCATGCTTGAAAGTACACACTTACAAATGCATGCTTGGCCAAGTACACACTTACAAGCGCATGCTTGAGTTATACGGCGTCAAGCATGCGTTTGTAAGTGTGTACTTAGTAGACAGTTAGGTTTGCAGTGTATCGGAATTTCAGCGACGCTCTCCTCGTTCGGAGAGCAATCCATTGGTGGGGTCACACGTACGGTTCGAGTCCCATTTAGCGACTCTGGAGCTCAAAACGCGTATAGAGTTCTGGCCGCCTCCGCCGGTCTTCTGGCCCACTTTGCGACGGGAAGCTAATGACGAGTTGTCCTTGCAGGAGCAGGGCCGCGACATCGACGAGAAGCTGAAGGCGCTGGCGGCGTCCTCGTCCTGCCCCAACGTGACGCGCCTCGAGCTGCACACCATCGTGGCGGCCCTCAAGATGGGCGCGGGCCACTGGTTCCGCTGCCCCAACGGCCACCCCTACTGCATCACGGAGTGCGGCGGCGCCATGGAGGAGGCCGACTGCCCCGTGGAGGGCTGCGGCGCTCGCATCGGCGGGGGCAACCACCAGCTGCGGAGGGACAACACCCTGGCAGGGGACATCGACAACGCCACCAGGCCTGCTTACCCCACCGCCATGCAGCACTAGGAAGTGTGAACGAGTTTCTCTTACATTGCCTTCTATCAGAGAGACTTTTGATTTACTTTGACTTCATTTTGATTTTATTTGACTTTTCAATGTATTTGGGATGTAAGTGTATTGCTTTGTAATTTCTCAAAAGGTACGGAAAATTCTGTTAATTTTTTTGCCAGGATTCTCCGTAGCCCTCTTATCAATATTCTCCGTATGCTCTTACAGTATTCTCCGTAGGGGCGTACAGTATTCTCCGTATGACCGCACAGTCTTCTCCGTAGGGACTGGAAGACTGTATAGTCCTACGGAGAACACTGTAAGGTCCTCCGTATACGGAGAATATATTCTGTATACTGTGCGGTCCTACGGAAAATACAGTAAGAGCCTACGGAGAATACTGAAAAGGGGGCTACGGAGAATTACCACAAGCTGTTTACAGAATTTTCCGTAGCTTTTAGCCACAGTGTCTCATTTCAGGCGTACACAAGATTACGGGATTGCGGGAAATTTGCTAGGGATTACGCGTGAAATTTTGGAAAATTGGTTCAAAGCGTTGAAAAATGACTCAAAAACGTTGAAAAATGAAAGAACTTTGTCAAGGAATACGTAATTACGGCATGGATTAGCGGAGATCTCCAGCCTATTTGTACACCTAGGATTACGGGGGCGGTGGCCCCCTCGGTATACATGCGCAGGTTCTCTCTCATTCCAGGAGCCTGACATCACGTTGAAACGTGCAAGACAAATTGTCATGCTCCTTTAAGGGTTGTGTCACGCTCGTTTGGATGTAAATGAGTCATAGCTTGGTCGCATTCAAACGCGCGTGACACCATGCTTTAAGAAGCGTGACATTTTGTCACGCTCGTTCAAACGTGATGTCAACGCTCCTAGAATGAGAGTGTTTTCACATCAATTTGAAGTATTAATTCAAACAGTTGTTCATAGGACCCATCGTAAAATACAGCCAATTCAATAAAAAATGACTTTTAATAAAATATATTTATTGGGACGACTTAGACGGAGACCACTTGAGTTGGGACAGGATAACCCCGGGACGTATTGGGCCGGGTAGGAGTGGGTCGGGACGAGTTGTCTTAGACCCCCTGCAAAAAAATTGCCCTTTCACTGTTGCAGCAAAACGCCGTTGCCCGCCTCTCCATCTCCGAGGGCACGCCTCCCTGTCGCCCTCTTCGCCACCCTTCACTGGATGTATGTCCACCAGCGTCTTTTAGATGTTAGATGACAAAAAATTAGGACTTGGTTCGTTGGATGTTTTTCGTGACAGGATTCTTTAAGAATTTGGGTTTACGCTTTTCTTGAGCTTTGGCAAAACCCACTCTGCAAACTCAAGTGTGTGCTATAGTACACTATTTTCACGCGTTCTCATAGAATGGTCCTAACTGCCAGAGTAGCCGAGACAATCCTAACTGTTAGTGTCAATTCAGAACTATACTAAGCGCACATGACGTGAAAAGCGGCCTTTTCTCAAAGTATGTGACGCCAACATACTTCATAAAATTACTCACCGAAGGGCTTGTTACAAAGTTTCGTCCGTGCATACACTGAAAATCCAAGTGTGGGACAGGCATGCACTAGATAACGTGGGACAAAGTGTACGACGCTTGGTAAGTGTGGGACAAAGTGTCCGGACGCTTGTAAGTGTGGGACAAAGTGTCCCACGCTTGGAAGTGTGGGACACGGTTTGTCCCACGCTTGCAAGCAAGTGTGGGACACGGATTTGTCCCACGCTTACAAACGTGGGACACGGTTTGTCCCACGCTTGTAAGTGTGGGACACGGTTTGTCCCACGCTTGTAAGCGTGTAACACGGTTTGTCCCACGCTTGCAAACGTGGGACATTTTGTCCCACGTTATCTAGTGCATGCCTGTCCCACACTTGGATTTTCAGTGTAAATACGTGGACATTGTATTTCAGAGATATCGAGATTCACTGATTTGCAGTGAATATAGTTCATGAACCCTTTAAGGCACTTCTGCAGTTAGGATAGTTCTAAATCTGCACTGACAGTTAGGATTATCCTATTAGGACGCGTCGATTTGGCTTGTACTCACAAGTACAATCCTGTGAGTATGCTCAGCTGAGTACACTGAAACGGGAGTGTGCGCTTAGCTGAGTACACTCCAACGAGAGTGTGCTCTTAGTTCCCATGGAAATGCAGCTGAGTACACGTTCATGGAAGTGTACTTGTGAGTACACGCTGAAGAGAGTGTACTCATGAGTACACTCTGAAGAGAGTGTACTGACTATACTGTTGAGTTGGCAGAGCATGTCAAAAACCACCAAAAGTAATCATGACCCAGATTTCTCATCGGTTTTGTACCTCAATCCCTTCATAGGCCTACTAAAAATCCGAACTAAAAATCGCAACTTCACGCACGTCTAAAAATGCAGTTAAACTAAGATTATCGAAACATGTTCCTCTACACTCGTAAAAGAGTGAAGTTTTAGCTCCAAGAAAATGGAAAGAAACTAGAATATTTTCCGATATTTTCTATTACTTCGGATACGTGCAATTCTTTGAAACCAAACAGGAATTAATCGTCCTTTGCCTAATTTTTTTGTAATCATTTACCTCAATCACTCCAGTTTTCCTCTCTACTCTCAACGGCTCGGTTTTGCGTCTCATAGTAAATTCAATTATTTATCTTTTGCAGGTCGGAATGGTTCCCAAGATGCGTCGAGGAATCCCCCAAGAGAGATTGGATTCAGGAAGCTGGAACAGCTAGCTAAAGACCCTCCCGTCATTCTGGTGGAGAAGTTAAATGAAGAAACTACTCTGGCTCTTTTCAAGCGGTTGACCTCTGAAAAGCAACTGAGGGACGATTGGATACGCCTCGTGGTAACCGTACTGTCGAAGGTGTGTAAGGCGGAGTACACGAACCTAGTCGTGCCTATCCTTAGCACGATATTCCAGAAACAGTTCATTGATCAGCTTCTAGTGCACATCTCTCGCTTGTCTTATGACAATAACCACAACCGCAAGGAGACTGTGGGTGACTTTTTCAATGAACTAACTGTTCTTTGTGGTGGAATTCTGGAACTAACCCCAAATCTTGCGTGTGAGAATCTTGACATAATCCTGAAAAGGGCCTCTCAGGAGCTGGAGGATGTAACCCATTTTGAGGACTGTGAAAAACTTAAAGAAAATCTGAAGGATTTAAGAGAGAAGCTGAAGAGTGAAAAGGAAAGACTCGACAGCATGAAAACTGGTCTCTCCAAGCAAGTGAGCAGCAGTGGCTTTAGCATGAAGCCACCAAATGACTTCCGAGAACTGTCACATTTCCCAGACATAGAAGATATTGTGGTGCAGCATCGTTTCGAGAAACCATTTTTACGCCCCAACAAGGTTAACGTGCAGGAACAAGGTCATTTCCAAAATGTGGATGATTATTTGGACGTTCATTTTCGTCTGATGAGAGAAGACTTCATCCGCCCTTTGCGAGAGGGTATTTCAGATTTCCGGAAGTCATTGGAATTGCGGAAAACTTCTAAAGGTAAGAGGACACCTCGCATTCAGAACGTCCGCATTTACGAGAAAGTTAAAATACTGCACGTCAAAACGGAAGATGAGAATGTTGGGCTCGTTTTGCACTTTGACCCGGAGAAGAAGTTTGCCTCTAAAATTAAGTGGGAGTACTCCAAGCGGCTTATGATGGGATCCCTCCTTGTGCTCTCTGAAAATGAAGAATTTTCCTCCATTGTTCTTGTCACCGTTCACAAACGAGACCAGAAAGAACTTGAGGAGGGTAAAGTGGTGGTAGAGCTCTGTGAAGGTGGCGTGGTTTCTTTGGACTCCCTTCAACGCCAGTACCTCATGGTAGAAAGCCAAGTATTCTTTGGAGCATATTTACCCGTCTTGAAGGCCCTCAAGAACTTCAATGAGAACAATTTCCCCATGGCAGACTATATAGTATATGGTTCGAAGGAACAGAAGCTACCAGATTACGAGGTCCGGGCCCTGGCTGCCGGCAAGCGATTTGATGTGTTCCTCAAGCCTGATGACCCGTCCACAATTGGGTCCAAAGTTGTGGTTGATGTGGGCGACCTGAATACTTGGCCATCCCCCAGCGAGCTGGGCCTGGACGACTCCCAGTACCGCGCTCTGAGCGGCGCGCTGGCCAACAAGCTGATGCTGATCCAAGGTCCGCCTGGCACGGGCAAGACCTTCATCGGGCTCAAGATCGGCGCCTTCCTCATCCAGAACCAGGAGCTGTGGAGGTCGAAGGAGGATCCCAGGCCAATGCTGGTGGTGTGCTACACCAACCACGCCCTGGACCAGTTCCTGACGGGCCTCATGTCAGTCACCAACAGCATCGTCCGGGTCGGAGGCGGCTGCAAGGAACCCAGGCTGGAGCAGCACTCCATCAATTTCCTGCGACGTAATGGTACTAGACCTGCGAGTCTCAGGCAAGTGTACCAGAACATACGGCAGTCGAAGAATAAGTTCCATGCGATTAAAAGCTTGGGGGACCGAATTCGAGGCTGCTCATCTCAACTGAAAGAGGACGCTGCTGGAATAGTCAGCCTGGACGCGTTGCATTGGTTCGGCATCGTCCCGGAAGAGTACCTGGTTCTGACAGACAAGGACATTCTGATGTGGCTTTGCGGCTGCCGGAAGAACGGAGAAGTTCCAGAACTCGTCGAGAGAGACTTCTCTGAGCACATTTTGCAGACCGAAGAGCCTGGATTTGATCATTTGGAATTTTCAACAGAAGAAATGCCAAATATCACAATGTCATTTTCGTTTCGTCAATACGAGGAATTTCTTCGTGAACTACTGGAAGCGGAGACACCACCACGTCCGTATCTGACAAACCTCATGGAAGATTTGAAACGTGAACTTTCTGCCACTGAGTACCCTCGGTACCCTGAGCAACAGGGTCAGCCCCGTCCTGCTGCAATCTGGCGCTTGAACAGCAATGAACGCTTTCAGTTGTACAGGTATGTTTGCTTCCAAGTTTTCATCGTTTTCGGTCGGACATTCGTTTTAAAAATTATCAGGGGCATACTTATTCATTTGTCTTTGGTACGTAGCGAGCGTTTTGAATGATCTCTTTTTGCAATGTCCCTCGTATTCTGAAATTAACGAAGTTTCCACCATTCTTGGTGTTTTGCAATATTTCATTCAACTAAAGTATCGAGATAAAATCTGTAGCAATATTCGAAGTATTACGAGTGTAAAATTGGACTGACAGTAGTGATGATTCATGTCCGTTCGTTGTCTACGAGCGTAGTACACCGTGACCCAAGCTTGAGAGACCTGAACAGGTCTTCAGACCAGTAACTATACATAGAAAATACACAATGAAACGTGTGTCAAGTTTGGGACATTTCCTTACACTAGTACAGTCTTGTCATAACTCTCTGACTTAAACCAACTTTTGAACCGAGAGTTCAAATTTTTCATCTCGGCCTGAGCTCCAACCAGCTCGCATTCACTCCTTCGTGTTTGGAATGCTCGTTTGTCTCAGGCTATCCAACTCTGATTCCTGTGTCGCAGATATTGGAGAGATTCTCTGCTCACTGCCCTGAGCGTCTTCTTCGAGCCACTGCTCGGCGAAATAGACGCAACTCTTCCTGCCCTGTCGAACGAGCTCGCGAGCTGGAGGATGGTTGAGGACCAGCACATAATGGCTGACTACGCCATCATTGGCATGACCACATCATTTGCTGCTTCCCGACAACAGATTCTCAAGGAGCTTAAGCCAAGAATCGGTGAGTGCGCGCACAGTGGGCCAGAAGACCGACGGAGGCGGCCAAAATTCTACACGCGTTTTGAGCTTCACAGTCGCTAAATGGGACTCGAACCGTGCGTGTGACCCCACGAATGGATTCCTCGTTCGGAGAGCAATCCATTGGTGGGGTCACACGTTCGGCTCGAGTCCCATTTAGCGACTCCGGAGCACAAAACGCCTCTAGAATTTCGGCCGCCTCCACCAGTCTTCTGGGCTACAGTGATGCGTTTCCTTGGATTTGATTGCCTTTCCCTTTACAAAATTGTACGTTCCCAAATTTGTAGGTGAAACACCTCTGGGTTATTTAGGATCAATAACGTTCATGATTGATTCTATTTCAGTTATCGTCGAGGAAGCCGCTGAGGTGTTCGAAAGCCACGTTCTTGTTTGTTTGGCTGGTGAAGTGGAGCATCTCATTATGATCGGTGAGACCCCTTTTCATGCTCGTGCACAGAAAATCTCTTCGTATTGCGAAGAAAACGAAGGCTTTGTAAAAATCTATGATGAAATGCTTCGTATTATGAAGCAAATTGTTTCGTAATTTAAAGTACTTATTCACAAGAGGAAGGAATTCGACAATGCTTTCATTTTCTTCGCAGTCAAGAAGCAGATGCTTTGTTAACTTTTTTTTTAAATTTGTGTATTCATTTTCTCGTTTGAAACACTTCGACGATTGGCTCTGCTGAATATTTGAAATGCGTCCGTTAACACTTGTGTGACTTCCAGGTGACCACCAGCAACTTCGCCCCAACCCCTCGGTGCACGAGCTGGGGGTCAAGTACCACCTGAACGTGTCCATGTTCGAGCGGCTCATCAACAACGGCGTGAACTACGTCACGCTGTCCACTCAGCACCGCATGAGACCCGAAGTGGCCAGGCTCATTTGCCCGGCCATCTATCCCAACTTGAAGAACCACCCCTCCGTCGCCGAGTTCCCCGCAGTGCTGGGCGTTCTGAAGAATGTCTTCTTCGTGGACCACCAACACCATGAAGAATATGTACGTTAGCGCACAGTGGGCCAGAAGACCGGCGCAGGCGCCTGGAACTCTGGGCGCGTATTAAGCTCCAGAGACGGGACTCGTACCGAACGTGTGACTCCCACCAATGGATTGCTCTCCGAAAGAGGAATCCATTGGTGGGGTCACACGTTCGGTTCGAGTCCTGTTTAACGACTCTGGAGCTCAAAATACGTCCGGAGTTTGGGCCGGCTGCCGCGGTCTTCTGGCCCACTGTTACATTTCGGGTGCCTTTCCTTAAGGGTATAGAATTCATTACTCGAGTAAATTGCAGGGATCCTTTACTTAACTTAACATTTAACTAACACTGCTTTCGTAACGTAACATAAGACAATGTTCGCTAAAGGTTAAGGGTACGGACTTATGAAAGTACTTGCCAAAGTATATCCAAACAAATTCGAGACATAAAAAAATAACCTACCCTTTTGAAAAGATGTTAGAAGGTAAGGGTAATAACTTTAACTCTTATGATAACGTTATGATGCCCTTATGAGGTAAGTTAAGGATCCCTGGTAAATTGCTTCCACTAGCGCTGAAATGAGGTGGAGTGTCATGGTCACTCAGATCTCCGCTAGAAAATTAATAAACCTTTTCTTCTTTTCATTTAGCTCGAGGATGCCCAGAGCCACCAGAACAGCCACGAGGCCAAATTCCTTTCATCCCTAGTGAAGTACCTGCTGCTGCAAGGTTATGACCCGTCCCGGATTACTGTGCTCAGCACTTACAAAGGACAACAGTATTTCTTTTCCAAGGTATTATGAACATTTATTTCTGTTTTTTTTTTTCGTCCCAGGAGTCCTGGTAGGATTCGTACATCTTCTGCTTACTTATTCTTTTCCAGCTGAAAGCTAACTCACCTCACCTTAAGGACGTCAGGATGACAGTAGTTGACAACTTCCAAGGCGAGGAGTCCGACATCATCCTGCTGTCTTTGGTGCGCAGCAACGAGGAAGACAACGTTGGCTTCCTCAAGACAGAGAACCGAGTGTGCGTGGCTCTGTCTCGAGCAAGGCACGGTGAGTCATCGCATTTCTAGCCTTTTTTCGAAATAAGGCGCACTCTTGAGGGCCGTAAAACAATTTGCAGTTGCAAAAATTTTCATTTTAGGCTCCCCCCTCCCGCTCTGTTCTGTGTTCCCCAAAGTTCTAAACGCGGTTTGAGCTTCAGAGTCGCTAAATGGGACTCGAACCGTACGTGTGACCCCACCAATGGATTCATCGTTCGGAGAGCAATCCAATGGTGGGGTCACACGTTCGGTTCGAGTCCTGTTTAGCGACTCTGGAGCTCAAAACGCGTCTAGAGCTTTGGCCGCCTGCACCGGTCTTCTGACCCACTGTGCTTGCAGGGCTCTACATCATCGGCAACATGGCCAACATGACGAAGGCCGACACGGTGTGGCGCAAGGTGGAGGCGGAGCTGCTGCAACAGGGCGGTATCGGGCCGGCGCTGCCGCTACACTGCGACCGCCACGGCGAGGTGACCCTCGTCGCCACGGCCGAGGACTTCGCCAAGTGCCCGCAGGGAGGCTGCCTGCAGCTCTGCAAGACCCTCATGCCGTGCGGCCACGACTGCAAGCAGGTCTGCCACATCCTGGACATGGAGCACAAGACCGCCAGGTGGGTACTTCCCTATAGACCTGGCCTGCACATACACTGCAAAGCCGGTGGTAAGTTTGCTTGTCACAAATTTGGCAAGCCGTTTTGAATGCCAAAATTTGGCAAGCTTTGGTCGGAAAGGTTAGGTTAGGTTGCCAAATTTTGGCGAACTGGGTGGTTCTTTCGGGCCAAGCTTTGCAATTTTTGGCATTGAAAAGGGCTTGCCAAATTGGTGGCAAGCAAAAACTTACCACCGGTTTTGCAGTGTGCACACACGCCAAATGTTCATGTACAATTTAATTCTTAGTGATGTATGATTTCAGGTCTGTGGACCGTTGTGCTTAAAATTGTGCTCATATTTGAATAAATATATGCATTTTTACGCACAACATTTTGCAAATTCGACGTACGCTCAAAATTGTAATAGTTACACGTTCAAAATTTCTACCCGAACACTGTAGTGCGCACCGCGTACACTCTCAGACTCGTATTGACTTTTTTCTCTCCATTATTGCCTTTTTGTCCTTTGCTTACGTAGTTTTTTAAGCAGCAATAATATGTATTATATCCTTTGTAACCATGTACAATATTGTTCACTATAAAGACTAAATTGTCATCAATTATTGACTATTTTTTAAATCAATTGCGTATTGACTCTTTGTCAATAGCAAATTGACTTTAAGTCAATATAACGAATGAAATCTTACATAGATATTGACGAAATAGTACCTTTTATTGCTGTGTAAAATACTCTTTAACAAAGGACAAAAAGTCAATAACAGTCTGAGAGTGTAGTAAACGTATGTCGACAATTTCATCGGTGGCCTCACGATTTCATGCATGCTAAGTTTTTCGTAAAATTGCACGAAGAACCGCACAAAGTGGTGGGAATTTTCTCTCAGATTTGGTGCGAAACGCATACGCGTCTGAATCATCAATTTTCTGGGCACAATTGTTATGTCTTTGTTTTACCAGAGTGGTAAGGTACAAAGCCATCCTTCACATCAAATGTAAAGTACAATTTTGTACGAGACAGTACAGTTTTCGCCATTTTTGGACCAAATTGTTCAAAATTTTGCACAAATTTGTATGTTAAGTTCTTGTGCACTAAAAACTGTGATGTCTCGTACAAAATTTGTTCAAAAACATGTAGTGCGTTGGAATAGCAGACAGACGGTTTTCACGTAGTTTCTACATGTTGTTTGACAGGTGCATGGAGAAGTGCGAGCGGCCGGCCTGTCCCCAGCAGCACGCTTGCCCCGAGCGGTGCTTCCGGAACCCCTGCCCGCCCTGCCAGGTGCCCAAGGTGGAGCAGCTTGCCTGCGGCCACTCCGCCACCATGGCCTGCCACGTGGACCCCGCCGAGTACAAGTGCAAGGTGACACTTTCATTGATCCAGCCCAAAGTTATTCATGCAAACATTGTTGACCTCATCTTCGTTGAAATGTGACTTTTGACTCGTTCTTTGAACATGTCACCTTCGTTTCAATGTCGATCCACGTTCAAACGAATGTGACATTCTTCATCAATGGCTGTGTCACTTTCCAGCGATGTTGACCTCATATAACGTGACAAAATTAACATTCTAACGATTATGACGTCGCATGCGTTGAATTACAGTGGAGGCCGATCGACTAAGTGAATTATCCTTAAGGGGAGGTTCTGGTGAAAATGCTATTTTCTCTTAAATAGGTCCCACTGTGAAAATTTGTTAAAAATTTGAAGTCTTATCAAGTATTTATTAAAAATTTTCATTGGGGAGGCACATTCTATGCCCTGATTCCTGTCGCAGAGCCTTTTTCTCCCATTTAGGCTATAACTTCAAAAATCTTCTTGCGCATACTAATTTGTCGTAAAAGGTTGGCTTAGACATTTTTCACTTCTTCGATTCATTTTTTAAAAATGCCGGCATGCACATCTCAAAATGTCAATTGCATTTTTATTCGCAAGCTTTCTAACCAAGCATTTCACTATAATTGATCAAAAATGTACAAAAGAGACAAATTTTAGGGACTTTTCAGCTTAAAAAGCTAATAATTAATAACATAATGGTAGTTTTGAGCTATGCATGCCGGAATCTTTTGAAAATGAATCGAAGAAGTGAAAAATGTCAAGGTCAACCTTTCACGACAAAATAGTATGCGCAAGGAGATTTTTTAAGAAACAGCCAAAATAGACTCAAAAACACTCTTTGACTGGGTTTACAGCCTGGCATGTGCCTTGAAAAGTCAAATTTTAGTCTCCTCAATGAAAAATTTTATGTTCCGAACAAGTTATGACTGCAGAATCCATTGGGAAAATGGCAAGATTTTCACCAGAACCTCCCCTTAAATGTTTGTTGGCCTCAGAATAGTAATATTTTGGATGCATGGTTTTATTTATGATAGAACGGCTTAGTGTTCTAATTTGTAAATAATTCCACATGAAGTTTGCATGAACTTTTATGCATTGCAGTCACATTCCCCCGTATTTCGATATAAAATTCATTAATTTTTGTAGAATTTCTCTGAGTTTTAATTTAAAAAATTGACTGAAATTGTTCAAGATTGTTTATGTATTTCGATGTGCAATTAATTTACATTATTTGGAGTTGTTTCCTCTTGGAGCAAGCAATGCGTAACTGAAATGATTTGAATGGTCGCGGCTCTCTTCAAAATTGCCGGATCTAACAACGTTTTTAACTCGTGTTCCAGGTTGTCGTGAACTGCACCCTGCCCGACTGCGGTCACGAGAGGGAGGCCAAATGCCACCAACTGGCGCGTCTGGAGCTGCTGCCCTGCAAGACCCCCTGCACCCTCCGCATGCTGTGCGGCCACACGTGTCGGTCCGACTGCCACGTGCGCAAGGATCCCAACCACGAGCAGGTACTTTCGTTCTAAATTTCACGCGAAGAAATTTTACCGAATACGAAGGAAATGGAATGGTGGTAACATATTACGATCTTCGTTTTTCTACAAATTAAAAAGTTTATAATTTTTTTTCTCGAGATCGGCTTAGTTTGACCTTCAAAGACTACCAACCAAATATTTTGAAGTTTGGGTCATAAATAGCAACATACGCATCTTTCAAAGTTATCGACAAAAGGCTCGTATCATACCCAATTTGCTATTAGTTCAAATTTTCTTGTCCGTAATACGTGTAGTGTGTGCAGAGCTTGGCAACCGTTTTTAGCACGAACTGCACATAATTTCGGCACGTCGTAATTGAAAATGATTTTATGGTCGTTTCAGTGGCATTGTTTACCTCACTTCAGAAGTGATCCCTCTTTTTAGGGATGTTGTTGGGTGGAATCGGTAGGGATATAGGGTAAGGTGCCCAGTGATGGCCATGGTACCAGTGATGGCCACTTGAGACTTAGCGCTGACTTCACAACCAGGCGAGAGAAGTTAAACAATTGAGCTTTTGGGGTTTTGTACCTTCACCTATTAGCAACACAACACCGCAAAAATTTCGCCTCGTAACTGTCTTAGGTGGCCGTAGGGACTTAGCGAACCAAATGATGCGTTTACATGTTTTGTTCATTTTGTAGAGGTGAGATCAAACCAGTAATCACAGCGTTTCTTTCGCAGATTTGGAAGTTTTACTTTATTTCTCACTTATTAGCGTCAAAAACGGAAGCATAGAGCTACTGCCCTCTCAAAACCTAAAGTAGCCATCACCGAGCAGGGCACAGGCCATCACTAAGCAAAGGGTGGCCATCACTGGGCAAACAGCACTGATATTTTGGTTACTCTTTTCACAGAGATAGAATTAAATTTTGCTGCTTTTCAAACTGGAGAACCTTTACTCTATCCTTCTTGCATGCTCCTGAAAATGTCCCAAACAGTAGGTCGATTGAGAGACTTTGTAAATGGGTGAAACACGCAGCTGTGCGCTAAAAGTGGCCATCACTGGGCACCTTACCCTAGACCGACAGCAAAGAATAAAAGCTCTTCAAATTATGTGAGAACTGTCAGAGCTCAGAAAAGTCTAAGGGTGAAGATTGTCCATATTATGGTGAAAATTCATGGTAGTGCAGCTGACTTCGTAACTTACAGTTCAAAATTCATTGTACGTCACATATATTTTGTCGAATTTCTTTTGTAATATGGAGAAAACCTCCACCATAATATACATGTTGGTGCAGCCTTTCACCGTAAGACAAGTAGAGTGTAGGAATATTGGTCCATTCCCAGGAAAAAACTCCCGAGATTCTTGAGAAAATGGGCCAATACACTGCAGGAAATAACCACAACAAAAGTACACAAATTTCTGGCAAATTTTTTATCAGGAATTTAGTGTACTTCTCAAGTACAACAATTGTTGTACAAAGCACAATGGAACCGGCATGACGAGTGCCGTGCAGTCCAGGGCTCGTTGTGGTTTGAACAATTCTCGTTGTACTTTCTACAATCCCTGTTGTACTTTTATTGTACAGTTTTTGTTGTACTTTTGTTGTACTTTTGTTGTACTATCCACACTTTTTCTTGCAGTGTATCCAGGAGATGGGTTTACTGTGTTCGTATGTGAACTCAGCACAACCCGAACACCTTCTGATGGTGCGTTTGCTTTCCAGGTGAAGTGCATGCAGCCCTGCGGGCAGAAGAGGCACGGCTGCCTCGCCGACCCCGGACACCAGTGCCGCCTGGTGTGCCACCAGGCGTGCGAGGAGTGCACCGAGCAGGTGCAGAAGACCCTGCCCTGCGGCCACAAACACAAGATGAAGTGCAACGCGGACGCGTCCGAGTTCCAGTGCAGGCTCAAATGCGACAGGACCCTGTCCTGCGGACACAAGTGCAGCAAGAAGTGCTTCGAGCCGTGCGAGCCGTGCACCGTGCAGGTGAGTTTTGTCGCTCGCAGAGTGCACACTGCGAAAAGTCGCTTCTTGTCACGAAGAAAGGAACGGCATTGTAAAATCTACGAAGAAATGAATCTTGTTACGAAGAGGAATTCTTTGTTGTATGAAACGTTTATTCATCATACGTAGCAGTTTGGCAATGCCTTCATTTCCTTCGTAATTATGATCCACGCCTTGTTGGCTTGTCTTGAGTGCTCTGACGTAGTCGACACGAATTTGCTTGTGTGTTTAGCATTCATTCATGCGGTAGGCATTTTCGGAATCTCTACTTTGAGTTTCAAAGAAGCTTATTTGCCACACTCCATAGAAGTCTGGAGCAACATCAAATTTTGCGTTCCATTCGCTCAAAGCGCCTGCGAACTTGGTCTCCGCTGTCCCGTTGAGCGCCTGTGTGTTGCGGGCTTGCCTACCCGCCCTTCGCAGGCGCTATCCTCCCAGCGGCTGCTCCAACGAGAGTCGCGTTTTCCTCGAAACTTTTCGCAACATCACTCCATTTGTATTCTCTGATAAATTGTTTCGAATCAATTGGTAAATCCCGGAAAATGCGTATGAATCTCCGTGGGAAATTTCGTTATTTTTTTTTCGCTACTGTCGGGAACTTGTAGGTAATAGTGACATTGGATGTTTTCGAATATTCCAAAGATCCGAGGCCCTTCTTATTCGAAAATTTGTAACAATTTTCTAAGGCGAAGTTATTGCGACCAATGTATCACTCTCAGCACTTTATTGACGTTTTGCTCCTTTTGTCAGTACTTAAGCAAGTAATTTGTGCAACCATAATACGTACTTTTCTTTTTTAAAGAACTACTGAAGAAATATTAAATAATGTACTGACAATTTGGCTTTGTCCATAATTTTACGAAGGAAATTAGTCATACATACTTAGAGACTCCTAAGTGTTATTGTTGCTTATACGAAAACGTAATTAATGAGGAAAAAGTCAGCAACGTGCTGAGAGTGATTGATCCAATAGGAGTGATCATTGTGTGAGACATACTCTCTATTCCCACTGACATGTTTCTTGTCCGCAGGTGTCCAAGACGGTGCCCGCGTGCGGCCACGCGCAGGTGATGAGTTGCGGCGAGTCCCCCGCCCTGTTCCGGAACTGCAAGGCTCCCTGCGAACGCCTGCTGCCGTGTGGACACCGCTGTGGATTACAGTGTAGGCAGGACTGCCTGGGCGGCCGCTGCCGCCAGATGGTGCCGTACCCGCGCGCCGCGGCGTGCGGGCACACCATCAGCGTACCGTGCTCCCTCAAGAACGACTACGGTAGGAGAATACTTTGAGCAACGCGTGCTCAGTGGGCTAGAAGACCGGTGAAGGCGGCCAGAATACAGGACGCGTTTCGAGCTCCAGAGTCGCTGAATAGGACTCGAACCGAACGTGCGACCCCACTGATGGATTGCTCTCCGAACGAGGAATCTATTGGTGGGGTCACACGCTCGGTCCGAGTTCCATGTAGTGACTCAAGCTTAGAATGTGTCTAGAATTTTGGCCGCCTCCACCGGTCTTCTGGCCCACCGTGCGCAGCAAGAGGATGTAGTTTGTGAGTTCCTCTGCTGATTTGCGTGTCTACCCTTTGCAGCCCCCAACAGCAGCGACCTGCTGGCGCTGTGCAGGCAGCCCTGCCGTGCCTTGCTCAAGCCCTGCGACCACCAGTGCGGCGGTTCGTGCGGGGAGTGCCTGCAGGGACGCCTGCACCAGCCCTGCAAGTCCAAGTGTGAGAGGCAGCTGCTCTGCGGACACGTGTGAGTACACTGGAGTCATTATAGTCCAGGAAAGTTAGTCTCAAAACGGCCCTGACCCGGACAAAAATCGCAACAGCAGGGAACTTTCAGGATGTGTTTGGGGGTGTCCTGGGAACATTTCCTGAAAGTTCCCAAAAAATCCCTTCATACGTTCACCCGTGAGGGGCGTTCAAAGTCCGCCATTTTGAACTTTTGCCGCTCACCCGTTCATCGAACATAGTTTCCGAACTATTTGACCTACAGTGACGTGCGACAGCTCAAACTGCTCGTTAAGGATGCATCTTTTGGTTGTATTTATCAGAACGAACGATTTATGCCGTTTACACTGCTAAAAAATCAAAAAATCAACAAAAATGTGTTTTTACAGTTTTTTGGTTTAACTTTTAACCTGTTTCACGGCCAAATGAGTAGGAATATCGAAAAATGTCTTTCTCTTAACGTTGTAGAGCGGAGTTTTCTAATGCGATTAGCCGCCTCGAACATAGCTCTAAGTGCAAAATTACGCTCTCAGCAGTCTGAACAAGGGCGGAAAGCGTGCTTCGGCGGCACACATACTGCGGGTTGCCTACCCGCCCCTTAGGGCACTTCCCATGCTTCCCGAGACGAGTAAAAAAAATATTGTCGTAGAGCGATGCGGTTTTCGCCATTCGAAGCGCAATGAAATGCAGAATCCAGCCATATATACTTTTGTCGAATTAGTCCAGGCATTTTTTGCCCAGGAACTCGAAAAACTAAAGTTTTCTGTTCAGGAAGTGTTCAAGAATCGACTGTGTCAATCTCAGAGCAAAACAAGAGCCATTTCCAAAAAAATACCTTTTATGACAATCGCAGGAAAGGCTTTGCTGTAAACGCTGATGTAAGATCGAAGCCTGTACGTCAACTAGAACCAAATCTAGACCGCCGACAGTTCTGGACGGCAGAGCTTGGTCGCCCAAGCTGCCTATCGGCGTTGTGGACCAACTTTGAGCGGCTTCTAATTCCAATCCAACGTGCTTGCAGGGTCCCCCATTGCTGAGGAGTAGTATTTCGATCGTTCTTGTGCCCTCATTGGAATGGAAACACGACTGGCTACCTCAGTTTAGGCAAAATCCACTCTCAAAGTTGCCGAAATCGTCGACCGATGCCAAAATATCGCCAATCGAGCGGACTTCAAGTAGCTTTTGTGTTCAATCGGGGGGCCGTAATGACACAGTCTGTTCGGGATATTTTTCTCTTTTGCCCCCCTATATATGCTCAGCTTAAGGAACACGACTATCGGCTTAAGTTGAGCCTTGGCCTCTGCTCAAAGAGTGTAACTTTTGCGATTTCAATACTTTTTTCGCTATAATGCAGAAATATCATAAAACTTTGAGCCAAAACTAAAGCCGATAGTCGTGTTCCTTAAGCTGAGCATATATAGGGGGGCAAAAGAGAAAAATATCCCGAACAGACTGTGTCATTACGGCCCCCCGATTGGACACAAAAGCTACTTGAAGTCCGCTCGATTGGCGATATTTTGGCATCGGTCGACGATTTCGGCAACTTTGAGAGTGGATTTTGCCTAAACTGAGGTAGCCAGTCGTGTTTCCATTCCAATGAGGGCACAAGAACGATCGAAATACTACTCCTCAGCAATGGGGTACCCTGTAAGCACGTTGGATTGGAATTAGAAGCCGCTCAAAGTTGGTCCACAACGCCGATAGGCAGCTTGGGCGACCAAGCTCTGCCGTCCAGAACTGTCGGCGGTCTAGATTTGGTTCTAGTTGACGTACAGGCTTCGATCTTACATCAGCGTTTACAGCAAAGCCTTTCCTGCGATTGTCATAAAAGGTATTTTTTTGGAAATGGCTCTTGTTTTGCTCTGAGATTGACACAGTCGATTCTTGAACACTTCCTGAACAGAAAACTTTAGTTTTTCGAGTTCCTGGGCAAAAAATGCCTGGACTAATTCGACAAAAGTATATATGGTTGGATTCTGCATTTCATTGCGCTTCGAATGGCGAAAACCGCATCGCTCTACGACAATATTTTTTTTACTCGTCTCGGGAAGCATGGGAAGTGCCCTAAGGGGCGGGTAGGCAACCCGCAGTATGTGTGCCGCCGAAGCACGCTTTCCGCCCTTGTTCAGACTGCTGAGAGCGTAATTTTGCACTTAGAGCTATGTTCGAGGCGGCTAATCGCATTAGAAAACTCCGCTCTACAACGTTAAGAGAAAGACATTTTTCGATATTCCTACTCATTTGGCCGTGAAACAGGTTAAAAGTTAAACCAAAAAACTGTAAAAACACATTTTTGTTGATTTTTTGATTTTTTAGCAGTGTAAACGGCATAAATCGTTCGTTCTGATAAATACAACCAAAAGATGCATCCTTAACGAGCAGTTTGAGCTGTCGCACGTCACTGTAGGTCAAATAGTTCGGAAACTATGTTCGATGAACGGGTGAGCAGCAAAAGTTCAAAATGGCGAACTTTGAACGCCCCTCACGGGTGAACGTATGAAGGGATTTTTTGGGAACTTTCAGGAAATGTTCCCAGGACACCCCCAAACACGTCCTGAAAGTTCCCAGCTGTTGCGATTTTTGTCCGGGTCAAAGTCTAACTTTCCTGGACTATTATTTGACACGCCGCCTTTCATTGCTAACTTATTTACCTATCACAGCTTGTCATTAGGTACTTTTGTGTTCGACTCCTTTCTCATTTTGGGTATGTTCAGTTTCTTGTATATGTAAGAAAAGTCGCACACTACAAACCTTACTGTCTATAGTATACTCAGTACACACTTAAAAACGCATGATTGGCACCGCTCCACCGCTCTGCGTCCCTGACACACGAGGCCCATAACTCCATGTAAAGCATAGGCATTTCTAAGTGTGTTGTGTACTTGCCAAGCATGCATTTGTAAAGTGTGTTCTTGCAAGCATGCATTTGTAAGCGTGTACTTAGTAGAAAGTTAGGTTTGCAGTGTACTAATTCGTTCGAGACTTTTATCATTTTTTCCCGCAACTATTGCATTCTTTATCCCTTACATTTTGGCAGTAACAGATCTAGCTTTTGACTTACTGGGATCATCGCATCGCTCAAAATGAAAATTGGGCAACGGTCATCGTCCCTAAGTTGTCTTACAGGGACGGGGTATCCAGGGGTATCCAACTTTTGAGTACCCCAAAACATGCCTCTTTTATCATAACTTCGGAAATTAACGGGTTAGTTAGTGCACTGAATTGCTTTACAAACTTTCTAGACCAATTTTAGTGCACTTAAAGGTTGGATGTCCTCCCCTTCATCGATCATCTCCCTTTTGTTATTGGGATGTTTGACATTTTCCTGTTTGGTTTGCCAGGTGCAAGGAGGCGTGCCCCAAGGTCTGCCCACCGTGCACCCTGCCCTGCGAGCAGAAGTGCATCCACTCGTCTTGCAACCACCGTTGTGGCATACCGTGCGCTCCGTGTAAGGTACGTTGGATTGGCAAGACGATGCTTCCCTTGGCCCCTTCTAATCCGAAACCATCGTTGAGTCGCGTACACACACTGAATGTTCACGTACTTTTCTTGTCCACGACTATTGCCGCATTTGGGCAGGTGTGAGCTAAGCACACTTTTATCCATTCGTCACAATGTTTCCATATTGTGCTGAAGTTTCTATTCAGTAGTACCTAATTTATCCTCAAATTCCAATTTACACATGTTCATATAAAGCATTAGATATGAACAAAAAGTCCTCAAGTATGTAATGCACATACCTGCTGGCATTCTGCGACAACTTACTGCACACAGAATTTCTAAATTTTTTTTTGTGCACAAGCTTTGCACAGAATTTTGCACGCGTTTTAAAGTGCTCGAATTTGTTCGTAACTAAGCACTAAAAGTGTGCGTTGTTTCACTTGAAAACATGCGTTTTACCCGCTCAGTTTTGTGTATGTGCTATGCGCATAAAAACTACATGGTTATTTTGTCTGTGAAAGCAACATATCATAAGAGCAGATTTCTTACGAGATCACCTTCCTAACCCAAGGGGAAACAACTCCAGCCAAATTCATACACCTAAATTCATTAAATATGTAAAATTTACTAAAATTCCTATCCATTGAAATCCGACTGAAATTCATCGAATTTCGACTGAAATTCATCCCAATTTGACTGAGATTCGTCAAAATTCCAGTGAATTGTGTTGCATTTGTACACCGAAATTTACAGTGATGTTCCTTTGTCCTAACCTAACCTCCAGGAGCCGTGCAGTCGGCGCTGCGCGCACGGCCAGTGCCCCAGGCGCTGCGGCGACAAGTGCACCTTCGAGTGCAAGGAAGCCTGCCGGGCGAAGGTGGAGGACTGCGGCCACGACTGCATCGGGCTGTGCGGCGACCCCTGCGTCTGCAAGGAGTGCAACTTGGAGGAGGTCACCACCATCTTCTTCGGCACGGAGGAAGAGGAAGGTGCCAGGTAATGACTCTTCAAGCCTTTCAAAACCAGTATTGTCGGCCTTTCAAAGAAAAGTCGGTCGTTACTATAACGTAGTTTTTACGAACTATTTCTTTCTATAACAATTAAAATCGTGTGATCGTGCTGACACAACTGTAAGCATGGAAAAATATTTTGTTCATATTTGTACGCAAAATCGCACAAATTCGTTCGTCCAAAATTGCGTATAAATTTGTACCGAAATCTCTCATGCGCTAAATTGTGTGCGAACATTAACAAAACTTTTACACGGGGATTAAGTGTGTCTCCTGGAATTACGTGCGGTGTTTTGCGATACACTGACACTTTTTAAAAGTATTTGTATTATTTTTGTTTTGTCATTTCAGATTCATCATGCTGCCCGACTGCAAGCACATCGTGGAGGCAGGCAGCCTTGACGATTGGATGTCCGTCGACAACACGGAAGATGGCAAACCGTCTGAGATTAAACCCAAAGTAAGTGCGCGGGTAAAACGTCACGAAGTATTTTGAGCATATGTAAGGTCTGTTAAGTTTGTGACTCGTAGAGATAGCTCGTAAATGACGAGGTATTTTCTTAGTAAGCTTTTCTATGCTCAAAATACTTTGTTATAACAAGCTTCTTTTCTTCGTAAGGCCTAAAATAGCTTGTTAGATTTTGAGAGTATGGCATCCACCGAAGGCTTATTGGTATTCCAGGAATCTGGTGCCACAATCGGCCTGTCTTGTTTGAACTTCGTATGGGTTTCGTACACTTAAAATGTTGTATAGTGAAGATTCTCCATAATATGGGGAGAATGTTCCATATTATGGTGGTGCAGCTGTCTTCATAACATCCCTTTGAGAATTCACTATACCTTTTTGACGAATTTTGTTTTGTATTATGGAGAAAATCTCCACTATAATATGGTGGTGCAGCCTTTCACCGTATGACATTTAGTGTAGAGCTGCAATATGTTTCCAGTTGTCTAGTTTGCACTTCGAGTTTACAAACTACAATCTCAATTGCTCCGTTGCAGGTTTGTCCCAAATGCACTGCGCCGATTACGAGCTGTCAACGATACAGCAACGTCATGAAGAAGGTCGCCATGGACATCGCGGCCGTCAAGAGGCAGTTCTACGACAAAACCAAGATCCAGTCACACCTGGACAAGACTCGGGAGCTCCTCAAGGACATATCCAACTTCCCGATAGGTATGCACTTCTATTTCCCTTTCCTTAACGAGCTTCCAACACACTAAATGTTATGCACTATTTTGTATGAGACATCACATTTTTCTGTGCACACGAAATATTTGTTCAATTTTCGTACGAAAAACTGCACATTTTTCGAAATTTTTGTACAAATTTGTACAAAATTTGGTACATAATTTTGTACGATAAGTTCGTGTGCACTAAAAACTGTGACGTCTCGTTCAAAATTTGTACAAAAACATTAAGTGTTGACCGCATCGAGTTACGGTGACGCTGGGTATAGGTGGTGGCGGCTTCTTCTATGCAGATTCGCCATTACGTCTGTTCCAATAGACGTTTTATTTTTTTAGGGAATTCTCTAGTTTTATAAACACGTGAACTATTTTGTACTCCTTCAGACGTAATATTATTAAAATGCCAATTGAAGGTCGAGTGTGTGCAGCTCCAGCGTCGTTGTGTTCCAATATTAATTTATTTTTAGTTTAAAATTTATGTCATTATTTTATTTCAACCTCCCCGGCCCTGTTGCAGAGTTCTCCTCGGCCCGCGTGCTGACGCTCGACGTGGTCCGCTTCCTGGAAGGCGTCGAGAAGAAGATGCCGCGAGGCAGGGAGTCCGGCACCAGGAGGGTGTCGCCGCTCAACACGAGCGAGGCCAAGAACCTGGAGCAGAAGGTGCAAATCCTCAGGAGCCTGTGGCGGATTGTGGACAAGGTGGTCCAGGACGACAGCATCAGCTCCAGCGGGAGGACGGAGATCGAGCAGGCGGTGGAGCTGCTGTGCAGCAACCTGAGGCAGCGCGACCCGGTTCGACTCAGCGAGCAAGAGGCAAGTTCCCACACTGGATTTTTGTGTTCAATTTTTTTTTTCACGTGGTGCTCCATGGTTTGAAATCTTTGCTTGAAACTCTGCTCATGCACTGGTAGAACTAAAGCTTAACTCTATGCTTGAGTCAAGCATAAAGTTACGCTTGAAGACGTTACGCTTGAAATGAAGCATACTCGGGAAATTCCCCCATGCATTTAGATAGGGGGAATCTTGGCCGATGAGCCTGTTACGCTTGATTTATGGCGTAAACCGGCGTAAACTGATTACGCTTAAATTCATGCACTTTTGCATATGCATATTCCGCGTATGCTCAAAATTGTGCAAGTTACACCGAATTTCAGTTGAATTTTGATGAATTTCAGACAAAAGCTACTGAATTTTGAGAAGAATTTCCGTGAATTATTTCATAATTTTGATGAATTTCGACAAGTTTTACATGTTCGCTGAATTTTGGTGTACTAATTTGGCTGGAGTTGTTTCCCCTTGAGTTGCACGTTCAAAATTCAGCTCAATCATTTTGTGCACCCTTTTCGTCGCGACGCTAACTGGTACTTTTTTTTAACACTCACAATTTTCTACCAGGCCTCCGACGTGAGCTTGGCGCTGGAGCGTTTGCAGCGTCTGGTGGAGCTTCTGCAAGTGGAGAGCGGGCCCAGCTTCCGGCAGTTGCAGGCATCTGACAAACTAGCTCACGCGGACATTTCCAGGGTCGTGAGGGGACTTTCTCCCTACTCTGAGGTAAGGCTCGACGAAAGTTTGTCGTGAAAACTTCTTTGAACTACGAAGCATTCTTTTAAATAATAAATTTAATATGTTGCCACGGCACGGGGCAGTTTTCTAGTTTTATAAAACACTGTGTTATCGAAAACTTTTTTGAAGAACCCAAAGGTTTGATTTACCCGTGCATTTTCAAAGTAATTGTCCTTGTGTAATCAATCCACTAATTTAGTCAGAGCACAGTGGGCCGGAAGACCGGTGGAGGCGGTCAAAATCCTGGACGCGTTTTGTGCTCCAGAGTCGCTAAATGGGACTCGAACCGAACGTGTGACCCCACCAATGGATTGCTCTCCGCACGAGGAATCCATTGGTGGGGTCACACGCTTCGTTCGCGAGTCCTCTTCGGCGACTCTGGAGCTCAAAACGCGTCAGGAGTTTTGGCCGCCTCCACCGGTCTTCTGGCCCATTGTGCAGAGATCCATACTGTCTTCTAACCGTGGTGCTTGTCCTACAGGAGCAGGACCTGAGGATCCGCAAGCAGCTGGAGGCGCTGGCCGCGTCGGCCCTCGTGAGCATCTCCCGCGAAGAGCTCGCCGCCATCGTGGCCGCCATGGACATGCTGCCGGGACACTGGTTCCGCTGCCCCAACGGCCACCCCTACTGCATCACGGAGTGCGGCGGCGCCATGCAGGAGGCCGACTGCCCCGTGGAGGGCTGCGGCGCTCGCATCGGCGGGGGCAACCACCAGCTGCGGAGGGACAACACCCTGGCAGGGGACATCGACAACGCCAGAGCTCCGGCGTGGAACAACACCATGCAGTACTATGAACTTTGAACGAGTTCCTCTTGTGTTGACGTGCTCAGTGAAAACTGTCAACATCTCATCACTCTAGTTTATAACTTATTTTTTAAGCGACGTATCTGTCGTTGATATTATTGTTCTGATTTATCTGTAAGGTTAATATTTAATGAAGTCTTAATGTTTTTATCTGATTGCATAAATGATAGGTTAATATTTAATGAATTCTTGATGTTTTTATCTGATTGCATAAATGATGCAGAACCTCTGCCCTTCAGGGTTAAGTACTATTCGTAAGTTATTATTAACGTGCTCTATTGGGGCTTGGTGATTCGAGTAATGTGATTTCTATTAAGTTAAGATGGCGTCTGATTTTATCGTAGTATCTTAAACAAGCCCTATTTTTAAATGTACTCAAGAGCACTGTTTATTCAAAGTGTCAATAAATATTTTATAGTGCACGCACGCGTTGTGTTGTTGATCCCATGCAACTAATTGCGATGCGATGCCTGGTGGATCGAGTGGTGGGTGGCAACGACATTCTAGTGCAGAGTCGGAATTTTCCGAGGGGGCAACCACGTCCGATGTTTGGGGACACAAGATTTCTTAAGTCGAAAGATTTCTTCGGATTTCGCAAGATTTCGTCCAGTTTCACGCCTAAAATCTGACTGTTTTTTTGCCTTTTGGGGAAAAGATTTCGTATTTCCAGATATTTCAAGGGCTCCAGGGGACTCATGATTTCTCAAGTGGTTGCCCCCTCGGAATTTTCTACTGTCGGAGCACTGCTTTCACGTATAAGTAGCTTGCGTGTCAACCAATGGTTGTTTTTTAGGTACGCTTGAGACTTGAGTAATTTAGAGGAAATGTATTTCGACTGTTCCGAGCGAACGGTTTTCTCGAGGACGTGCCGAAAACGAGTGCGCAGAACAAGCGTAGAACGTAGTAAGGCGCCTCCAGAAAGATGAGCATGCTGCCGCCCAGGAGCAGCCCCATGAGGCCTGACGTGTTGTCTGGGAGAGAGAGAGAGAGAGAGAGAGAGAGAGAGAGAGAGAGAGAGAGAGAGAGAGAGAGAGAGAGAGAGTTAGTTAAGAATCATTTAAGAGAGCAAGACTCTGGCATTTAAAAGCAAACGAATGAAGTTACACTGCAACCAATCTGAAAGACTGCGTACATAAAATGGCGAAGAGACCCATCGTCTGTCGTCGCTCGTGGAAGATGCCTCTCGCATAATCGCCATGAAAGACGCTGAGCTGAAAGCACTCGGCGCAGATCTGACTCTGATCCATGTCCAAGAGGCGCTTCTTGACACCGTACGTATATGATTTCATTTCACACGATTCAATGCAAGTCGTAGCTGCAGCTCTTTTTAGAGCTCTGTCATTGCTCAGTTCATACACGCATGACATGCTGGTAAAGTTGCAGGGTTTAGCTGAAAAGAGACACAAAAATAATTCTGGTTAATCAACAATTTATCCCCCTTATAATTTAAAAAATTTTTTAAATTTTAAAAAAAATTTTTATTAATTTCTTCCCTTACAAAATTTTCAACGTTTTTTTTCGAGTTTTATAATTATTTTAATATTTTAAAATTTTTTTCACGCCCAAAATTAGGGGACCCATTTGTTCTCCCTTTACGTGATTAAAAAGTTAACTTTTTGGGTTTTGTTTTTTTAAAAAACACTGAAAATGATGAAGGCATCAAATTTGTAATTTTACAAGCGATTGTGCAACGGAATTACCCAACCATTTGTGAAATTTTAGGAAACTTCTTTTTTTTGCATTGCTGAAAGGTATTGAGCACGTTTGAGAGATTGCCTACCATTCAAAGGGGGTTCACAACAAATTTCTTTTAAAATTAAGAAGATTTCCTTTTTGATTGAATAATTCATAAACGGCTCTACGAATTAATTTATAAAAGAACGAAATGTTATTGTTACTTTACAGGGAATTTGTAAAAAAAATTTTCGTAACTTTACAATAATTTTTTACAGTGTAGTGTAGTACACTTCGCATCCGAATCGAATCGATTCGTGGTACCTTCGATTCGGATCGATATCGAATCAGCTGAGCGGTTTCAAGAGATTCGACGAATCTGAACACCTTCCTTTCGTATTTGAATGTGTGCTCAAGATCCTACTGAACGAAATAAGAACAAAAAGTTTAGTATTTTGACAGCACAGCGAAGGCAGTAACGTCTGTTAAAGGGTTGTCAGTAGCTAATGACCATTTTCGTCATATTACGAACAAAATTTCTCAGTAGGAAATTGGGAGTAGCGAGCTCAAGTTGTTTAAAATTTCTTCTTTCACACCGATGAATCACAAAAGTCGTTCTAAGTGAGTGTGATCCGGTTCTCGTCGTAACTGACAATTACGTTTTTCTAGACTGCATTTCTTAAAATCCTGGGCTTAGAATGCAGTTAACGTGACAGTCCGGGTCTGTTCATTTTCTGTGCACATAGAAAACTTGTGCGAAGAAAACATTTGGACATGGAACTCACCGCCACTGCCTAACTGTTTAACGTGCAACAGGCTTGCTGGAACACAACCGCAGACCCTCATCGCTTCATCGAAGTACCGACTCGACAGGCACTTCACTGCGGAGTAACTGCGAACGAAATAGACACCAGGAGCAGAAGTGTGTGGCATTTGTACATAACAGCGTACATCTAGTGGGATTCCCTATGAAGATACGTTGCTCTGTCAGATGATCACTCAAGTCAGATACGCGCTCTCCACAGACTAAATGTTATAGTAAGGGAGAGTGGGGTAATTCCGGACGCTTTTTTTCTTTTTGGTCTTTGAGCTTGAATATGCTTCTTGGGTCAAATGTTACTACAGGAGAGTAAAGTATGGACCTTTACCTTTACAGATATACATGAAAGCCAAATTTTGCAACGGTTAGGGGGATATAGGCGCCCAAAAAAAGCCCCGCAAGTGTCCGGAATTGCCCCCGGCTGGGGTAATTCCCGGGCGACCTATGGGGGAATTCCCGGGCGACCTTAAAATTTGAAAACATAGTTTCTTCCTTTTTTTAGTGAGGCACTTTCAGAAGGGAAAAAATTTCGGAAAATGTTTTTAATTATTACCAAAGCATATTATAAAAAGTTTCACAAAACCCCAAATTGAAACCTTCTTTTGTCAAACTGTGTAGCTTTTTTGGCCCCTCCCCTTATTTTTTGTAAAAAAAACGGGGGATGGGATAAATTTTATGCATGCGTGCCCGTTGTTCTTGTTCCCGAGGATTCCCGTGATGATCTTTGACCAAAGGACAGCCCCCTGGGTGACCCTAAGAAGGGTCACAAACCCATGACCCGGGGCCTGCTGCATGCATTTTTGGCTCGGGGGGAGGAGGACGGCAAGGATGCAGCTGGGGGCTGTGGGGTTTTTTGGAATGGGGCGACGGAAAAAACCAATGATGCCCGTTTGGGAACAGAAGGGGCCCCGGGGCAAATCCCAGGGGGTATATTTTAAAATTTTTTTATTCCAGGTTTTTCCTGGATTTTTTAAGGGGCCGAGAAAAAACGACATTTTTTAAAACCCAGAAGGTTTTAAACCCCGGGTCAAACATGGGGAAATTCTACGGGCCAAAGTTTCCCATGAACGCTATTTTCCGTTTATTCGTTCTTTCTTTCCCTTCTGAACGGTGGGGATGCATGTCCACAATTTGAACCCACTACTTTAAATTATGGGGAAATTGAAGAAAAAAACCCCCTTGTCCGGATTTACCCCACAGGTAGTGAAAACCTTTTATGTTCAAATTTTAAGAAAACCAGCCATACGAGAATCCCGAAAGGTCAAAGAAAGTCCAAAGACCATTAATATGATAAAATTTTAGTCAGGGGCTGAAATTGACGGAAAGGGACGATAAGTACGTGGAAATACGGGGGAAAAATGCAGCTTTTGCCATTTTTGATGGTACTCAAATTTCGTGAAGCGCCACAGCAACCGGGTTTACCCCCCTTGGCGATTTTGGGAAATTTTCATTTTAATGATTATCTTCCTCTGTTACGCGGGCTTTTGAGTTATCTTAACTCAAACCCAGTGAAAATCGAAGTGTCCGGAATTACCCCGTGTCCGGAATTACCCCACTCTCCCTTACGAATTTCGTTAGAGACGTCACAGTCCCAAGAACACGAAACGCTCAGTGACGTCATTTGATGCCAATATGGCTGTTATTGGACGAAATTTCTCTAAAAAAAACGGTCATTATGACGTCATTTCGACTTCTTTGACTTCTTTGTGTTTCGTGTTTATTGGGAGTTTGTAGAGCCAGCAAATCACCTATCAGTACAAATTTGCACGCAATTTTGCACAAAACTGGGGGGAAACGTGCGATTTTTCGTATGGCAATCGTAACAAACACTTCATCTGTGCCAAAAACTATATGTAACGTCTTGCAAAAAATTGTGCACAACATTTAGTGTGTACTCACGCATTACCTGGCTTTTAGTGAGCCGTTTTGCTCATAATAGCACTGTCGGACTGCCTCCGGTATCCTTGTGAATCCTGAAGACACTGTGACGCCTGCGGCAGACACTCTGACTTGTGCCCCTTCCCCAGGCGCGATAGTCAACATGGTGTCGCTGGACAGAGCTGGTTGGCTGAACGGGGACGAAGTGCCTACCTGTCGCGGAGCAGAAAGGTGTATACAAAGGCAAATTGCGCCAGGTTGACGAGAAAATTGTTGGAACCCCTAACCTGGACTTGAAACTCAAATATGTTACGTAAGAGCGAGGGGCGAATCAATCAGCGTTCTGGTGTACACATGAGTACATAAGTGTCGGTTAGTACACCTTGCTTTACTCACAAATTCCACATTTGAATACATTTTTACCCTTTCTTTAGCGTTTCAAACGACACTCAACGCCAAATCGGTCAAAAAATAGTGAATTTCGCCCGATTTAAACTTGTGAGTCCACTGAGTACGGGCAAATTTGTACTCATGAGTACACTTGTGATTCACCCCCCGCGTAAGAGTATCTTGGACTAATGAGAAAACATTAGTGGAACAGTGGGCCAGAAGACCGGTGGAGGCGGCCAACACTGTAGACGCGTTTTGAGCTACAGAGTCACTGAACAGTCGCGAACAGAATTTTACATTACGTAATGTCTTCAGTATTAGTGCTTACCCAAACATTACTAGCACCGCTTCTCAGAGCAGATCCAGATTGGTTGAATACAACATACACGCCCGTTCCATCACCTGCCATCCCACTTATGCGTGGATTGCAAGTCGCGTTCTCTGAAGTTTCATTGCTGTAGGAAAAAGCCACGTCACGGATCCCGATACCTCTCTGAAGAAAGTAGTTCACTAACTCTTTGCATCTAATTACAAAGGCATTCTATTTTACATTCTAATCCATCAGGTATTCTGTTAATGTTCTTCCTGGATTCAGACTTGTGCTATAGTATGTATACATGGATAGGATTTAAAAGGAATTTTGTGACACATCAAATGTCGCAAACCGTGGGCAAGACAGTTGAAAACTTTCTGCACGCCAAAAACGTTTCCTGGTTTTCTCAGGAACTCCCGGGAAATCGCCTATGTCTTTACCATATATATAGGTCTATAGGCCTATAGGCTTCCAGCAGAAACCAGGAAACGTTTTCACCGTGTGAGAACCTGCAGGTAGTAAAATTTTGTAGGTTGTTTTTAATCCGTTTTTTGCCTTTCCCTCCTTACGACTACAAAGGCTTATTGGAAAATGTCTCCGAAAATTTGTTTTTGTATTTGGTCTACATCGCTTGTCTCTGCGTGGATTAAGAAAGCCATAACAAAGTCTTTGTTTTAAAATATATTTTAAAACAAAGACTTTGTTATGGCTGTCTTCGATGTTTGTCGTACGTACCACTTCAGTCCCGCTCCTTCGGTAGCAGCTGAGTTGAAGACGTAGCACCAACGATCCAAGCGACGTTGGAATTGGAACATTTCAGAGCATTGCATGGCCGTATTGTGCCATTTACAGAGGACCAGCCATTCGCTGCATTTGGGAAAAGCCTGTGCATCGTTTCATGCCATAAGGTAGTCTCACGCTTGCAAGTGTGCCACACCAATGTCACAATTGGAAATGTGAGACACGGTCCATCCCACGCTTGCACAGCAAAAACGTTTCTTGGTTTCCCAGGAACTTCCTGATGGGAATCGCTTATGTCTTTACCTGGCTACCAGGGAAGACCAAGAATTTTTTTTGCCGCGTGCAATTGCCAGTCTCCGTGAATGTGTGTCTCGGTGGCTCAGATGGTCCCAGGCGAGTCAGTGTTTTCCCCAATTTACTTTTCAGATACGTTACCAACATTCTAAGATAAAGCGGGCCGATTGTTAGTGTCTCGGTGGCTGGGACGGTACAGGCGATGGCCGCCACGAGAGTGTCCCGTGATCGAATCCCGGGCGGGTACAATCTTTTACCGAATTCAGTTCTCAGATCCGTTACCATCACTTTAAGATTGGGCGGACGTGCCATTAGTGTGTTGGTGGCTCAGACGGTAGAGGTGTCGGCCACCACGAGGAGGTCGCGTGTTCGAATCGCAGGCGGGTTCATCTTTTCCCGAATTCAGTTCTCAGATCCGTTACCATCACTCTAAGATTGGGCGCACCAACCAGCAGGGCCTTGGTGGCTCAGACGGTAGAGGTGTTAACCACCACGAGGAGGTCGTGGGTTCGTATCCCAGGCGGGTTCATCTTTTCCCTATTTCAGTTTTCAGATCGGTTACCATCGCTCTAAGATTGGGCGGCCTCATCACCAGTGTCTCACTGGCTCGGATGGCAAAGGCAGTGGCTTCCACGAGAAGACTGAGGGTTCAAATCCCGGGAAGACTGAATATTTTCCTGCATTTACCTCTCAGATCCGGTACCATCACTCTAAGATTGGACGTGTCCGCAAGGTATGTGTCGCCGTAGCGCAGTGGGCAGGGCGGCGGCACGACAGTTCTCTGAGGCCCTGGTTCGCCACCAGGTCGGTTCGTCTGGGAGTATTCCCGGGACTGAATTTCCACAAACCCTTTATGATGCCTCTACTCCACCCTCCCTTCGGGGTGGGGGGGTAGGGGGGGTGGGGACCCGATGAGGGGAACTCTTTTGTCTTTTCAAGAGGGGAAAAACGCGAGTTTGCTTTTCTTATAGCCAGCATGCCTGTTTATTTTTCATCAGGGCGCGGTGACGTGTCAGATGGGTTGCCTACCCTCACGGCGCCGTTCAGTGCGTAGCGGCGTGTGCAAAACGTTATTGCGGCCGGGATTCGAACCCAGGACCTACTGGTGGTGGCCACCGCCTCTACCATCCGAGCCACCGAGACACTGGTGGCGAATCCACCCAATCTTAGAGTGATGGTAACGGATCTGAAAACAGAATGAGGGAAAAGATGAACCCGCCTGGGATTCGATCACGGTACATTCTCGTGGCGCCCACCGCATCTACCGCCCGAGCCACCAAGACACTGGCCCACCCTATTTTAAAATGATGGTACCGTATCTGAGAAGTGAACTGGCGAAAAGATTGAGCCGCCTAGGAATCGAACTCAGAATATCATCGTAATAGCCGAGACCTCAACTATCTGAGCCAGCGAGACACACATCTGGGACGCGTCCAATCTTACCACAGAAACAACTACAAGTGTGAGACTGACCAACACTTGGATTTTCGGTGCTTCCTCTGCAAGGCCTGAGCAAGTTTGTACGGTTTTGACAGTGTATAAGAATGCTAAAATTTGATGGACCAGACTGCCAGGAGTGCAAAGTTTTGTACCAACGGATTCACAGTGTTCTTTTAACATCCGTTTCAGGTTTCAGATGAAAACTAGAACTAGGACTTGCGACGTTTGAAGGTCCTTAGCCTCAGCTCACCACTTTAAAAACCTTGAGTATTTTTAACCTTACAAAGAAAAGGAGCTTGTTATAACAGGGCATTTAAAGCAAGCTTTAAAAAAAATAATAATAAATACTTCGTAATTTACGAACTATTAATTCGTATTACAAACTGAAAAGTTTCTGGCTTACATATGCTCAAAATAATTCTAAAGGTCTTTCTAAGCGTGACCCAAGACCGCACATCTTACCTCGAGCATGATAGACTCCAGGTTCAGATTGTCTAACAAGGTTACAGCGTTTTCCCCGAGTAAGCGGCGCACGGCTTCGAGTGAACTCTTCAAATAAGGCCATCGGTGGTACCAAGAATCGCCCAATGACTGGGCCAGATAATCAGCAGCATCCATTTGCCGTTTTGAAAGTGGTGTTGACGAATTCAGCAGTCTGCAAGGCACGCTACTGATCACTGGTCTTGTCCCAAACGAAACAGGACACTTTTCGCGATACATAGGTAAAGCTAAAGCGTTACACCTTTCTTTATGCCTTAGAGTCACTAGTGTTCACGCATATGTAAGATGACTTTTAAGAAACAATAATGGCGAATCATATCTTCATCATTCGATCTTCTAGAGCCAGACACACAGAGGGCAGAAGACCGGCGCACTGTCCGAAAAAAAGTCCGTAAATTTACGGAGAAAGTTACTCTAATTTTGGGAATGGAGGCTCCGTAAATTTTCCATATTTTTACAGAGATTCTCCGTATTTTTGCGGAGATGAACCGCATTTTTTCAGAAATAAACGCATTTTAACGGTTTACTTCCCTCCTTCCACCTTCGATGTTAATGCAAACAGTGTCCTTTTAGACGAAAGTGATTTTCTCCAAAACTGTTTGAAGATCCACTTGACCACATGCCATTTGGATCGGATAAATGGACGGAAACCAAAAGGCGAGGTCGCTTTAGGGAAGGCGCACTCTTGGAGCACCTAATCAGTTGGTCACCCAACCCATCGATAACGTGAATTAGTCTGTTCTTTTTGATAAGTAAGGCTTCTATTTCATTTACATACATAACTTCCATATTTTTACGGAGAAAATCCATAATTCAAAAAAACGGAGATCTCCGTAAAAAAAAATGGACAGTCTCCGTTAAATTTCTGTATTTTTACGGAGTTTTCTGACAGTGCGGAGGCGGCCGAAATCAAACAACCGCTTTGAGCTCCAGAGTCGCTGAATGGGACTGGAACCGAGCGCGTGACAGCAACAATGGATCCGTAGTTCGGAGAGCAATTCATTGGTGGGGTCACGCGTTCGGTTCGATTCCCACTAAGCGAGTCTGGAGCTCATAACGCGTCTGGTCTTCTGGCCCACTGGGAGACGCTTACTTGTGAAGGGCTTCACGCATAACGTGTTTCTTGAATGAAGGCTCGGGACACACGTAAACCGCAGGGAAGTGCCTTTTGTACGCAGGGTCCCGCGTAGACAGAAGGGCTACCTCGGATTTCCCCGACAAATATATCATCCACAAAATGCTCGTGAATGTCACCATCACTGAAGCCGAGACGAGAATCGCGAAGCTCCAAATGATCCTATCGGTGTTACAAACGAAAACATTTACAGGATATGATATCGAACATTTTCGGAAATATATGATGCCAGAAAATTCCGGAATTGTGAAGTTTTTGGTTCGGAACCTCCGAACAGGTTCTCCATGAAGACCCTGTGTTATCAGGTACGGAAACCTAAACCAAGGGGTCCCCCACTTCACAACAGTCTCCACGCTAGGAGGAGTCAATCTCATAATCTTGAATCAGGAATGCTTGTAAAATGGCTGAAAGCGAGAAAAAAATCATGCATGAATCCATCATGCAGAATCCCTAACCATGCGAGACAACGAGCTATATGTGTACAAAAAGATTCTGGGTGAGGGACCCCTTGTCAGAAATGGAACTTCTAGTGCCGAAGTATGGAGGCTCCGGATTAATTATAGGCACTCTAAAAAAAATTATGAAATTTCATATCCAAAGGAGTCTAAAATTTCATAATCACGTTCTAAACCTCAATTTTTATAACCTTCGTATAAAATTTAAGATTGTGTTATGAAACCTAAGATTTGGGTTATGGATTTTAAGATTAACTGGTTATAAACTTTTAGAACAGAGTGACTTATAACTCTGGTTCTTAAAATCTAGATTTTCGCTTTGAAAGTTTATAACGCTAGCCGATTTTAGAGCAAGGTTCTGAAATTTTAAACCGTTTAGTCCTGCTGCCTAGTCCTTTATTCATGGTTAAATTAATAAAGAGGTGAAGTTTTCATTTTTATCGGCATGTGTTAACATTTTCCGAACCGCTAAGGTACACTGTGCGAAAAAACCACAGTGAATCCCGTTAATTTTTGTGCCGGAATTTACTGTAGTTCAGAACACAGGATATACTGTGCCTGGCTACAGTATTTACCGTACCTTGTACAGGATATTCCGTACTCCACTCCTGTGGTACAGTAAATCCCGTACAAAGTACAGTGGATCCTGTAAAAAAGGTACAGTAAATCCTGTACTCTGAACTACAGTCACAGCTGTACCAAACAGTACAGGATTTACTGTGATTTTTTCGCACAGTGTAGGAGTCCTAGGGGCGGTCTACAAACTGAAAAACGTACATTTTATGCACTAACTGGAGCAAGCACGCTTTTGCTAGCGTATGCCTACTACTTTTTAGTGCATACAGTTATTACATTAATGAGAGGTATGGAGAGCTGTCTGCTTCAGTTCGCGTGTACATGGCATGATGCACTAGTTAGTGCATGCTTGGCGGGCATGCGCTTGTTGGAGCGTACTTGCAGGCATGCTCCAGTTAATGCATGTTCAAAATTTGTGTGTAGTATTTCCCAAGAGGCTGCAAATCGCGTCCCTTGCAATGCCTGACCGGCCACCGTCCTCCGGGCCGAGCCGAGCCGAGCCGAGCCGAGCCGGCCAAGCCGAGCCGAGCCGAGCCGCCCCGAGCCGGCCGAGCCGAGTCGGCGCTGCTTCCACGGAAAATCACCGCTCGCCGGCCTGCCGGCCGAAGCCGAAGCTACCTGTGCCCGGCGAGGGGTCGCGTAATCCCTCGGCCACACGGGATTTCGGCGACACTGCGTCACTTTTAGTGTGTCTTTGTCTCCAGTGCTGTGCACAGCGTATCCAGTTCGCGTCCGCGTCACCGCAAGTTCGCGTCATCAATTTTGTTTCGCTATGTACCGTTAGTGCGCGTAGTGCGTAGAGTGCAGTTAAAGTGTTGCTTGTGGTGCCGAACAGCCACCACTCGTGTTCAAGAGTTACAAGCTATTTTGGCGACCCTCGGAAAAAGGACGTGTTTTCGCCAAAAGCGGTGTTACTGAGTGCTGTTATTCCATCTTCTTAACTGTAGGGACGGGCGATGAACGTGTGGGTGGCGTATTATGTCAATTCGCTTCTCCTCTTTCATCCTCGTCCCCAAAGTAGTTTCTGCGTGTCGACCGAGTTTCCCTAAAGTGCATCTGGATCTTATGCACTGCTGCGCCTCTGACTGTTAACAGCGTCGACTGCACTACAGTACAATGCTTATTTCCGTTGGCCAGCTGCAACGATTTGCGATAATACTGAGTGTGAAAAGAAATCATAGCTTTCTGAGATTTCATCATTTGTAACATATTCATTAAGAAAGGGATAAAGGTTTTATTTATTATTATTTTTTATTTATACATTTTGTGGGCAGTAATGAAACTATTATCATGTTTCATAATATTGGTTGTAGAGATTCAGAACCAAATGTGAATTTTCAAAACCAATTGATTCTAAAAAATTAATAAACTAGTTCTTACATTTCATAAACCACTTCTGAAAGTTTAGAACAGCAAGTTATGAAATTTAAGAACTTTTTGGATATGAAATTTAAGATTCATTGTTCTACAAATAACTTCAAATCCAGATTATGAAATTTAAGAAGCATTTTTTTTAGAGTGGGCCACTCACTGTCCATACATTTTCTGTCCTTTTTTCCACCAGTGTAAGGGCAGCAAGTCATACAAAAAATAGCACGAAACACTCACAAAGCAGTTCAAGGATGTCAACGTCAAAATAATGCTTTTTTTGGTCGAAATTTTGACTACAATTTGTCATGTTGACATCCAAATGACGTCACTGTGAGAGTGTTTCGTGGTCTCTGGGATGTTACCTTGATGCCAATGAGCCTTTGACGACGTAATGCATCCCGTGGACACTGCTGTGGCATCCAATTTCCCGAAGCACTCTCTTGGCGGCATACAGACGAAATCTTGACATTTCTTTAATCTGATTAAAGCATTTAAACACTGGTAGACAATGGCTGTGACGTCACTTCTTAAAATGTGGCTCGTTTTGATCGACTTATCTAGTCGAGCTCTATAAGCCCGTTGTCAAAAGTGATTTCTAGTTTAGGGCCGTTTTTCTGACGGTTTGACTAGACTATTCCTTTTCGTTAATTTGAGCGTAACAGAAAATTTACAATCAAACGAATGTGACACGACCGCATCGCTTTTTGTGACAAAAAATCAGCAGGCGAACTGTCACATCGAAAGGAGCACCTATTGGCAGATGTCTTGTCACATCCAAACGAATGAGCCACCAATGCACTATCACGTTCGTTCGTATGTGACAGTCACATTTTAACGAACGTGACAGCAGTTGGTACACGCACGTAGCAAGAACGAGAAAAAATGAGACCTACCTACCAGGCGTAACACGGTTGTCTTGCTCGAAGACAGAGACTCAAGTTCATAACCCTCGTGGTGCAAAAGTGACATTGACAATTCCTCCTAGGGTGTTTAATATTCCGTGAGTGCTGCTTGGCTACCGGCACGTCACTACGCCAGAGAGCCACGCCGAGACAGTGGTCAGCGCTTCATCGCGGAGGGTCGTGATGTGAAATTAAAACTTTCCCGATGGCAATTACAGTGGCGTGACACTTGAAGCAGTTCGTGGCCGAACAATGAGGGACTGCCCCTCGGACTGTCGAGCCGCCTTCCACTCGATTTGTCGACAGTTCGACGCGGACTTGCTTTGCTACAAAAAGCTGCCACGTACTGAAATTCAAATGGCCAGACGGGCACAGAGGACCAGTGGAAGCGGTCAAAATTCTAGACGCGTTTGGAGGTCCAGAATGGCTAAATGAGTATCTGAAATTTCAGTTTTTGTTTTTTAAACAGTGTACTACCTGTAACAAGTCGTTCGTGTAACCTCGATAACGAGTTACTCTTATTTATGGTCACCCAATTATCTCCGCGAAAGTGCACATCTCGTGGGGAGCGGCGGCAAAGTTTCGTCCGGGCAGTGTGTGTCACCTCGGGAGCTGTTTTGAATTAGTAAGATGGAACGAATAATTAGCATCATACTTAAAGCACCTTGTTTATTAGCCAAGAAAACATGACCCAAAATTACAAAATTCATTATCAGACTTTAAGTTAGAAGATAACTCTATTCCTCGAGGCCAAAGAGTTATTGAAAAGATAAAAAAACTTCCACCACCACTTCACTTGAAGACAATTTCGTGTAAAAACCCATGTAAACCATTGTACCGCAATAAATACAAAGTCTAAAATATAAATGATTAAAATGAAAATTAAGGCCCAGCAGGCACATATATTTTGAAGAGAGTTCATACATTAAATAAGAACCATGAACTGCCTGGCAGCACATCAATCAATCATGCAGCAGCTGGTCGACGGACACCTTGGCGAAAATGTTGTTGGCGATGCCGAGAATCACGTCGGCCGACTTGAGGCGGAGTTCGGGCATCAAGGCGTCGAGGACGAGGTGCCCACTGGTGCGGAGCAGCATGATGGTGGCTTGGGCTGCGACGGGAAAGAAACGAATGTAACAACTGGAAATAAGAAAGTATACTTAGTTAGCGTATACATATTACGTTTGATTTTTAGCAAATACTTATTACGCACAATAAGTATCTGTTAAAAATCAAGTGCAATAAGTTACACTAAAAACAAACGTAATAAGTATACGCTTAAGGTGGAATGTAATGACTGAAAATTACAAAGTAGAGGCGGAGAATGGGATAGAGAAAGAAATGACAGCTGCCTTACAGAGCGAAAGACTGCACAAGTGTAAGCTTCAACGCTACAAAAGGATGAAGCGCATGCCCAGCAAAAGGAGTAAGAAATTAGACCTGTTCACCAATCTACTTGAATTCAAGCTTAGTTGGTTAACACTGGAAATCAGGCTCAAACCAACTTAGCTTGATTTCTAGCTTCAACTCTGATAAATACAGTGCACATGTAAAGCGAACTAAGTTTCACCATTATGCTCACTGTTCACATCAGAGTGACTTCTGTGAGTCAAGCTGTAGGGGAGGGCACCAGGCACTTCATTCAAGTAGATTGGTGAACAGGTCTACTTCCTTACTCCTTTTGCTGGGCATGCGCTTCAACCTTTTGTAGCGTTGAAGCTTACACTTGTGCAGTCTTTCGCTCTGTAAGGCAGCTGTCATTTCTTTCTCTAACCCATTCTCCGTCTCTACTTTCTTATTTACACTCATTACATTCAACCTATAGCATATACCTATTACGTTTGATTTTAAGTGTAACTTATTGCACTTGATTTTAAGACATGTTATAAGTATTTGCTAAGAATCAAACATAGTAAGTGTGCGCTAAATGTCAAGCATAATAAGGTTACGCTAAAAATGAGCATAATAAGTTAACTCTAAAAATGCAGCATAATTAATTAGAACTAAAAACTAAGTGCAATAAGTTTGTGCAAGAAACCAAGCATAATATGTTCACATTGAACGACACATATTAATAGTTTCCACTAGAAATGAAGCATATTGGCTCATCCACTCAGACTCCCCCTATCTAAACCAAGGGGTTACCCACTCTGGTAATCGTGTGTACACTTCATCCAGTAATCAATGGTAATCACACACCAAAACTGGCTAGTTTGGCCGTTTTTATCGGATTTTGGGTTTTTTTCTTGTGAAATAAGGCCAAAATGCTCTTAGCTGGCCAAAATTATGGAATTTTTTGAGTATGTTCGTAGGTAATCACTGGTAATCAGTAATCCTGCGTACACTCCTGAGCTGAGTGGTCAACCCCTCGATCTAAACGCATAAGGGAATTACCGAAATATACTTTGTTTTGAGCGAAAATTAACGCTTGACAAAGGCATGCAGACGTAGTGAAATTTCACCCGTTCAACGTCGTCAACTCACCAATGATGAAGTTCTCCCCCGCCGCCCGGTCGATGCGCATGCTCACGTCGCCCACCGTGAGGTCCACCAGCAGGCGGTCCACGTGCACGTGCTGCCTGCCAGCTCGGTCTGCCCGGTCTGCCCCGCGCACCGACGCGGGGCCAAGTGACTGAAATATTTGGGAGAGTCCTTGCATTGCGTTCAAATCACTCGCCTCAGGCGGACCGCCAGGGTAGCCGCGGCCAGCGTCTCCGCGACAGCCGACGTCCTCCACACTAAGAGAAGGAACAAATCATTGTCACACTTGATGAATGCAGCCACCAATGAGCCATTCTCGGATCGTCGTCCAGTTATGCTGTTTCACGTCTAGGGCTGCCCACGCTTAATGTTTTAGAACAAATTTTGGATGAGCCATCACAGTTTATAGTGCACACGAGCCTTCCGTACAAATTTGTACAAAATTTAGTACAATTTGGAGAAAAATTGCGAAAAAGGGCGGTTTTCGTACAAAAATAGTGCGAAAATTTCGTGCGCACAAAAAATTGTGATGACTCGCTATCGCTCAGCCAATAATACGCTGTAGAGACCCTTCTGTAAACTTGCAATTCAAATTTACAGCGAAGTCGTCGGAGACATGAACAGCGAGAGGATGCTTACGTGAGGTCGCGAACTGTGAAGTTGCTCACGCCCGTGACGTCGATGTCCTAGGAACCTGTCCGGCCCCTCGGCGCGGTGCGGCCATGGCGCCGGTCGAAGACAGACTGACAGCGACTTCACGGACGCGCCGCCGGCCGCATCCGGTCGCAAGCTTCACCCACCACTCAGAGACACAACAGTGCTTGCGAGATGTTGGGGCGGCGGTTTGGGGCGGCGGCGGGAGGGTGCCTGGCATTGCCCCGGCAAAGGGATCTTGGGCCCCCTCAGCCCCCTTCGACGCCGCCACCGCGCGCCAGGCACCCGCCGGGATAATTCCATTTACCTAGAGAAAAACACGAGAAAACAGTAGAGAAATCAAATTTTCAAAAAAGGAAAAAGCAAAGTGAATCTATATCCTGATGGGTGAGATACAATTGGATAAAATCGGGGCAACGAGACAGAGCCAACGGTGCCAGTTTTAAGCGAATCGGAGAAGTTTGGACCCGGGTTCAAATCCCAGTGGAGTATGTTTTGATTATTCATTTTATTCAAGTTTTTGCATTGTTTCCGAGGGGGCGACCACATTGGAATTTATGGGACACGAGATTTCATCAAGCATAAGATTTCGTCGGTTTTCGCAAGATTTTGACCGTTATTCCGGTCAAAATTAGCTAATTCTGGCCTTTTGGGAGGCAAGATTTCAAATTTCCAAGAGATTTCAAGCGCTAAGGAGCCACAAAATTTCGAGAGTGGTTGCCTCCTCAACTGCACGTGTGGCCCCACCAATGGATTCCATTCGAGAGCAATCTATTGGTGGGGTCATAGATTCGTCCCACATGGCGACTCTGGAGCTCAAAACGCGTCCGGGATTTTAACCGCCTCCACCGGTCTTCTGGCTCGTGCTCTGCAGCAGAAAACGCAACCTCGCGCCATCAAACCGAAATCACGACCAGAATGACTTTAAAAACAGAAAATGTTGAAAAATTGAGTGTGTCAGCCCCACGGACATCCAGAGGCCCCCGGACACTGGTCCGACGGCTGGGAACGGGGCCGTTTGCTCTCAGACTGCTGGCGGCCCGCGCCCATGCTCCCCCAGGAGGCGAGCAACGTGAAGCGAACAACACCAAGCAAGCCGCCCGGAGGAAAGGGGCGCGGGCGGGTGGGGGCCCGAGGCTTCCTCTTTCAGACGGGCCAAACAGGAAGTCCAAAAGAAAGAACTCTTGTAGTAGGTTAGGTTAACGCATCCAGGGAGAAACCCTCCCCAGATGCCGGGCCCCCCGAAGCCAGACCGTCTACCTTCAACTCACAGTTAGTTGTGCAGCTCGGCGAAATACGCCAAAAACTGCGGAACGTAACTTGTGGACGGGCCACCAACTGTGAGCTTCTCGAAATCAAACTAGCGTTGGGACTCGAACTGAACGTGTGACCCCACCAATAGAATGCTCTCCGAACGAAGAACCCATTGGTGGGTTACGTTTAAGTCCTGTTGGGCAACTCTGGAGCTCAGAACGTGTCTTGAGATTAAGTCGCCGACGCCGATCTTCTGAACTCGATTGTTTCTGATGTTTTAGAGCGTGCTGGTGACGAAAATAACATCTATTTTGACCCCAGACTCAAGTTCAAATTCCGTTAGGGTTAAACATAAGCAAAATTCACACATTTCTAAAAATAAGGGACGATGAAAATACCGATGAATATCGCTACTTTTCCTGTTATATTGGTATTGGCCAGGAAGTACGCATTCGTTGGAGAACTGTGATTCGACAATGGTTAGTTTCTCGTCGAACCGAGGGAGGGTGAATTATTTTGACCGCCTCCACTGGTCTTCTGGCTCGTGCTCCTGCAGCAGACAACGCAAGTTCGCGCCATCAAACCGGAATCACGACCAGAATGACTTCAAAAACAGAATATGATAAAAAATTGAGTGTGTCAGCCCCACGGGCATCCCGAGGCCCCCGGACACTGATCCGACGGCTGGGAACGGGGCCGTTTGCTCTCAGACGGCTGGCGGCCCGCGCCCATGCTCCCCCAGGAGGCGAGCAACGTGAAGCGAACAACACCAAGCTCAAGCCGCCCGGAGGAAAGGGGCGCGGGCGGGTGGGGGCCCGAGGCTTCCTCTTTCAGACGGGCCAAACAGGAAGTCCAAAAGAAAGAACTCTTGTAGTAGGTTAGGTTAACGCATCCAGGGAGAAACCCTCCCCAGATGCCGGGCCCCCCGAAGCCAGACCGTCTACCTTCAACTCACAGTTAGTTGTGCAGCTCGGCGAAATACGCCAAAAACTGCGGAACGTAACTTGTGGACGGGCCACCAACTGTGAGCTTCTCGAAATCAAACTAGCGTTGCGCAGTGGGCCAGAAGACCAGTGGAGGCGGCCGAAATTTTGAACGCGTTTCGAGCTCCAGAGTCGCTAACTGGGACTCGAACCGAACGTGTGACCCCACCAATGGATTGCTCTCCGAACGAAGAATCTATTGGTGAAGTCACATGTTCCGTTAAAGTCCTTTATGACAACTCTGGAGCTCAAAACGCGTCTTGAGTTTTGGCCGCCGACGCTGGTCTTCTGAACCACTACTACTTACGCAGTGTTTCGGCAGCTGCGCCACGAGCACACCATGTCACAGCCAACATCGTGATGAGGAAAGAAGTCATGATACTGCACCTGAAACAGAAATAAAACTTTAGTTCACATTAAACTAAACCTCGGTCAGCCGTTAAATAAATGTTAAAAGAGCAGTTACGAAAATGACACGAGGCTCAAGGAATAAATGTATGACGGCCAGAGAGAGACGCGAGAGTGGACGAAAGTGGGCGAGTCAGTATCGAAAAAGGCGAAAGAATTTCTTTTACAGGAGGGATCTTGAAGACCGGAGACAGCTTGGAAGTGACTGGATCACCACATCAAACGCCGCTTTGAGATCATTTCCGGCGAACTGTACATCACAGAGGACTTCAGTGAACTGTTTCCGGTGTTAGCCCATTACGTACTATCATCCTTCGGGACATAACTTTTATTGAGGCAACCGCCTCACTCAAATTGAACCGAAAATTTCATTGTCAGAAACGAACAGGTCATGAGGGGTAAGAATTATGTGAAACGAGTATAGAGGTACACGAAGACAGATTAGCGAAACGACAGTCACGAAAGTTATTGAGGAGAACTGAAGGTTGAAAGCGAGGGGGCAACCACATTGCATGTTTGGGGACACAAGATATCTTCAGGCTTGAGATTTCGTCGCATTTTGCAAGGTTTCACTGTAAACGTAATGCTCGGACACATGGCCAAATTGTGGCGTGACAATTTACGCCGAAAACCGTGAAAGACAACGCGTTTTCTAAGACAAGTCACGCCAAAAACCGGCATGACAACAAATTCACGCCAAAAATTGGCGTGAATTTTTGAGTCACGCCGATTTTTGGCGTGTCTTTTCTGTTATACCGTTTAATGGCGTGACACTATTGCCGCCCCTACAGCGGCACGAAGTCACGCCGATAGATTTTCAGTGTTAAACCGTTTCCGCTAAAAATAAGCTTAATTTTGGCCGTTTGGGAGGCAAGATTTCAGATTTCCCAGAGATTTCTAGCGCTAAGGAGACACAAGATTTCTAGAGTGGTTGCCCCCTCGACTGCACGGGTGGCCCCACCAATGGATTCCATTCGAGAGCAATCTATTGGTGGGGTCATAGATTCGTCCCACATGGCGACTCTGGAGCTCAAAACGCGTCCGGGATTTTAACCGCCTCCACCGGTCTTCTGGCTCGTGCTCTGCAGCAGAAAACGCAACCTCGCGCCATCAAACCGAAATCACGACCAGAATGACTTTAAAAACAGAAAATGTTGAAAAATTGAGTGTGTCAGCCCCACGGACATCCCGAGGCCCCCGGACACTGGTCCGACGGCTGGGAACGGGGCCGTTTGCTCTCAGACGGCTGGCGGCCCGCGCCCATGCTCCCCCAGGAGGCGAGCAACGTGAAGCGAACAACACCAAGCAAGCCGCCCGGAGGAAAGGGGCGCGGGCAGGTGGGGGCCCGAGGCCTCCTCTTTCAGACGGTCCAAACAGGAAGTCCAAAAGAAAGAACTCTTGTAGTAGGTTAGGTTAACGCATCCAGGGAGAAACCCTCCCCAGATGCCGGGCCCCCCGAAGCCAGACCGTCTACCTTAAACTCACAGTTGGTTGTGCAGCTCGGCGAAAAACGCCAAAAACTGCGTAACGTAAATTGTGGACGGCCCACCAACTGGGCGCTTCTCGACATCGAACTAGCGTTGCGAGGAACAGTGGAGGTGGCGGAAACTCTAAACGCGTCTTCAGCTACAGAGTCACTTTGTGGGACTCCAACCGAACGTGTGACTACACCAACGGATTGCTCTCCGAACGAAGAATCAATTGGTGAAGTCATATGTTCCGTTTAAGTCCTGTATGGCAAGTCTGGAGCTCAAAACGCGACTTGAGTTTAGGCCGCCGACGCCGGTCTTCTGAACCACTACTATAGTACTAAGTAGTACTAAGTATACTTACGCAAGGATTCAGCAGCAGCGCCAAGAGCACACCATGTCACAGCCAACGTCGTGAGGATAGAAAACAAGTCATGATACTGCACCTGAAACAGAAATAAAACTTTAGTTCTCTCTAAACAAAACTCGGTCAGCCGTTAAATAAATGCTAAAAGAGCAGTCACGATAATGACACGAGGTTCAAGGAATAAATGAATGACGGCAGACACGCGAAAGTGGACGAATGTGGGCGAGTCAGATGTTTCGAACTAGGCGAAAGAATTTCTTCTTCGGGGGGGATCTTGAAGGCCGGAAACAGCTTGGAAGTGACTGGATCGCAACAACGAACGCCGCTTTGAGATCATTTCCGGTAAACTAATATCACAGAGTACTTCAGTAAACTGTTTCCAGTGTTCTCCTATTTCGTAGCCTACTTTCATCCTTCGGGACATCATTTTCATTCAGACAACCGCCTCACTGCGCATTGATCCACAAATTTCATCAAGGATAAGAAAATTATGTGAAACGAGTAGAGGTACACACTAAATGCTTAAAGACTTAGCTATCGCCGTATTTGTGCATACTGAAGTTAAGTACAAATTTGTTCCTAAATAAGGTACAATGTTTTACATACTCAAGCGCAATATGGAAATATTGTACCTAATAGGGTACTTCGCAGAAGAGCCGGAGTGGAAGTTGAGAAGAAATCAGGAAGAACAAAGTGTGCGAAATGTGTAAGAATGAGCGTCTGCGTCGCCGTCCTGACGCTTCCGCAGAGTTATATTCTCATATAAGTCCGGCGTTTGTCCTTCTTCATTTCTTCTCAACTTCCGGTCCAGCTCTTCTCCGATGTTACATAAGTTCTGTATGCACAAAAGCGGCCATAGCTATGGACAATAAAGAACGTAAAACATGGAGTGTGTACACGAAGACCGATCAGCGAAACGACAGTCACGAAAATTATTGAGAACTGAAACTTGAAAGAAAATGAACAGGGTTAATGAGAATCTCAAGCAGCAGTGGAGATAAAGAAAATGCTGCGTGAGACTTGAGCTAACACTGAGGGAGTTGTGTACGCTTAGATATTCCCGCTTCGCAGTAAACTGATTCGGGCCACTTCTGGTTGGGTCACAACAAACAGACGACGCGTTGGTTTTACACCAACCAGCGGTTCTAATATCATGATATTTTCACTCGAATGAGTAAGATATTATGTTCCAGCTTAAAAATGCCATTTAACGAAGAAAAAATATTTTCGGCGATGTTTAAATCCTCTGTTGTATGTTTGTTATGACCCAACCGGAAGTGGCCCGCTCGCCTTTAGTTCTTCTTCTCGGCTCCGCTGAAATAGTCAAGTCTTGCGTAACATGCCCCCTAACTTATTTCCAGCAACGCGTGCCGATATTAAACCTACACAAACAGCCGTTGCAGAGATTCTCAACAAAGGCATGTTTCTTTCAAACATCGGCTCTAGTAACCTGAAGGTAGCGTCGAGGGGTCGACAACTACCTCGAGCCGTGTACGAGGTAGTATATATTACCGGTAATATAAGTAATATAGGGTAATATAAGGTAATATACGGAAATAAAACAACGGTAATATATGATAAAAGAAGATGAGAACGTGACACAGTATCCTTGACTAAGGCTAAAATCAGGAGTTCTGGCTAGAATTTTGGTATTATGCAGACCTTACCCTCGTTTCATGACAGCGCCCCCTGTCAGATAAAAGGTATGCAACCCGATGCAACCTATCTGACAAAAGTATGGCGCGTAGCTTCATGTCAGATTGAACACGGACATCAAATCCGAATTTCTTCCTGTCGCAAGGAGAAGCCTAATAGCTTTAACACCTTGATACCAAGGTTCAGTACGGCAAGTTTAACGTTAGTTTAGGTTAGAAACATTTGCTTAAGCAAATCACAGAAATATGTGGTAATATAGTGGTAATATAGAGGTAATATACGGTAATATACGGTAATATAAGGTAATATAGAGGTAATATAAGCTCTGCGTACGAGGTAATATGGGAGTTGTCGACCCCTCGGGTAGCGTACATATCCAAATCTTGCGTAACACCTTCACGGAGTTAACTACAGAGACTGCAGATAGGAACTCAAGCGCACCGACAACCCACAGACTAGAAACCGGAAAGCAAACTTAACTCATCTCCTTTCAAGATCACTTGCTTTGCCTGGACTTTCGATACCTTCAAACCAATTAAGTACGAGAAGTACCGTAGGGAGAGTCGGTACTCACTGCAAAAGGATCCGTCGGAGAAATGAAGTTCATGAGCCTGACGCACAGGAAACCACAGAGAAGTTCGCGCCAGTACGCGATGCTGCACGGTGTGCGGAGCGGTGTTCGGATGTGCAAGAGCAAGGTGAAGACAACTGAGGAGAGTGACGTCCTTGCAGTGCAGTGTCAACGGCGAGCCGCACACTGCTGAGGTGCCGAAGTCCGCCGCCTGAGGGCGCTCCCCAGACAAAAAGATTTCTCGCCCGTCACGGGCAGTCTGAGCAAATCTGGGTACAGCACGGGCGTGTGCGGGCTCAGCACGGGCACAGGGTGGGCACAGAACGGGCGCATCATCCGAAGGCGGGTCGAGGCTCGAGCCCGCATGCGGGCCATGGCTTAATTGCCACTTAATTCACTGTGGCAAAAAGCTACGGAAAATCCTGTAAACAGCTTGTGGTAATTCTCCGTAGGCTCTTACAGTATTTTCTGTAGGACCGCACAGTATTCTCCGTAGGACCGCACAGTGATCTCCGTAGGACTATACAGTCTTCGAGGTCCTACGGAGAAGACTGTGCGGATTTACAGAGAATACTGTGCGGCCCTACGGAGAATACTGTAAGAGCCTACGGAGAATATTGATAAGAGGGCTACGGAGAATCCTGGCAAAAAAATTAACAGGATTTTCCGTACCTTTTTGCCACAGTGTTGCAAGAGAGAGACTTCTGGGGGGGAGGGGGGGGGGGTAATGGCCTCGTAGCCTAGAGGCTCAAGTCAGCCGCATGCGGGCCAATGCTGGCAAGTACGGGCAGTTGCAAACGGGTGTTGAGTTGCGTACTGCACTGTAAATGTCTTACGGTGAAAGTCTGCACCAACATATTACGGTGGAGATTTTCTCCATAATACCAATGATATACGTCAAAATACGTATAAGATACAGTGAACTCTCAATGGTATGTTACGAAGTCAGCTGCACCACCATAATTTGGAACATTTTCACCATAATATGTAGAATCTTCACTGTACAACAATTAGAACGTATGCAATTTCGATGTAGTGTCTGTCTGGAATTGAATCAGGACAACGAGGTAGACGATGGATGCAGTGATCTGAAACATGAAACCGGCGTATGTGAACTCACGAGAGAGGCAGTACCTGTTCTCACACTAGTTTAAGCATACATACTTTTCGTACAAATTTCACACGAATTTGTGCGATTCTGCGTGCAAACTTGTACGATAAAATGGTGTGAGACCACAACAAGGTTGTACAAATACATTTAGTGCGCATCAGAAGCTTGGAGCCTTCACAGACTTAATGAGACTCTTACCCGCTCGTACCGTGAGAAGAACTTCATATTTCTCTACCAATAGATGATTGATTGGCTGAGCGATAGCGAAGCCCGTTACTCCAGTGGGGTTGAAAAGTTTCGTCTGTCTGTCTGTGTGCGCGTGCGTGCACTACTCCTCCTTAACGGCTCGGCCGATCTGGCTGAGATTTTGCAGGCTTATTCGGTATGTTCTTGGCTCAGCACACGCGAAATTTCACTATCCTAGCTCAACTGGTTCCGTTTCTATAGCCGAAAAACACCTATAAACCGGCGGAAAATCGAGTTTTCTGCAGGTAGATCTCTCCTGTTTTGATGAGAGGGGGGTCCCCAGCCTCGTCAAGTTGAAAAGTTACGATGGTCAAGATCGTGTAATTTGTAGATGAAGCAACTCCATCTAGAATACACAGCCCCCCAGCATGCAACAAATGAGCTATTTTACGAATAAGAAGAAGAAAAGAAGACGCCTACCCCACCCACCCGCACCGCCCCGCTCGGAACATAACAAACCCTCATTTGTTCGAACAAGTGAGGGTTTGTTATGTTCCGAGCGGGGCGGTGCGGGTGGGTGGAGTAGGCGTCTTCTTTTCTTCTTCTTATTCGTAAAATAGCTCATTAGAAGAAAGTGATAATGGACAAGCATTGCCTGCCGAAGGCAGGCTAGCGCCGCAGGCCAAGGTAGGTACGCCAGGCGCGGATTGGAGGAACAGGCAGCGAGACAAGACGACAAGACGCGGTCTGGCGTAAACCTACCTTGTTATTTCTCCAATGACTTAAGTTTTATCTTGTGTCACTGGGCAATGGTTTTTTACACCTTCTACGGCTAAATTGCAGAGTAGTATGATTAAAAAAGTTCCAATTTTGCCCCAGGCACAGCGATATAGTAGATTAAAAAACGAAATAAAATATGCAGGGCCCAAAATTGACCATTTCGCGAGAACTGCTCTCCCCAGACGAAAAGATTTCGCGCCCGTTACGGGCACAGCCTGAGCAAATCTGGGCACAGCACAGGCAAGTACGGGCTCAGCACGGGCACAGCACGCACAGCACGGGCAGGTACGGGCGCATCACCCGAAGGCGGGTCGAGGCTTGAACTCGCATGCGGGCAAGTGCGGGCAGATGCGGGCAGACGCGGGCAGGCACGGGCACATACGGGCAGATGCGGTTGCATCCGGAGCGCCTTGAGGTTTGTGCCCAAGACCAATTCGTGGTCGAGCTCAGAAAAGCTAAACACGAGCAAACGAAGCCTGCACACTAAATGTCATGGGACTTTTTTTGTCCCACGGTTTATGCAATTTTAAGCACATCCGGTGGTGATGCAATTTTGTGTCCGCCAGGCGGGACAAATTGTCTGGTAAAAGTACAAGTTGCAGCTGGCGCCGGACAAAATGTTTCACCAGACGGGAACAAAATTGTACCAGCGTCGGATGTGCTTAAAATTGCATAAACCGTGGGACAAAGAAAGTCCCATGACATTTAGTGTGTGGAGCAGTGATGCATGCCTGGAAGCTAGGTACTATCTCATGCCGGGTGAGCATGGAGGTAGTTTGGGTTGCCCATGCTACGGGGTAATACACTGCAAACCTAACTGTCTACTAAGTACACACTTACAAATGCATGCTTGCAAGTACACACTTGCAAACGCATGCTTGGCCAAGTACACACTTACAAATGCATGCTTGCAAGTACACACTTACAAACGCATGCTTGACGCCGTATAACTCCATGCGTCAAGCATGCGTTTGTAAGTGTGTACTTGCAAGCATGCATTTGTAAGTGTGTACTTGGCCAAGCATGCGTTTGCAAGTGTGTACTTGCAGGCATGCATTTGTAAGTGTGTACTTATTAGACAGTTAGGTTTGTAGTGTACGGCTCGTCTATCACCCTGTAGCTTACGCAACCCAAACTACCTCCATGCTCACCCGGCGTGAGATGGTACAGCTTCCAGGCGTGCAGCATACTGCTCCAGGCTTCGATTACTCGTGTTTTGCTTTTCCGAGCTCGTCCACGAATGAATGGGTCTTATGGGCACAAACCTCAAGGCGCTCCGGATGCAGCCGCATCTGCCCGTGTGCCCGTGCCTGCCCGCGTCTGCCCGCACTTGCCCGCATTTGCCCGCATGCGAGTTCCAGCCGCGACCCGCCTTCGGGTGATGCGCCCCGAGGGGGTAACCACTCGCGTAATACCCTGTACACAAAAACCGTGTATTACGCGTAATACACGTGGTCGTAATACCATTTCTGGGTCAAATGTGCCAAATTTTTGCATTTTAAGGACGTAATACACGTGTAATGCCCCCGTAATACAGCGTAATACCGAGTAGTCTGTACACGATTTCTTGAAGTGTTTACCCCCTCGATGCGCCCGTACTGCGCCCGTGCTGTGCCTGTGTTCGTGCTGAGCCCGTACACGCCCGTGCTGTGCCCAGATTTGCTCAGGCTGTGCCCGTAACGGGCGCGAAATCTTTTTGTCTGGGGTGCTACGTCATCATGCCTTATGCCCCAGCAACGTGATTGTTGCAGGCCGAACTGATCCATCCTCAACAGTTCAGTCACGAACCCGGATGCCTATCTCCATTGCGCATTGGGGGCATCCTGTTTCGTGTATGGGTCCGAAACCACAACACCCGTCTTCTCACAGCGTTTCAAGCGAATATTTTCATCCACTTTGCTGATGCACGTTTCAACTGGCACTAACTGTGGAAAAGTAAGATCCTTATTATTCGACTGTCAGTAATCCTAACCCTGCACTTTGTATCAGAATGGCGCGATGCCCAGGTCGGAGTCGCGACTAGTTGCATTCGTCTTTTGGCATTCCCGTCGATGTAAAAGTATTGCCGAAAGAATGCGTGTAGGAGCAATTGTGTAGGAGACAGCTTGAAGCTTTTGGTATCAACTTCTAACATTCTTTGTGGCATTTTTCAGAATTTCCAAGTCACCTTCGCACGCATTGAGGATTCTTTGCATATATGCCACTCGATAAGTTATTTCCGCGACCCGCAGGAAAAATTTCGCAACCCCACGGGACCCCTCCTCTAGCATGCCTTTGTTACGGAGTGCGATTATATGCCTTAGTTTGGGAGCAGTATTGTCTCAAAGTTGATCAAAACGGTCAAAAATGCCTTTAAAGTCGGGTTTGATCAACTTTGAGACAATACCGCACCCAAACTAAGGGGGCTAATCGTACTCCGTAACGAAGGCATGCTAGAGGAAGGTCCAAAGACCAATTACCTGTCGAGAAAGTACGAAGGCCCGCCTTGGATCAGACGCAGTGGCTGCTTAAAGTTGGCCCAAAACACGATTTTTCATAGGCATTTTTTACCATTTTGATTAACTTTGAGACAATACTGCTCCCAAACTAAGGCGGATAATCGCACTCCGTAACGAAGGCATGCTAAAGGAAGGTCCAAAGAGTAAATGCCAGTTAAGAAAGTACGAAAGCCCGCCTTGGATCAGACACAGTGACTGCTTAAGGGGGGACCCTGGTGAAACTTTCAAGTAGGCTTCAAAATAATCCCAGAAAGTTGAAACTTTGCTTATAGGTTCATTATGGTGAGTTCCCAAAACAAAATTCAATCCAAAATGTTGAACGGTCTCTGAGAAAAGTGGCTTTTTAGAGTTTTTTGGAGCGTTGGGGAAAAGTCTTCCTGCGTCTTTCATTGGGACCGAAAGTCTTGAAAAAAATTTTGGGTTATCCTGAAGATGTATAGAAGAGATTTTAGTGACGGAATTTTCAAATTCAACTTCTGTCCTGAGATATGAGTTTTCAAATTTCAACATTTAAAAAAAAGTGATTTTTTCCCTTTTTTCAAACTTCTAGGTGTGTTTTAAAAAAAGTAGGGCCAAGGGGCAAACAACTCGAATTTAGGTGTACATTTTCCGTGAAATAACGTGAAATAACGGTGAAATAACGTTGAAATAACGCCAAAATAAGCGTGGAATAGCGTGAAATAACGGTGAAATAGCGCGAAATAACGTGAAATAACACGAAATAACGCGAAATAACGTTGAAATACTCTTGAAATAACGTTGGAATAACAATGAAATAACGTGAAATAACGTGAATTTGAAATAACGGTGTACAAATTTTGACGAAGTTGTTTGCCCCTCGAGTAGGGCTGATATCAAGATTCCGTCACTAAAATTTGTCGACAAGTCGTCAATGAATAGAGTCCATGCAAGACGACTCATGTAGGTGTCAACCAGGAACGCAGGAAGTCTTTCTACGACAAAATTTTTTGTCGACTGAGCAAAGCTGTGAAGTTGAGCGTGGAAGCCAACGACAACTGATCTCAATGTTATTTCCTTCCAAATGATAAAGAAACTACCCACTTAGCTTAAAGGTGTTCAACCTGTTGGATTTGAAACCTTCTATGCACATTTTTATCTATGAACTTTGAAAATACTAGTTTTTGGAATTTTGGCGATTTTTTCACCAGGGTCCCCCCTTAAAATCGGTCCAAAACACAACTCTTTATTCAGTTTCCGCGAATTTGTGTTCTCGGCAGTGCTCGGCCTGTAGGCCAGCCGGGACACCGCCGCGACCCCAGGCGTCCCCAGCCACCTCGCCGCGACCCATTAAAATGTTTTCGCGACCCCAAGGTTGAGAACCACTGGTCTAGCATATCGTGCTCCGTCGTGCTCTTATCCTTTTACCGAGCGCATAGTCCACTTTGTTGTTCATTTTTGGCTCAAATGTTTCCGGTATACACTAACCTAAATGGCTTGATCTCTTGCACACAGTGGAGATCAGGAAGAGGATTCCAACTGGAGTTAGCCTTCTCGCGGCAGTTCTTCTTGGCTTCTCTGATGGGCAGAAAGTGGCGGTATGAAAACGTTGAAAATATCGTGGTGCATTGTTAAGGATTTTTATTGTGAATTACCATCAAATCCTCAGCCTCACCGCCATCTGATAGGAAATTTCAAACACCTCATCAGCCTCTTGTTCGCACTCTCACTGAGAATGAAAGAGTCACCACCATCGCCCTTTTATTGGGTGACGCACGCATCGTCGCCCAAATTTGGGTGACGAGCCAGCGGTGACCAAATTTTGGGCAGTCATAAAATCGTCGCCCAAATTTGGGTAACGCCGTCGACGACGCCGTCGCCGTGAGGTCCCCGATGACGTACTTCCGGGGCCACCACGATGATCCAATGTGGCGTTGAGGCCTCCGGTCATCGTGGTGGCCCCGGAAGGACGTCATCGGGGACCTTATGGCATCGTCGACGGCGTTACCCAAATTTGGGCGACCAAATGCCTGTTACCAAATTTCGGGTGATGAATTTTTCGTCACCCAAAATTGGGCAACGAAGTTGCATCACCCATTTAAAGGGTGATGGTGGTGACCCATTCATTCTCAGTGCTCATAACCTTACAAACTCTTTTTGGGCTTACGAATAACAATATAGTTTAGTTTGTCATAACAAAGCCCAACACTTGCACACAAAACCTGTATACACACATTGGTTCTGGGTGTAGGACAGGTACCCATTCTACCTCAGCACTTGAATCCAAGCTTTTCATTGCCGTTTCGAATTTGAAATATCTCACGTTGGACCGATTTTGTTCGCTTTCTCAGCGTTCTGCATACACTGAGAAAACAAACGCGGCCAATTCCGCACGTGTGGTGCGGACAGAGACTTTGACCACGTTTGGTGACGCGGCCGAGGTCAGTCTCGTCGCCGCATCACCAAACGCGGAATCCGCCACGTTTGCGCCATGTTAAAGGATAGGCCCTCGATAAGCTCGACCACGTTTGCGCTCCGAATTGAGATGACCGCATCACGAAACGTGGTCAAATCTTAACAAAATTTGACCACACCACCTCGTGCGGAATTGGCCACGTTTGTTTTCTCAGCGTATTGTCTGAAATCAAAGCATCATTCCAAAATTGGAGCATTTCACGAAATCTGTTTATTTTTGCTTCTCTCAAACTTGTCACATACGCATTTCTTTCAATGATGCAGGCCGGTGGAGATCTGAACAAGGGTGCGTTAGTCGCAATATCTTTAAGAAATCAAAGCTTTTCAAACCTCCGCGCGTGTGCAGGGACCGTACGAGATCGTCGTAGAACACATGGAAACATGCCCACCCAAGCTACTTGATCGCCCATTTCCTGTGACTGTAAGCTCCAGCAGATATGGTCATGACCCCCATGAGAAATATTTCAACGGAAACTTCACCACAAGTTTGACTTTCGATGACAACGTAAACGTGAGTGCGATTTCGTTATACCCTGCTGATCGTGGAGCCAACCCGTGCTCGCGCCATCGCACAGTGGGACAGAAAACCAGTGGCGGCGGCCAAAATTCTCGACGCGTTTCGAGCTTTAGAGTCGCCAAATGAAACTTGAACCACTGATAAGGCAATGGTCGTAAAATTTCCAATTGCTCGTGCAGATATGAGAATATTCGTCATTTTCCAAACAATTAAATGATGAGTTTTTCGTCATAGTTACGAATGAATTTCCATTTAGTCAGTACCTGACCTAAACCCTCCCGGACCTCCCCCCTGATTTCTTTATGTTCATTATGAAAGAAAAGAAGTTATTTCATAAATTGGTTATGTTTTTTCAAAAAGGTAGGCCTGACATCTTACGCCTCCCATGCTCCCCGCAACCGCGAAGGTTTCGGACTTCTTCGAGGTATTGCAAACTGGCCCGTTGTTGGTAAAACGCTGTGCACAGGTGAGCTATTCTCACGGGGTAGTTTTGGCGTCTCTGATTTGCCGAAAGTGAGAAATATCTAATTAAGTTTTTCTGATTATTGGGGTCCTGGATGATACTAGAGTTATGGCAATGGTATTTATAGTAAAGACCTTGTACTACCTTCCTAAAAACATGAGCCATAAGGTATTCCCATACGTTTTAGTGGGTGTTTTGATCACGGAAATTACGTTATCACGGAAGTTACAAAGTGTGAAAATCGGCTTTAACGGCTGACTCGGGCCTGCTGTGGCTTAAAAATCGTTCCAGGGTCAAATGATACTCTAAGCCCGACATTTAAGCGGAAAATTTTTTCACCTAGTGCTGCTGCAATATTGGGTAAAGGGTGCCACGGAAGTTACAGGTAATTGTTGGTACACGCCATTTTATAATGCTCTAGCCCGCTTTGAGACCGTGAACAGCATCTTAGATTTCCGCGACCCATGCAATTATGTCCCAGGTACTCCACTTTGATGGCTTGTGTCATGGAAAGTTAAAAGTTTGGCTTGGGGAGAAGTCCAGAGCTGTCTTTTCGAAATTTGTGTAGTGAAATTGAATATACGGTGGACATTTTTCGTTGCAGCATAAGTACCTTTGAAAGAAGTCTGGCGTATTGGTCTTCGGTTGAAATTAGCTCGAGACATGCCAAGCTTCGAATCCCCACCGACAGTTGGCAGCATTTTCGAACCACACCGCCACACTGGGGGCGGAAAGTTCGAGTATGTTCTCTTTGGACAATCACGGAAGTTACATTTAGGGTATTCCAGACGCTACGTAGACCAATCCAACGAACGTGAACTTTTCGAAAGGTGTGCTTTTAGTGGGCAATGGCCCTCCCTAACATCACAAACAAACCCCATGTCGATATCTGCGCTCGTTTGGGCACAGGAGTCAGAAGAAACGAAACTACCCCGAAACGTGAGAATCGCTCAGATGGAAAGAGCATGAAATTTCAGCTCCCTCTAACTCGTTGGCCCTAGGAAGAAGCTGGAATTTCTTGGTTCAGTTGCTTGCGCCACACCCTCTCACACTAAATTACTATGTAGGTTTTTCTGCGTGCGAATGCACGAAATCAAACATGCACTTCGTTACGCACGAATTTGTGCGCGACAATGCATGATTTCCTGCACGTGCATTGTCGCGCACAAATTTGTACGTTATGAAGTGCATGTTTAATTTCGTGCATTGGCGCGCAGAAAAACAAAACCTACATAGTAATTTACACTGTAAAAATTAATGTCCGGAAAAAAACGACGGATCCTTCGGCAAAAAAATTGCCAACGGTTCCTTCGTTTATTTACGAAAGTCTTCGTATATTTACAAAAACCTTCGTTACTTTTATGAACGATCTCTGTCGATTTTACAATCACAATGGAAATTTACGAAGCACCTTCGTACATCTACAAAGATCCTTCGTAAATTTACAGGGAATTTACAGAGAATCTTCGTAATAATACGTCTGGAATTAACGACGGATCCTTCGGCAAAAAAATTGCCAACAGATCCTTCGTTTATTTACGAAGGTCCGCCGTAGATTTACGAAGCCCGTCGTAAATTTACCAAGGGCTTCGTAAATTTACAACAGACTTTGTACATTTACGATTTTTCTTCGTAAATTTACTAAGAACCTTCGTAAATTAACGACGAACTTCCGTTGATTTACAAAACTTCCTGGAGGAAAGAAACATTTACAGTGCACTTTTGGACATTCCCAAAAACCTTCGTAAAATAATCCGTCGTAAATTCACAACATAATTTTTACAGTGTAGTGTCCTCTTACCGACTTTTAACCCAGAGCGCCGTCGTGTTCGATGCGTGGAGTTCTCGCGGGGGCTGGAAGGAGAACGCCGTGGTAATGAAGTTCAGTCGTCTCTGCTCGTCTATGAGCGCCTATCTTCCAACCGTGTGGCAGCACCTTCGCACCCACGTCTATGGGTCCAGAGGTCTCATCAGGGACTGTCCCGCACCACCGGTGAGCAAAACAAATCCTGCTTAATCTACAGTAGACAAATTTCTGTTATTTTCGTCTTCAGCATCCTCAATAACATTTTTAACAATGCAAAACTTGAATGATTATCGTAATAGACTCCACCGGAATTCGAACCCGATTCCAGACTTTCCCGATTTGCTCGAAACTAGCATCGTTGGCTTTGTCTCGTCAACCCGATTCCAACAGTACCCCTATATGCCCTTCTAGCTGCATTCTTTGCTGAAACCCTCCTCGACTTTATGGAGACAATGATTCACCGGTGCTAGTTGCAATCGAATCGGAGAAGTTTGGACCTGAGTTCAAATCCTAGTAGGTTATATTCCGACCATGTTTTTCATTCACGTTTGAGCATTGTCTATATCATGTTTTCAAGGGCTGTGATGACGAAAAGGACATCTATTTTGACCCCAGACTCAGGTTTAAACCCCGTTAGGATTAAACATAGGCGAAATTCGCACATTTCTCATTGGCTGAGCGATAGCGCAGCCCATTACTCAGGTGGGGTTGAAAAGTTTTGTCTGTCTGTCTGTGTGTCTGTCTGTCAGCACTACCGTCAACGGGGGTAACTTAGGACACCGGGGGTAACTTGGGACAGTCTGCCCTGTACAGCTTGTTGGTGCTGCCATTCAGCGACGGGGGTTCCTAGCGTCAAACCCGCGGCAGGGTTTTGTTTCGGAGGCCTCAGGGCACGCGCGGAAAGGTAGAAAAGGGGCATAACATCAAAATTAGTATTTGAGAAACGGGAAACTCCGTAGTAGGGTTAATGACAAAATATGTCAAACATTGACAAGTTGGCCCTAGTGCAAGGAGTGAAATGCAGATTTGGCCGATTAGTCTCTCTGGGTTGTTAGATCATACGCAGACAATAACGTTCACAAAAGGGCGTTGATTATAGTTTTCCCATCTTCGGTCCAGACTTCATTTTCTCAAAAATCGAAATTTTACGGGGTAACTTGGGACAGTCTTTTCCTCATGTTTCCAGCAGTCCTAGCCTCCTAGGAGTTGACTGACACGGTTCCTGACATAACTGAAACTTCGTATTTCACGCTCATGATGGAAAGAGATGCCTTGCTCTTCAGTTTTGTCTTCTGGTAATCCATATTTTGAAATTTTCAGAAAATGCCTGGAAAATACCAGTAGAAAAAAAGAGTTCCACGTAGAGCCCTAGATACAGTCCAATATCGGTCCTACAAGAGTTCCTAGGCCTGAATTCTTGATCTATATGTTGTGACTTAAATTTTTAACGTCCATTAACATCAATAGATGCATGGGAACGTAGCTAATTTCCTACTGTCCCAAGTTACCCCCGGTCATGGGGTAACTTGGGACACTCTTTCGAGACCGCTTGGAAACGATGTAATCGAGGCAAATGGACCAGACCAGGGGAAAGGGTCAAACTTTAACATAGTTAGGATCCAATGGTCTGGGTTGAGAATCTTGCCTCTGGCGTTCAAAAAACGTGAAAAAGTGTCCCAAGTTACCCCCGTTGACGGTACTCCTCCTGAACGGCTCGGCCGATCTGGCTGAGATTTTGCACACTTTTGGGGTATGTCCGTGGCTCGGCACACGCGAAATTCAGTGGCGAAGCGGAAAAAGGGGATAAGTCGAAAAACACGATTTTTCAGGAGAGGCGAAAAACATGTTCCCGTATAATATTCTATACTTCGGGTGCGCCATCTTGTTCGCTTTGCAATGCTGATCAACGTAGAAAAAGTCATTTCAACAAAGCGTTAATGGTTTTGTAGATATGTCAAGACTCTGACTTATCTCGTTTGGTCGCGCCGGTCAAAACGAGACAAGTCGACTTGTCCCACTGCCCACTCACGCACCCAACGAGTTATTTCGACTTATCTTTCCGGACCTGAGAGCACTTGGAGCTATGTCGACTTATCCTCTGCGCATTCACGCGCTGAAAGAGTTAAGTCGACTTAACTCTCTGAAGCTTAAGGTTTTTAGGGACATGTCGACTTGTCCCTTGTACACTCATGCACTCTATGAGCTAAGTTGACTTATCTCTCGGGTGTTTTTCCCCGTTGGGGTTATGTCGATTTGTCCCCTTTAGCAAATAAAATTGTTTGAAAGATTAGGAGATAAGTCGCGTGTGTTTTGGGTACGAGGAACTAGAAGCAATTCGTTAGAGGAAAACAATGCTCCTCAATTTTAGTCAAAGATTACCGTGTGTTTCTTTAAAAATTTCTAAGTACTGCAATGCGAAAGAGTGACAGTTCACCTGCCAAAAAGAAGGAAAAAACAAGCTTAACGTGACACATTTTTTAAAATTAAATTGTCTAACATAATGCATTATTGAACATGCCTTATATTTAGATATTGCAAAGACACTGCAAAGCCAGTGGTAAGTTTGGCCACAAATTTGGCAAGCCGTTTTGAATGCCAAAATTTGGCAAGCTTTGGTCGGCACTCGTCATAAGCTTGCCAAATTTTGGCAAGCTGAGGAGTAATTCCGGGCTGGGGAGTATTTCCGGGCCAAGTTTGCCAATTTTTTGCACTCAAAACGGCTTGCCAAATCCGTGGCAAGTAAACTTACTACTGGGATGACAGTGTAACCTGCAGACATATGCATTCAATCAACTGACTTTGAAGTATGTGTATTTTCTGGGGCACGCAAGCCTTGTGTTTAGTATCAATTTCCTTCTTACACCACAAGGCTGCGCAGATGGCCAATCACATTTAAAAATATAAATATAGTACTCTTTAAACAGTTGTTGCCGGTACTGGGGCGGGGGGACTCGGCGCAGCGTTCTGTCGCGGTAGCAGCCGTGCGCCGTAATTTGACACTGCGAGATAAGCCCGCCGCGCGCCGCGCTCTCCCGCCCGGCCGGCCTGCTCGGTGCGTGTCTGAGTGTCACCAGTTTGTCCGACAGGCCAGCAGGCGGGGAGACAGGGTCGAGAGTCTCTAGGTCGTCTATCTGGTATGGGTCTGGAGCCATGTAATTATTTTTTATTTAATTTATGATAGTTTTGGGTTTTACTTTGCCCTTTGTGTTAGTTTAAACTTTGTAAAAAATAGACTGTTACACCAATTTGAACAAATTTCATTGCCATCGAATGTTGTTGATTTCGGCGAGGACCGCCTGCTGAAGGCAGAGGTCTCCCCGCCTGCTGGCCGGGCCCGGGGGGAAATAAGGGACCGGTCCCCAGTGGCCGCGTCCCCCTCGCCACTCCACCCGCCGCGCTTCGCCTGGCCGTCCTGACGGCGCTCTCGGTGCGTGTCTGCGTGTCGCCAGTGTGTCAAACTGTCTTCCGATTCATACCGCACCGCTCAGCATTTCGCGTCTCGAGACCAGCTTGCCGGGCCTGCGGGGCCACGGCTGCCGGCCGCGCGTATGGTGGAAGCGCGTACCGAATGGAAGACCAAAACGATAATTTTATTTAGGTGGTAACAAGGTGGCTTCTAGTCAAGTTATTAATGTTCAATACAGTTGATTACAGCTCAACAGAGAAATTTTGTTCAAGCGCCTACCTCTATTTGCCTCGGGCAGTCACCGCGTTAAAAATTTATATTTTTATTTTTTTCAAACTAAGACGTAAAAACCTGGCGGGCGCGGAAGCCACAGCCGTGGCGCGTTTTCCACCGCGTGCTTGATGACGCGTCCCCTGACTGAGCGTTGTGACTGCCGTATCGCGACACGCGAAACTCAAAGGGTTGCCGCGCAGGCCCTGAAGAGGGAGTAAAGAGGAACAGGCACGGAGGCAGGGCAGGAAGAACGGAGACGGAGAGGAGACAAAAGGAGAGAAACAGGCGCGACAAGCAGGTAGAACAAACGTGCATGATTAGGTCCTTTCTTTGGCCCTGGTAATAACTTCAAAGAATTTGTACACCTGATGTGAACGCTTATTACATTTATTAAGTTTTGTTAATTCCGTTGACGACCGCCACTGGTGGGAACCCCGAGCAAAGTGCATCATCAAGTCTGACACTGCGATGCACCTGGTTTTCCCTCCGGCATACGCCTCGCGCCTTCGTCCAGCCGCAGCCCTGGCCAGGGGACGGGACGCGAAATGCTGAGCGGTGCGGTATGAATCGGAAGACAGTTTGACACTGGCGACACGCAGACACGCACCGAGAGCGCCGTCAGGACGGCCAGGCCGGGCGGAGCGTGGAGGTGGAGTGGCGCGGGGGACGGGAGCACCGCGGGGCCGATCCCTTATTCCCCCGGCCAGGCCAGCAGGCGGGGAGACCTCTGGATGTTGAGGTTCACGGTTCGGTAAAATTACGGCGCATCGTTACAGGCATCGACGTGAAAATTGGAGACGCGTTACAGAACAAGATTACCTAAAGGGCGGCGGTCGCCAAATTTCCATACCTTGCGCACCGCTCTGAATGCGGCTCAACTTCATTCAAAATTTCAAAGCTAGAAATTAAACGCATCAAATTTTCCGGAGAAAATCTGACCCGACCGTAGGCGAGGATGACTCTTTAGGAAGGCACGTGCAAAGTTTCAGAATTTTTGGTCAAGGCGTTTGCGAGAAAAGAAAATTAACGTATCGGTCTACATCGCCTCCCGAGGCGGCGCGCTCCTTCCAGCGCGCTCGGCAAGGCTCACTTTAGCCTCCTCTCCGCGATGCGCGCGGTCAGCGGCACCAACTCTGCGGCACGCGCCGCGTGCCTCGGCTACTCACGGCCAGCAGCCCAAGCCAGCCGGCAAGCAGGCCTCGGGGCGCGAAACGCTGAGCTGGGCAGAATGAATCGGAGGACAGCCCGACACACCAGTGTCACGCGGACATGCACCGAGAGCGCCGACAGGACGGCCGGGCGAAGCGCGGCGGGTGGAGTGGCGAGGGGGACGCGGCCACTGGGGACCGGTCCCTTATTTCCCCCGGCCAAAAATCCGTGGTGAGGCTCAACCTGCGGAGTCCTAAAAGTACTGCAACAGCGGTGAAGATTTGACCGCACATTTCTACACTGTTAGAAATTAGCTCCGAAATTTTATGGAGAAAAACTCTACAATCACGTTCATGGAGACTCCATTTATTATCAACCTTTTTTTCGGAGAGATTTTTTCAGGGCTTGAACAAATGTTCTTCGGAGCATTACTTCGTTCCTGATGGGAATTAAAATGCACGTCTTTTCTCAGATATTTGAAAGAGGGCTTCGCCGAAGCATTCTTTGGTCTGAAATGGCAAGAAGGGACAATCTCTTTCGAGCTCCTTTGGGTCCTCGAGATCCAGGTATCCCTCATGAAAACTGAGCTGAACAAAATAGAGATTCACCTTTCCCTCATTTTTTAATTGGTTGCAAACTTTTTTTCGTGATCTCCTGACAGAGAAGCAGGCATTCTGGTTCCAAATTACGAAACTCTTCGGAGAAAGCCCAGAGTTTTCCTTTACGGAGATCTCTTTGCTGAAGTTTAGGAAAAACTACATGATTTTTCCATTTTTTATCGGAAATTTCTGACAGTGCTGTCTTTAACGCAGAATTGGGAAATTGTGACACTATTTGTGTAAAATTCAGCAGAGTTTAAGTGTTTAATGTGTCGTGGGTTCAGAATTCACTAGAAATGACGCGACGTGTACAACCCATTTTGAATCCAGCGATGACCGCAGATTGTGACCGTGAACTGAACGAAATTGTGGTATACAGAAAGTCCTGACCAAACCACTGACAGACCCTTTTATTGGCCAGCGCCCGCACTCGGCCCTCGACATCTGCTTATTCTGCACTTGGTGTCGCGTTCCGTCCGCGCCTGGCTGCTGCACGGTAACAACGGAACCTGGTTTTCCCAGGAAGCCTATGGTGAAGACATAAGCGATTTCCAGAGAGTTCCTGGGAAAATCAGGTTCCGTTTTTACTGTGTGGGTAAAGTAGAACGCCCCTAACACGGGGCTCGGTAGGGACTGCAGAAGCCACATAATTTGCTGACAAACAAAATGTAATTTTCTAAATGAGCTCTATGAGCAGGGGCAGAGACACAGCTAGCCGAGTCGGTTGAAACCACCGAACCGCCATTAAGAACCAACGCGTCCTCTTTACGCTACTTTCAAACTCTAAACCTCCGTTTTCGTTCTACAAGATACCTGATCGGCCATTTTCAAGAATCAAAACTACTTTCCTTTCTTCTTCCTAGGAATGAATTTGTTGGTATGAGCATGAGTCTTGCATCGACCGAACCCGAATCGTACCGCGGGAACGGTTTAGCCACCGACCAGCTTGCTTCGGCAATTGTCATTAGCAATCGTCACCAAATCGTTCGGTACGCCTCATTGTCGCACGGAATAAAGTTTGCAAGGCCACAGATGAATGTTTACAACGAAAGAAAAAAAATGTTTCTGCCGGGGAAACGAAGCCGGTCCCTTGGATTTAGAGCCAGAATCGGAGAACGACGTCTCTCTCTGCGTCTGTGCCAACGATAGATAACAAGTCGACATTGTTCTAGGGAGTTTAGCTCGAAAGAGTTAAATTGACTTAACCCGCACAGCGCTTAAGTATGCAGAGGATAAGTAAACATAGCGCCAAGTGCTCTCAGGTACTGAGAGATAAGTCGATTTAACTCGTGGAGGGTGTAAATGTGCAATGAGACAAGTAGACTTGTCTCGTTTGGACAGCCGCGTCCAAACGAGATAAGTCAGAATCTTGCTATATCTACAAAAACGTCAACATTTTGACAAAATAAACCGTTCTATAATGATTTGCATGACGTAGGAATCTAAAAAGCTTAGTAAAAGTATCAAATTTGGTACAGGGACGTGCTTTTTTTACTTTCCTGAGGTTGTGTCACTCGACTTATCCCCCTTTGCCGCTTTTTATGTCGTCCAAAGGAGTTAAGTCGACTTGTCTCCATGCAGTCAGTGCGGAAAAACGAGATAAGTCGACTTAACTACAGGGCCTCTCAATCCATGCTGTTAAGTCGACATACCTCCCAAGTGCGTTATTGCTCTACAAGATAACTCCACTTATCCCCTTTTTCAATTGGCTTGTGAGCCCAAACTATAATCACTAGAATCAAACAGACTATTGCAAACGATGCGCAGGATCACGCTCTTTCGGATGGTCGTGAAAACCCCATTTCGGGATAAGTCGACTTATCCCCCTTTTCCGCTTCGCCACTGAATTTCACTCTCCTAGCTCAACTGGTTCAGTTTTTATAGCCGAAAAACACCTAAAAAACGGCGAAAAATCGAGTTTTCTGCAGGCAAATGCCTTCTGCCTTGAAGAAAGGGGGTCTGGGGGGCGGGGCCCCCTAGCCTCGCCAAGTTAAAAAGTAACAAGGGTCAAGATCGTGTCATCTGTAGATGAAGCAACTCTATCTGGAATGAAGGGCAGCATGCGACAAGTTAGAAGTAACCGACGATGGGCAAGCCATGGTCTGCCGAAGGCAGGCTAGCGCCGCTGGCCAAGGTAGGTTCGCCAGGCGCGGATTGGAGGAACAGGCAGCGAGACGTCGCGAAGCCTGTTACGACAAGACGCGGTCTGGCGTAAACCTACCTTGTTGTACGGAGCACTGGTAAAACTGAAGCGTAGTATTTCGCCCGTCCTCAAGCGTTAAGTCTTGAAGCGTACTCCTACGCTTGAATTCAAGCGTAAAGTCAGTACGCTCAATTTCAAGCGTAATGAAAACCCATGCTCAATTTTACAAGCACAGCAAAACCAGCTCAATGTAATGATAATACTTCATACAATAAATGAACTTTCAAAGAAAATTACAAAATGTATGTAAAGATTCTTGGGGGCCCAAGTCCTAAAGGCCTCTAGGACTCCGCAACACTCCAGAAGTGTTTATACTTGGCGCAGTCCCGGCATTCACTCTTGAGACGCTTACCTTGTAGTGTTATCCATTAATTAATTGTTCCTGCTGGTTTGGTCTGAAAGTTTATGATTTGTTTCTTACAGTCTCAGACTGCTGGCGCTGGTTTTCATGTTTCCTGATGACATGTTGAAAGCCTAGCCCACACACAGACTACATAACCACTTGCTATGATGGGACAGTTCGATTTTACTCTGCTTTCAAGTTTGTGAGTATGTTGTGACTGTGAGCATGAAGAATTTTTCGGGCGACACACTGGGCACAATATCAAAATGATGAAACTGATCCGTTTGAAATAAAGTTTGTCAGCACACCTGAACCGCCATTATGACTATTCACCCTTAGTCTCGAGTGCAAATAAGTTCCTTGTTGTTTTTCACACTTCGAGCGGAACTGGGGTGTGAAATGCAACAAGTATCTTATTTGCACTCGAGACTGAGGGTGAATAATCATAATGGCGATTCATAGGTGTTGACAAACTTTATTTCAAATGGATCAGTTTCATCATTTGCACCATGTCAAGCATTTTGAAGTTGTGCCCAGTGTGTCGCCCCAAAAAATCTTTATGCTTACAGTCACACAAACTTGAAAGCATCGAACTGTCCCATCAGTACAGTGGTTATGTAGTCTGTGTGTGGGGCTAGGCTTTCAACATGTCATCAGGAAACATGAAAACCAGCGCCAGCAGTCTGAGACTGTAAGAAACAAATCATGAACATTTAGACCAAACCAGCAGGAACAATTAATGGATAACACTACAAGGTAAGTGTCTCAAGAGTGAATGCCGGAACTGTGCCAAGTATAAACACTTCTGGAGTGTTGCGGAGTCCTAAAGGCCTTTAAGACTTGGACCCCCAAGAATCTTTGCATGAAGCAGGGCGTAAGAATTTCTGACCTGGCTTTAGTACGCTTGGCTTCAAGCGTACAAATTCTACGCTTGAAACAGGGCGTTCCAGCCTTAGTTTTACCAGTAAGGGGACGGGCTAAAGTTGCCGATTTGTATCGCTCCTTTTCGTGTTACTCTTGCAGTGCAGGTTGTTGTTCTTTTCCAGGACACGTACAGCGTTTACAACCTGACGACGCCACGCTCGTCCGCGCTCATCCCAGCGTTGTTCTACGGGAAATGGCGTGTGAACCTCAGAGCCTTCCTCAAGGAACAATGTTTTATGTGCATCCGTATAGTTTTGCGAGTTGAACCCAAAGTCCCTCCAAGTTCACAGGGCTAAGCAACTAAATGAACTAAGTTTAAGGACACCAGCGCTCCAGTTTTCATCCTCCTCTGTTCTTTCGGTGAGTGTAGAGTGGTTAGCGTTGGTCCGATCGGGGTCGCTCGCACCCCAGGGGGTAAACACTCGCGTAATACCCTGTACACAAAAACCGTGTATACGCGTAATACACGTAATTGTAATACCATTTATGGACCAAATGTGCTAAATTTTGACATTTTAGTGCCGTAATACACGTGTAATATCCCTGTAATACAGCGTAATACCGAGTACTCTGTACACGATTTCTTGAAGTGGTTACCCCCTCGCTCGCACCCTTTGCCCGTCCGAGTTCTTTGAGACTGGTTCTCGGTTCTGTCTCTTCAGCGCGCGATCGAAAGCGAGGCGCGTTGAAACCGTCACGAAATTCCTGAAATTGGTAAAAAGCTGTGCCCACCCCCCTCCCCCCCAGAGAACAAAGTCTCTTTCACTCGAAATCTATTGGCGGCACTGGCGTCGCGTTGGATGTTCTCACACCCTCAATATCTGTATGAGCTATGCATAAAATTATCATGCGTTTTAAAATGTACGAATTTCTGCGTTAGAGCACGAACGTGTGCGTTGTAGCGCATGAATTTGTGCACATCACGGAATCACGCGTATAGTTAATTTCGTGCAAACGCCACGCACAATAAAGAGATTCTTTCAAAATGTTTTTAATTCCTCTCTCCCTTCCCATTTTATGCAAAATGTTACAGCTCTGGCTTTGTTTCTGTCGTTGAAAGGTACCGCTGATCTGGAGGCTCGGAACTTCGATGAAATTCCCACAAATTATAGTCTTCGACAGATAAGAAAAGAGGCAGCCAAAATAGATGATCTTTGTGAAGATCCATGGGCGAATGGAAAGCAGTGTCTTTGCTCTTGGTGACTTGCCTGCGATTTTGTCCTGGGCCACAGAAATCTTATAACACCACTTTTACGAGATAAATAAAACCCAGAAAGTGATGCTTGTATTGACAGCACTTTTTACACAACTACAAAATCGGAGTGACAGACCCAAGTTGAAGAGGAATTATCAAAAAATGGGGCATTTTTACACTGGCATCACATATTCAAAGGAATACCTTGAGCAAAAAGACAAGATATACTTTAACACCACACAAAAACATGAAACAAAGCCCACCGTCCACCATAAAGATGTAAATCACAGAAACCGTCTACAGAGGGATGCTACACTTTTGAAAATTTTCAGGGTTAGGTCTTAGGCTTTCTTAACAACAATGCAATTACATCATTCATCTGATTGGATTAGGTTTACCCTGCAAACAGTTTTTTGTTTCTTCTGAAAAATGATGAGTTATCCCCCCCCATGAGGCTATCCGCCTCATGGATCATATTTTCAGTGATCATGTGTACTCTCCATGTCCTAAGTGAGTCTTTCGTGATTCTTCCTGTTCTTCACTTGGCCACGACTAGAATGGTCTATTCTTTCCCAAGTCAGCCGAGACTTAAAAGCCCATGACTCAGGTTTTGACGCAAATTACGAACATTTTGATCAATACCCCCAAAACAAGTGACTTTTGCGAAGTGGCTCTCGAAGGCTTTTATTCAGTACGATGAAAAGGTAAGGAAATCCACCGGGTAGGTCGACAAGCCACAAATAAATTTATAGTGAAGGTTTCAATATTTTTAACAAACTATGCGTGTGAAGCGTTTTTGGGCGACCAAAACAGTTGAAAATTAAGTTTCAAGCTCTTTTCTTTACACGGAGCAAACCCACCAAGTTTCGTCAAAGTCCGAGACATCGGTTTCGTGGTCTCGGATGACTTGAGAAGGAGTTACCGCTTAGCGACTCTGGAGCTCAAAACGCGCCTTGAGTATTGACCGCCTTCCCCCCTCTACCGGCCCAGTGTTGCGCAGGCTGCCGCCCGGAGGGTAGACAGCCCAACGAACTTGGCCTTTACGCGCCGCCGCACAGTGGGCCAGTGGAGGCGGTCAAAACTCTGGACGCGTTTTGAGCGCCAGAGTCGCTAACTGGCACTCGAACCGAACGTGTGACCCCATCAATGGATTGCTCTCCGAACGAGGAATCCATTGGTGGGGTCACACGTTCGGTTCGAGTCCCATTTATAGCGACTATATAGCTTAAAACGAGTCCAGAGTTTTGGCCACCTCCACCGGCTTCTGGCCCACTGTGCGCCGCCCGCCACTCTCCTCTCTCTCTATCCCCCTCCCCTCCCACTCTCCTCCTGCGAAACGCATGCATGCAGTGTGCATGTTCTCAGTTCGCGCCACTACGCGCCACGACTTCAAGCTTTCTGCCACTATACCACAGACCGGGATAGCAGCCCACGCTAAGCCACCAAGGCGATCGCATTGCGCCACCTGAACGTGAGTCAACGATTGTATTACTGTACTCCACTGAACCTGAAAACGGAACAAGGTCTTGCGTACACCTACAAACATCTTGTCTTGAGTGCATGCGCACGCGCCGAAGCTATTGTCAAGGCTTGTTTCAGTAGTTCTTCTACCATTTCAAGGTTCAGTTGAGTACCCTGGGACCATTCGCGTGAGTTCATTCATGGACATTCGACGGAGTGTTTAGTAGCACCGGGAGTGCCGGTCCGAAATCAGATCCCAGCCTTATTTTGAAGTTCAAACGGGGGTTTTCACAAAACTTATAGTAGTTTAATTTTTTCCAACAGTTCGTAGTTGTATTCCAGAGGAGGCCGGAACCAGAAGCCAAGAGCTGCTGTCTGTACCGGAAACTCACTAGTTGATGCTGATGCTTGTTGATGCGCCTCCTTGAGTGTGTTAGCATGTATTGACACTGGATGAAATCAACCCAATTATTCCGCAGTAGGGACGATACGCCATTACGCCTCTGAAATAAGCTCGTTGTACAAGAGCTTCGAGTCAGCATCACGGCTCCTGGCTTCCGATTCAGACCTTCCCTGAGATATCCAAGTGAACACCGAGTATCGACACAAGGGGTCTGTTTCTGGTTCGTTAGGCTGCTTCTCTTTCATTCGATGAATTCGATGCCCTGCTGGAAGTCCTGAGAGTGTGTCGTTCTCGCGCGCATTTCAAGTTCCACGCCACTTTTCGCGGAATCAGAAGGAAACTTGTTCTACTCCGTGGGAACTGGGAGTCAGTGGCGAGAGTAAGTAAATTTAAGTACGTCGCTGGTAAACAAATCTGGCAGGGACAGATGGACATTCTAGTATTTCGTTGCCGACCGGAAGTCAACATACTGCGCGTGGCATCACATTTATACAGTAGCCTATTCGTAGTGTGTCAAAGTCCTGTTAAATTATGTGGACGTGCAGAACGCGTCTCAGTATCACAGCTAGAAGGCCAGTGGAGGCGGCCAAAATTCTAGTCGCGTTTTGAGCTCCAGAGTCGCCAAGTGGGACTTGGACCGAACGTGTGACCCCACCAATGGATTGCTCTCCGGACGAGGAATCCATTAATGGGGTCACATGCTCGGTTCGAGTCACATTTAGCAACTCTAGAGTTCAAAACATGTATAGAATTTTGGCCGCCTCCACCGGTCTCCTGTCCCGCGTCTTATCGTAACAGCTGTTCTTCTCCCCACCTCTGCCTGATGACTGCCTGTCGGGGTATTCCCCCTCGCGTTCGCTTGACCTGAAGTAAAGCGTGCGCAACGGCACTCAAAAGCAAAACGCATTTAGTACTACTTCAATCATATTTTTGTAAGGTATGTAGTTCTTTGAGTTCTCCACCAGTTCCGAGGGGGCAACCACTCGAAATTTTTTGTACACAAGATTCTATAAGGGTAGGAATTTCGTCGAGATTTCGTATGATATCGCGTCAAAAGTACTATGCCTGATTTCGCGGGATTTCCACCTGATTTTGAAGGGCTTTCGTGAGATTTCACCAGATTTCGAAGGGAATTCAGGAGATTTCTGCCGATTTCGCTCAAGATTTCGGCCAATCAAGTGTACACAGGATTTCCTAGATTTCGCGAGTGGTTGCCCCCTCGACCAGTTCTCTGGCCCACTGTGCTGTGGACCGAAGCCCGAGCCGAGCCGCTCCGGTGGCGGCCAGCCGAGCCAGGTGAAGCAAGCCGAGCCGGTGTTTCCGGAAAATCTCCACTGCGCGGCCGGCAGACCGAATCTACCTGCGCAGGGCGAGGGGCCGGGAAGAAGCGGCTTAATCCCTCGGCCACTCGGGATTTCTGGACACTTCGCGACAGTTTGAGCGTGTCTCTAGAGCAGTGCACATCGCAGCCGAACCGCAAGTCGTCGTCGCCCGTCATCCTTTTTGTTTCGCTACGTGATATTGCGGTCAAATTCGTGAGGAAAAGTGGGTGCTCCTCGTTCCTGTGTAATTGCTCACGTGCATCAGGGATCCTTAACTTACCTCTTAAGGGCATCATAACGTTATCATAAGAGTTAAAGTTAATACCGTTAACTTCTAACATCTTTTCATTAGGGTAGGTTAATTTTTTATTTTTTATGTCTCAAATTGGTGTGGATGGATATACTTTTGCTAGTACTTTTTTAAGTCCGTACCCTTAACCTTTAGCGAACGTTGTCTTATGTTACGTTATGAAAGCAGTGTTAGTTAAATGTTAAGTTAAGTCAAGGATCCCTGATGTGCATCTCCTTCTCATGTGTGTCGGTTCGTAAACCGACTTTCAAAATGTCTTACAATGAAAATTGAGCTATGATACTACAGTGAATTCGGCGCAAGCTTAATGTGAAGCAACATTCCTTCTTAACAGGAATATTTTTTAGTATTTTTACGGGCAGAACTAAAGTTTTGTATTAACCTCTGTTTTCAAGCGTTATCAGTTCACGCTTCTATATAAATGCGTGGATTTCTAGCCTATGCTTCATTTTAAGCGTAACGTCTTGAAGTGTAACTTTATGCTTGACTCAAGCACAGAGTTTCGCTTAAGTTTTACCAGTGTTGCGCTTGCGAACGGCTTCCGCACTGCATTGCAGACGAGCCTGCAGACATCTAGAGTGGATGTATTCACTCTCAGCCTTTTACTGACTTTTTCTCATTGGCTTACGCATTTCTGTAAGCAACCATAATACTTAGTATTTTTAGTCAGTATTACTTAGCAATTGCTAATTACTGTACTGATATTACCGTTTTCTTAGTAAATTACAAAGAAATTTTTAAGTATTTAAGAACTTAATACTAAGTATTATGGTTGCTTACAGAAATACGTCTGCTAATGAGAAATAGTCAGTAAACGGCTGAGAGTGATTGATTCCTTTGTCGATGCCTTCTAATAAGCGTGTGTTTCTCACTTTCAGGATCGTCTGTCGTGTACGTTACTTCCGGCAGGATGTCACCACGGGCCTGTCCTCTCCTCGCAGCATGCTGCCTCGTCCTCGTCGGCGTCGCAGTGTTACCCGTGGGCCTTAGCGCGGCCGCGGCCTCCACCACCCTTGCTCCCGACGACTCATCGCAGGTAAATGAACTGTTCCAGTGACACTCCAATCTAAGTGAGACAGAATGGCTGGCTAAGTTCTTGTACTTAGACTCAGTACTGAGACTGACAAATAAGTTCAGTGTGATGGAATTGCCTTAACCTTGTTTGTTTCATGCTGCATGTTTGAAAATGTGTTTGACCCGTTACAAAATTGTACAAATAAGTTCAATGTTATGGAATCACCTTGACCTTTGTTTGTTCCATGCCATTTCAGGCACCAGTGCTCGGGAATGCGACTACACCTCAGTCTGGGAACGTGACCGCGTGCGACCGCGTGGACTCCAAGCCAGACGGCAGCAAAGTCTGCACCAGCGCGGTGCGTGCCTGGACGCTGCCGTGCGTGGGCTACATCATCGTCGCTGGCATCGCGGGGTTCTTCGCACTCTTCCTTACGGTGCCTTGCATGCTGGCCGCGGTGGGCTTCGGTGTCATCGGCGTCGCGGCAGGCAGCATTGCAGCGTGCTTTCAGGTACATTGATTTAAACTTTGTCGCAACTTAGCGGCAACTTATTGCAAACCATTTTTAAGCGACAAGATTTGTCTTGGAACGAACAGTTTGGTAAACCACTCTTGTATTGTATCTAAGGGATAGTTCCACAACGACAAACTTGTAATAACATATTAACAGTCTACCTCCAATAACAAGTCGTTGACCATCACTAACTGTTGTTGGTCAAGGACAAGTATTGTAAAGTAAAAAAGATTTCGTAATGTCTGCGACAATTATTCATTGAGTAGTTTTCTCTCTAACTTAACTTTTTGTGGTTCTCCTTCCAACAGTAGTAATCTCCGCATTGCTTAGACCCCACCATTGGATTGCTCTCTGAATGAGGAATCCATTGGTGGGGTCACTCCTTCGGTCCGAGATTCAAGGGCTTAGAATGCGTCCGGGATTTTGACCGCCTCCACCGGTCTTCTGGCTCACTGTGCTACGCCAAGCGCGTTTAAATAGTTTTTTTTGGGGCTTTTCCAGGGAGCCTGTGGGACGCCGCCCTGTTTCCGTTGCATGCAGAGTACAGCGATGCTGGGAGTCCCTCTACCAGTTCGCGGTTGGATGGGAGCGGTGGGCTTCGGCGCGGGCTGCGTGGCGGGAGCGTACTGGCTTCCTATGTGCTTTACTGATCAGGAAACACCCATCAATGTCTCCGGTTAAGAATGTCATTCCGTTTTACCTTCTTAAACTTCTGATTTAAAATGCAGTCTTTATTTATTTTATGATTGTTGTGTGATGCTTCTAATAAAACAGGACAAAGTAAAAGTTAAGATTTGTGGCCACTTTTTTCTTTCTCTTTGGAGAAAATTCAGACAGATTGACACGACCCCAAACAGGCAAGCCCTCTAAATACGAACAAAGAGCCTTTTACCAGGAAACTGTCAAAAGCAATGACAACGTATTTTCAGTTGAGCAAAGTTTCAGTTATGTTGCAAATTTTTCTTATCACGCAAACCTGACACTGAAGCAAGAGGGTCTATAACATACTTACTCGCGCTGCTCGCTGGGGGCTCCGCCCCCAGACCCCCGCATGTGTGGAGCGCGTGCCGGAGTATTTAGTAAGTTCGTGGTGACCAAAGGCAAATTTTCTAAGGAAGTAAATGTCCTGCTTCTTTGAAAGCTCTATTTAACCGCTTTTGACCATATAATAAGGCTACTTTTACTGACCAAATACATAGCTTGTATTGCATTGGCTACTGTGGTAGTCAATGGGTGCATACAAGGTCCGGAAAATATTGAAGACTGCTTTGACAAGGATAGAGGTGAAAGGAAAAAAACCTTAGGTCTCTACGACCACTCCTTAACCCCAAACATTTCTATGAGCGAGTGAGTGAGTCAGTGAGTCAGTCAGTCGGATTGGGGCTATATAGGTTCTTGATTGATGAGTGAGGGAGTCAGTCAGTCGGATTTTGGGGCTTTATAGGTTCTTGATGACAATTGATGATTGATTTTGAGGATGTTGCCGGTGACGGGGACCCGATTGCGGCACAGTTTCGGAAACGTCTCGACCAGACCTACCGATGGGGCGAATAAAAATTTTTAGTCGGTCGGTCCCCTTTTTTGAAGATTGAGTGGATTTTGTTGAATTTAGGCCTATTTAATCGTTTTTTTGAGGATGTTGCCAGTGACGAAGACCCGATTGCGGCACAGTTTCGGAAATGTCTCGACCAGACCTACCGATGGGGCGAATAAAAATTTTTAGTCGGTCGGTCCCCTTTTTTGAAGATTGAGTGGGTTTTGTTGATTTTAGGCCTATTTTATCGTTTTTGAGGATGTTGCCGGTGACAGGAACCTGATTGCGGCACAGTTTCGGAAATGTCTCGACCAGACCTACCGATGGGGCGAATAAAAATTTTTAGTCGGTCGGTCCCCTTTTTTGAAGATTGAGTGGATTTTGTTGAATTTAGGCCTATTTCATCGTTTTTTGAGGATGTTGCCAATGACGGAGACCGGATTGCGGCACAGATTCGGAAATGTCTCGACCAGACCCACCGATGGGGCGAATAAAAATTTTTAGTCGGTCGGTCCCCTTTTTTGAAGATTGAGTGGATTTTGTTGAATTTAGGCCTATTTAATCGTTTTTTGAGGATGTTGCCAGTGACGGAGACCGGATTGCGGCACAGATTCGGAAATGTCTCGACCAGACCTACCGATGGGGCGAATAAAATTTTTTAGTCGGTCGGTCCCCTTTTTTGAAGATTGAGTGGATTTTGTTGAATTTAGGCCTATTTAATCGTTTTTTGAGGATGTTGCCAGTGACGGAGACCGGATTGCGGCACAGATTCGAAAATGTTTCGACCAGACCTACCGATGGGGCGAATAAAAATTTTTAGTCGGTCGGTCCCCTTTTTTGAAGATTGAGTGGATTTTGTTGAATTTAGGCCTATTTAATCGTTTTTTGAGGATGTTGCCAGTGACGGAGACCGGATTGCGGCACAGATTCGAAAATGTTTCGACCAGACCTACCGATGGGGCGATTAAAAATTTTTAGTCGGTCGGTCCTCTTTTTTGAAGATTGAGTAGGTTTGCTCGGAAACGGTGAGAAATTTGTTCCCCTTTTTTGTAGATAAAGTAGGTTTTCTCGGAAACGGTGAGGAATTTTCAACTTTTGGGATTTTTCCCAATTTTCCCATAAAATTTGGAATCGAATGGAAAAAACCGCAAGTCTCTACGACCACTCCTTCACCCCAAACATTTCTATGAGTGAGTGAGTCAGTGAGTCAGTGAGTCAGTGAGTGAGTCAGTCGGATTGGGGCTTTATAGGTTCTTGATATATTTCTTTTGTCTCATCTGAACGGAAACGATAGGCCAAAACCAGCATCAGACTCCCCAAAAAGAAAATTACCACTTTCATGTCAAATTATCACATTTGGAAAACTTAAGAACTAAGCCACAAAGAAACTTTTAGTGAAGGTTTCAATATTTATGACAAACTATGCGTTTGATGCTATTAGGGCTGACCAAAACAGTTGAATATAAATTCTGAAGCTCTTTTCTTCATACGGAATGAACTCGCAGAGTTTCGTAAAAATCCGAGACATCGATTTCGTGATCTCGGGCGACTAGAGAAGGAGTTTACCTCTTAGCGACTCTGGAGCTCAAAACGCGTCTTGAGAATTGACCGCCTTCCCCCCTCTACCGGCCCACTGTGAGCAGGCTGCCGCCGTCGGAGGGTAGACAGCCCAACGAACTTGGCTTTGACGCGCAGCCCTCTATTCCCCCTCCCCTCCCACTCTCCTCCTGCGAAACGCTATTCCCAGGGTAGTGGGCAAGTTGCATGTTCCCAGTTCGCGCCACGGCTTCAAGATTTCCGCCATTATGCCACAGTTCGAGATGCAGCCCTCCTCGCAGAGCCAACAAGGCGATCGCATTGCGCCACCTGAAGGTGAGTCAACGGTTGTAATACGGTTACGCCACTGAACCTTAAATCGGAACAACATCTTGCGTAAACCCTACAAACATCTTGTCTCGTGTGCACGCGCACGCGCCGAAGCTGTTGTTAGGACTTGCTTCAGTTCTCCTACCATTTTAAGGTTCAGCTGAGTACCCTGGGCCTACAGGGTATTTGAACGAATCCCCGGACCGGAAGTCAAGGAACAGCAGTAAGAATTAAAGCCGCCTCAGCGCATGCGCAGACGGCTCCCCTCCACTCTGCGTCAGCCTCTGCACATGAGCAGGAGCGGTTCCGGTTCCTACTTTAGTTCCTGGACTTCCGGCCCAGGGATTCGGTACAATTCAATATTCGCGTGAGTTCTTTCATGGACATTCGACGGAGTGTTTAGGAGCACCGGGAGTGCCGGTCCGAAACCAGATCCCACAACCGTCTTATTTTGAGGTTCAAGCGGGGGTTCTCACGAAACTAATGTCAGTTTAGTTTTATCGAACAGTTCGAGGAGGCCCGAACCGGAAGCCAAGAGCTGCTATCTGTACCGGAAACTCACTTAAGTTGATGCTGATGCTAGTTAATGCGCTTCTGGCTTCTTTGAGTGTGTAAACTTGTTTTGACACTGGATGAAATTAATCCAATAGGGTACTTTCGTAGATCCTGAACCGGAAGTACACAGACGCCATGTTGGCGGAAGTAGATCAGAACTTGACATGGGAAAGAGACGATAGTCAAACGTATCGGCCCCACTTGGACATAATCAGTCGTTTCATACTTATTCGCAGTGCATATGTGTTTCGCGAGCAATATTTGTACAGCTCGGCTCTAGTTTAAGATCCGAAGAGAGGTTAGTTTCTGGCCAACTTGGCTTCCGGTTCAGGATCTACGAAAGTACCCTATTATTCCACAGTGGGGACGTTACGCCGTTACGCCTCTGAAATCAGCTCGTTGTATACTTTGCAACAGTTTGAGCGTGTCTCAACTGTTGAGCGCATGCTTAATGTGAAGGAATATTCCTTCATAACAAGAATAATTTCAGTATTTTCACTGGTAAAACTTTTGCGTAGCATTACCCTCTGTTTTCAAGCGTAATCAGTTGACTCTTCTATATAAATGCATGGGGATTTCTAGCCTATGCATAATTTTAAGCGTTACCCGTTGAAGCGTAACTCTAAGCTCGACTCAAGCATAGAGTTATGCTTTAGTTTTACCAGTGTCTCATTGCACGATATTAAGAAAAATCTTCGTAGTTAGAAAAACTACCTTCGTATTGCGCAACGTGAGAGTGGCTTGCGACCGGAACCAGTAGGCTTCCGCACACGCAGCTTGCGCAGTGCATTGAAGAGGAGCCTGAAGACATTTGAGAATAGATGTATTGATTCCTCTCACTCTCAGACCTGTATGGACTTTTTCCGCAGTTCCTTATATCGTTTTTTGAACAACGTAAAATGTACTATTTGCCCTTTAACTATGCACAATTTTGATCGTTATAAAGATAAAATTGTCAATAGATCATGTAGAAATTGAAAAGTACATTGCTAAAGAAAAAAAGTCCGGTCTAATGGACAGGAGATGACTGTCCGGAGTGGCCTGTCCCATGGTGCAGCAGGCGGCCCGAGGGGTCGTCAACTCACGTCGCGCGTGTACGAAGTAATACAGTAACATATTGTAATATACGTCCTGTATTGCCGTTTTTAGGCCGATTTTTCATGCTACCTATGCTCCAAGTAGTCTATTTGGTAATATTTATGGACTTTTGACAGTAATACGAGAGTAATATAAAAGTAATATACAGCCTGTGTACGAAGTAATATGCTAGTTGACGCCCCCTCGAGGCGGCCGAAGTGCCACACTTAATTTTTCTTTTTTTTTTAATCTGGTTCGGCCCGGCCAGTACTCCAACCCCTTCGCGCCACTGGGCGTGGGACTGGGGCGACAGTACCTATGAGGATGAGTAAATACATTATACAATGAACAAAATGGTGCATAGCCAAAGAGACTTCATGGCGAGAGTTGAAAAGTCAACACGAGTCTAGAGTGTGCCGACGCCTTCTAATAAGCGTGCGTTTCTCATTTTCAGAATCGTTTGTCGTGTGCGCTACTACTGGCAGGGTATGGGCCTACTTTCTCCTCGCAGCATGCTGCCTCGTCCTCGTCGGCGTCGCGGTGTTGCCTGTGGCCCTAAGCAGGGCCGCGGCCTCCACCACCCTTGCTCCCGACGACTCATCGCAGGTAAATGAACTGTTCCAGTCACCTCTAATCTAAGTGAGAGACAGAATCGCAAATTGGGACTCAAACCGAACGTGTGACCCCACCAACGGGTAGCTCTCCGAACGGGGATTCCATTGGTGGGGTCACACGCTCGGTTGGAGTCCCGTTCAACGACTCTGGAGCTCAACGCGTGTATAGTTTTGGCCACCTGGGCCGGTCTTCTGGCCCACTGTGTGCTGTGGCCTAGTATTTCACTATTTCGCGTGATCCGAAATGTCTCACGCTTGCAAGTGTGGGACGGGTGTGGTTAGCACTTGCAAGTGGGAGACACTTGGGCTCACGCTGAATAGTGAGACTGTCCCGCACTTAGATTTGCAGTCCAACGGGCCATCGGCAGTGCCCATTGTTACCATCTTGTAGGAATATTGTAAAGCAGGAATCCTTAACAGATGCTTGTTCTTCCAAATACAAATTATACAAACTAGGAAAGTTAATTATCCTTCTAAACAGAATTCATAGTTGTGGGTGATAACATTAACGCTTGCGTTACAATCAACAATTAACCAAACGTTACAATGCCCTTTCGAGGTAAGTCAAGGATCCCTTCTGTAAAGTGATATTGCGCTGTCCCCCTCGAGTAACTGCAAAACAAAGGAACTTTTACCCGAAAGGAGGGACCCTGGTGAAACTTTCAAGTAGTCTTTAAAATAATCCCAGAAAGTTGAAACTTTGCTTAATTATTGGGTTCGTAATGGTGAGTTCCCACAACAAATTAAATCCAAATTGTTGAATGGTCTCTGAGAAGAGTGCCACTTAAGTGTTATTTAGAGCGTTTGGGAAAAATCTTCCTCAGTCTTTCATTGGACAGAAAGTCTTGAAATTTTTCTTGGGTGTGACCCGTTACAAAATTGTACAAATAAGTTCAGTATTATATAATTAAGGGAAGGTGGGGTACAGTGGGACACGAGTACATTGGGACACCTTCAATATTTCCAACTTCCGGTTATGTCAGGTTCTCCGGAAAATTGACCATAATAGAGCGTTATTTGGTTTACTGTTTTCACAACTCGGGGAAAGAACTGGGTCCTTTCTGAATGAGAAACGTGGGTTGGAAGTTCAATTCCACGAAAAACGATGAAAAAGTAGCACGATTTTTGAATTTTGTTTTATTTTTAGCGTCTGAAAAATGCACGTCGGATGATCGAACCGAGGTTAGGAATGTGTTCCCTGGTGCAATGGGCGTCAAAAAGGGACAACGCGCGGAGCTTGGTCTTGAGGTCAAGGGCCACAGACCGAGTTGACGTTTTAAAATGGCTCAGTTAACATTGGGACAGGGTGAGGCTACTGGGCCATGTAGACAGCAGAAATACATGAATCGTACCTACATTGTCTTGTCTCGTCCGAACAAATAAAAGTTATATTATGCATGTGGTCTCTAAAGTCATTACTTCAGGGATTTCTCGAGTAGAGAGGTCGAAAAAACACGAAAAATAGTGCTATTTCATTGAAAGCAGCGTATCTTCCGAACGCTTGGAACCAGAGATCTGAGTCTGCGCTCATTGTATTCAGCATAACTTTTTCTACAATTTGGCGGCCCGAAAAACTAAATGCACGACTTAGATCCAGATTTTTTTCATTGCTGTCCTAATGTGCCCCGGTACTGTCCACATTGGGACAAGTGCAGACTCTACGGAAAATATCTCTCCTGCCTAAAAACGTGTCGAAATGCTTCAGGATATGATAGGCTAGATGTCAATGCACAATTTAGGCCTGCCCCGACCATTATAGCTCGAAAGCCCTCTGACGTAGAGCGCCAAGAAAAAAATCCGTCCCAATGAGCCCCACCTTCCCTTACCTTGACCTTTGTTTGTTCCATGCCATTTCAGGCACCAGTGCTCGGGAATGCGACTTCACTTCAGTCTGGGAACGTGACGGCGTGCGACCGCGTGGACTCCAAGCCAGACGGCAGCAAAGTCTGCACCAGCGCGGTGCGTGCCTGGACGCTGCCGTGCGTGGGCTACATCATCGTCGCTGGCATCGCGGGGTTCTTCGCACTCGCCCTGATAGTGCCTTGCATGCTGGCCGCGGTTGGCTTCGGTGTCATCGGCGTCGCGGCAGGCAGCATTGCAGCGTGCTTTCAGGTACATTGATTTAAATTTTGTCGTAACTTAGCATTACGTCTATTGCAAATTTTTTTAGCGACAAGATTTGTTATGGAACGAACAGTTTGATAAAACCACTCTTGTATTGCAACTAAAGGATAATTTCACGACAAACTTGTAATAACATATCCACAATACACCTAAAAAAACAACAAGTCGTTGACCAACACTAACTGTTGTTGGTCAAGGACAAGTATTTTAAGTTGTAAAAGAGTTTGCAATGTCTGGGACAGATATTGATTCAGTAGTTTTCTTGCTAACTTAACTTTTTGTGGTTCTACTTCCAGCAGTAGTAATCTCCGCATTGCTTAGACCCCATCATTGGATTGCTCTCTGAATGAGGAATCCATTGGTGGGGTCACTCCTTCCGTCCGAGACTCAAGGGCTTGGAATGCGTCTGGGATTATGACCGCCTCCACCGGTCTTCTGGCTCACTGTGCTGCGCCAAGTGCCGTTACATTGTGATTTTTGGGACTTTTTCAGGGAGCCTGTGGGACGCCGCCCTGTTTCCGTTGCATGCAGAGTACAGCGATGCTGGGAGTCCCTCTGCCAGTTCGCGGTTGGATGGGAGCGGTGGGCTTCGTCGCGGGCTGCGTGGCGGGAGCGTACTGGCTTCCTATGTGCTTCACTGATCAGGAAACACCCATCAATGTCTCCGGTTAAGAATGTCATTCCGTTATTTACCTTCTTACTTTTCTATTTAAAGATGTAGTCGTTTTTATTTTATTTGATTGTCATAAGTGTTTCTTCTAATAAAACAGGACAAAGTAAAATGTAACATTTGTGGTCACCTCTTTCTCTCTTTTTGACGAAAATTCAAAGGCATTGACACGACCCTACATGGGTAAGTCCTCTCAATTTCAGCTCTCTAGCACTACCAACATAGGTGCAGGTAGTAACGTAGACTCTTACAAGAACTGAAGATTTTTCTGTGTAATTCGAACAAAGAGCTTAGTAACAGTTGTAGTAACCTACAGACGATGAAGAGTTCTTAGTAACTTATGGCTAGTTTCTTCATGTTACGAACAGATGTCTTAGTATTATGATAGACGTGTATGGGAGCGTTTTAAGAATTAGCTTAGTATCATAACTGAACATCATTTCTCAGTAGGTAATTGGGAGTGAGCATCTGTAGGTGTGTAGATGCATAATGAGTACATCCACTCTTCCTTGTCCTTTGACCCACTGTAAAACCAAACGTGGAAAGCTCCACATTTGAAATGCGGAGGTGTGGAATTTTCAGTCTCCACACTTGGAAGTGTGGAGTATGCAGTCTCCACACTTCTATCTTGGAGCATGGTGGACGTGGACAACTCCACATTCCCAAAAGACTCCACCTTAGACTTGACCGTGGTGCGTCTTATGTCACTTCTTTTACTCTAATAAACAATTGCCGGAGTCCCTAGTAGCAACAATTCCATATAAGCCAGAAAAAAACTAAAACGAATTTTTCAATTTTCTACTTTGACTTATTTTTGGTGCTTTTGTCAAGATTGGGGTCAAGATTATAATTAATGGGATTCATTGTGTCATTGCACAGCAAGAAAACCTAAGCCTTAACTTTTGTTATGACGAGCGTAGTTCTACTACGCTTGAAGAAAGGCGTAAAAGTATGCTTGAGTCCTACCAGTGTACACACTAAATTCTTATGGACTTTTTTATACACAGTTATGCATGCACAGAAACGTCCATATGTTATTTATAATATTATGCGTCACTGTACATTTTAGGCAGGAAGATGCATAAAATGTACACAGTGATGAATAATTTTATACATTCCTTATGGACGTTTCTGCGCATGCATAACTATGGATAAAAAATTCGTCATTATGCATTTAAAAAGTACATTAGAATTTCGTGTGAACGTTTTGGACCATGATGTTTTGACGTGGAATGGCCCCGACGTTCCCCCTCCCTCCCCCACTACCTTCCCCACTCCCGTACCGCACGACGAGTGGAAGTCGAACCGCCAGAAGTAGTAGTTTCTGCCATAGAACAGGCAGAAGGCTACTAAACTAGGTGAGTAGGAGAAGTAGGAGTATACGCTCGCACGCACTTCCACTGCACTTTTCGTCACCAGTCCGAGAGCTCACGTGCCAGCTGGGTCTCGGGAGCTGCAGGGCCACAGCCATCATACAGTGTCAAATTCGTGGGGTGTGGGCACTGCTCTCCGGACGAGTGAAGCAGCCAGAAGTTCGTTTCTCGTCTCTGGCGCAACATCAAAGGTGAGTAAGAAGTGGTGTTACGCTGGAATCCAACGGCTGGGTGCGCGTGGACTGTGGATTAACGTCAGCAAGCATTATGTTCATTCAATGCCTTAGTTTCTGTTGTGCGTTGCACTGAAAGAAAAGGGTTTAATAAATCCTTTATCCCCGAGTGAAGAAGTAATTAAAACGCTCAGAATCAGTAGGTACCTTCCTAGGAGTTCCTGGGTGTTTTTTTTTTCATTACTTTTGTTCTTAAGTCGGCGACGACCGAAAGGGTCCCTTGAACCCATAAATTATCCTCTATCAGTCTCACCTATCCTGTGACAATTTCTCCGAATATCCAAGTGTGTCAGCATGCACAATAGTGGACTTGTCGACCTTGTAACCGGAAGCAACAGTCCCACTGTATAGCTGGACAGTATGATCCCAACACTTGCAGTGGGAAGGAGACGCTTTAAGCGTAACACGGTTTGCCACGCTTGAACTAAGCGTGCACGTTTGATCCCACGCTTGTATAGCGTGTATACCGGTGTTGTACGCTGCAATCATTTTGTACAGCTTACATGCGTGACAGTTTGATCCGACTTACAGAGATGCGCTGTCCGCACAGATTTGTGCGTGCTGCTAGTGTCCTGCTCTCCGCCGGGCGAGGATTGCTGCGACCCTTCTTTCGGATAAGTATCCCTATCACATAGGTGTACTTTCTATGCCACACACACGCCACACCAACTGCTGGCTGGCCGTAGAACTGTAGTGTAGTTATAGGGTTCCAACGCTCTTGTAATCAGACTACAATACCTATCACGACAAGTATTAGACGTAAACACTTTGATCTGCTTTTTGACACCCCACCCCCCGCATGGAACGTAGCGTTACGCTAGCTCCGACCGCCACACCCCGCTGCAGCGTAACGCTCATGAGCGCTACGTTACGCAAGAAGCCTGATCTGAACGCCCCCCTCCCCCTAATTCATTGTTTATCATTGTTCTTAAAATGCGTGTTGCAGATGGAGCTCGACTCTCTACCTGACGATGCGCTGCTCCAAGTACTGCGTTATCTGGATGTGCGTGAGCTGCTGGAGTGTCGCGGCGTCTGCCGCCGGTGGAGAGAGTTGGCGCTGCGCCCATTGCTTTGGCGGGATAAGCGTATCCATAGTAACATGAGGTAAGTCCACTTTTTGCTACACATTCTCCTCTCTACACTGATGAAAATTTTGTCGTAACTTAGCAACATATGTATCGCTAACTTTTTTAGCGACAAGATTTGTTGTGGAACGAATAGCTTGTTAAACTGTAGTCGTATTGGAACTAAGGGATCATTTCACAACGACTAACTTGTAATAATGCACCAACAGTAACACATCAGCGACAAGTATTGAAAGTACAAAAGAAATTTTGTAATGTCTGCGACAATATTCATAGAGTACTTGTGTCGCTAAATTTATTTTGCATGGTCTTTTTTAACAATAGTAATTTTCTTATGACTTGGAAGAACATAATAAATGATTATGCTTTAATATGCTTTAATTGAGCAGATAATTGCAAAAAGATGTTGTTTCCACACAAATTGTATCGTAATGAGTGAAAACAAGAATTTTGTTCTTCAACGACTAAATGTCGCTTCCTAGACTCAACGACATTTGTTTCGCTTTGGTTCATGATGAAATTCTATGTTTTGGAACGACTAAATTTTCACTCATCTGATTGTTTCTGTACAACAATTTTTTAACAGTGTAGGCATTAGGTCACTGCCCTTTGCACTGTAGGAAAAAATTACAGTTAATCCTGTAGTGATTAGTACAGCTGTCAGTGTAGTTCAGAGTACAGGATTTACTGTACTTTTTTTCAGGATCTACTGTAATTTACAGTACCACAGGAGTGGAGTACGGAATATCCTGTACCAGGTACAGTAAATTCTGTAGCCAGGCACAGGAAATCTTGTGTTCTGAACTACAGTAAGTCCCGGCCAAAAAGTGAACGGGATTCACTGTGGATTTTTCGCACAGTGGTGGGCCTAAAAGCCAGCTTTACACCCGTTTTGTTACCGGTAAAGCATTTTGGACGTATTTTTTTTTCACACACTAAATGTTATGTACAATTTTGTACGAGACATCATAGTCTTTTGTGCACACGAAATTTTCGTACAACTTTCATACGAAAAACTGCACATTTTTTTGCCAATTTTTTTCAAAATTGTACAAAAGTTTGTACAAATTTGTACGAAAAGTTCGTGTGCACAAAAAACTGTGATGTCTCGTACAAAATCTGTACAAAAACATTTAGTGTGCACGCGACATTGTACTTATGAAGGGCCAAACAAACCTAAAAAGAATCCTGGCAATTTTTAATCGAGAAATGATTGTACCCTCCAAGTACAGCTGCCGTTTTACAAAGTAAATGGAACCGGCATGACGAGGGCAGTGCAGTCCAGGCGTCGTACTCTACAAATCGAAGAGCGTGCTTTGTGTGCTCTAACTGGAGCATGCCTGCAAGCACGCTCTGGCTAGCGCATGCCTGCCAAGCATGCACTTGCTAGTGCATATATGCCATGTACACGCTTGCAGGCAACTCCCTATCCCCCAAGCACTAGATGCATGCTTCAGTTAGCGTGTACATGACATGTATGCACTAGTAAAAGCATGCTTGCAGGCATGCTCCAGTTTGAGCATACAATGTACGCTCTTCGATTTGTGGAGTAGTTTGTACAGTTCTCGTTGTACTTCTTACAATCTCGGTTGCACCTTTTCTTTTTCCAGTGTTCGTTGTAGTTTTGTTGTACTTTTCACACCTTTCCTTGCAGTTCTGTAAACAACGACTACCTTACAATAATGTTTTACATTGCAGCACCAAGCTTATTGCCATCGCTTTACGTCTCGTGCCACGTTTGCACAGTCTTCGGATAGATCTTCCATTGCACGGCGATGCCTGCGACGTTCTTCTAGTCACACCGACTGCTATTTCCGAGGTCGATCTCAAGTTCGGAGCGAAGGACGATCTGCTTGTTGCGCTGATACTTTCAAGGTACGTACACTCTCAATTGCTCGTACTTTTTTTGTGCATATCTTTTGCAGAGATTTGAGCATGTGCGTGAAACGCTCCAATTCGTGCTAATGCAAACTGTCGTGCTTTGTTACTAACTCGTGCATTCCAAGACGCATGCACCTTTTTGAGGAAAGCTTATGCTCCAAAAACTAGTACTTAGCAATTTAGAGTGTAGAGAAGTCTCAGTGGGAGAATCTTGTAGTGCAAATTTTAAATTTTAGCGGCATTTTGGCGAAGTTTGTCATCCGTTTACCTGATCGGGCCCATATTGGTACCGTTGGGTTCGTCTCAAAATTCCCTTTCGAATGGCGTAAGCGGCATACGTGTAGATCCAAACGCTGAGCTTTTAAGCTGAAAAATGTGTATTTTGCGTAGCCAAAATTGAAGTGCAGAGTTGTTTATTGCGGCCTACAGCTCCTGAGGGAGGGCCACGCGTAGTATTTTCGAATACAAATAGATAGCTCATAAAATGAACTACAATTTGTCGCGTTTGGAGGTGCAGATGTAGATTTATTACTAGGGTAGATAGGCTCGTGAAATATGTCTTCATTTTCATGTTTTTCGCAATTTACTCCTCTAGTAATCAAGCTATACCGAATCCGAGGGTAGATTTGGATTCCTCGTCGCATTTTTCATCAAAACAGCTTTGCTGCATGAAAATCTGACAAAAAGTGGCCATTTCAAGCCATTTCGAAGAAATTCCAATTTTTTTTAAGAATTAAAATTTAAAATGCCGATTCTGACGAAACCACTTCAGACATCGGCCTATAAATTTGTGGGCATGTTCCTGACCACTAGGGCTACCTTCGTGCCAAATTTTGTCGAAATCGTCAAAGGTCACTCAGTCAGATCCGTGTAAATCTTATGTGGAATGACCCCACTGTGTGAAGAACAAAAATAGGAACCAGTTGCGCACCTTCTAGAGCGGCGTCTGTTGTGAACTTCGTGCAGACCTACGCTTGTGACGGATCAGCATGACAGTTTACATTCCGCCGCTAGATAGCGCGCTTCTGGTTCCAGAATTTTTGATTTCTTTTGTTCTTGGCACGGCGATGACTGGGAGGGTTTATTGTTGCTATGTATTAAGTTTGTTATCATGTTTTGCAGGCAGGTCTCTCTTGGACGGTTGAAGAAGGTATCATTGTTCACGCGACACGACATCATCAGGACCTCGAAGCGAGGACTCCGTGCATTGCTCCTGCAGATATGCCAAGCTCCCGGTGAGTTTCACCACTAAATTAGCTTTTTCGTGCATATTTTTGCACAAAATAGAGCTTGCACGCAAATGTATGAATTTGAGCTCAACAACGCACATGGTGCTGCCTAACGGTGCACATTTTCATGCTTAGCTATGCACGAAATCCTCTTTTCAAAACGTCTGCTCAATCCTGCGCAAAGCTATGCACGTAAAAGCTACACAGAATTTGTTGTGTACTTGGAAGGCAATGAGTCCTCGATTTGCCTTTCAAGTTCTTTGTGAATTATTGCAATCAAGTTAACAAGTTGTTAACAAGTTAACACAGGTCACTGAAGAGATGTTGCAATTTATGTGTTAACACAGTTTTCCCGATTTTGGACCTGACTGATCTTGCACTGCACTGTTATACAACGCTCGTACAGGAACAATCAGATTTAGTTGTTCCAAAACATATAATGTCCTCATGAATCGAAGCCAAATCTACAATTTGTCATAGAAGCACTAAATACTTGTTGTCACTTTTAAATATCAACATATTTGCTACTATCTGCTCCATTAAAATAAATGATGAATATTATTGGAATTATCATCTATTTTGTTCCTCCATGTCATAGGGAGAGATAACTGTCATTATAAGCAGAACCATGTCAAATAACGTTAAGGACAAAATCAAAATTTTTCGCAGACATTGAAACATTGTTTTTGACTTCAAGTACTTGTCGTTGACTGCCACATTTGTTGTAGGTCAACAACTTGTTTTTGAAGGTGGACAGTTATCATGTTATTACGTGTTTGTAGGGGTGTGCGAATTGTTCGAAATCGAATCGAATCGAATCTGCATAGTTTCGATTCGATTCGCTCACGGACTCGCCGATTCGATACCGAAAGGTTCGAAAAATCGAATAAACACGTTTCGTCTTCGAATCAATCGTCCTTCGCCCAGCCATTTGGACTTGCGCGCCTCTCCATGCCTGTGGAGTTTCTCATAAGGGTCGCTAACTTTCTGATACCTAGCCCGCGTTTTGGCATTCCACACGGCAAAAGTACCGCCTGGGATTCCCAGACGCATCATGGGGAAAAGGGCCTACTTTCCAGGCACCGCCTGGGAATCCCAGGCGGTACTTTTGCCGTGCACCTTCCCTCCCCTCTCCCCTCCTCTTTACTAAACTGACAAAAAAAACATCCCCAAGGCATTACGCCACATTTTAGAAAAGCATTTAAAATTTGGCAATATTCGGATTCGATTCGAAAATTTCGTGCAGATGTTCGGATTCGATTCGATTCGGGGAAAAATTGCGGATTCGATTCGATTCGATTCGGGACATTTTGACGGAGATTCGATTCGATTCGAAGACAAAATTCACGATTCGCACACCCCTACGTGTTTGTTGTTGTGAAATTATCCTTGACTTTGATTTAACAAGCTATTCATTCCAAAACTAATATGGAAATATGGAAAAATAATTAGCAATAGATGTGTCGCTAAGTCATGACAAAATTTTTATCAGTGTGAACCGATTCCAGCCGTTGATGGTTTTCTTTATGTTTCAGAAAGCAGACTGATAGTACGCAATATTATGCCAGAAAATTAATTTTGATCCCCTTGTGTTGTTTCTTTTGTGCAGGATTGCAATCATTGAGCTTGTGTTTGAACGTGCACTCGGACGATGAAGAAGTTCTGAATGTCATCAAAGCGAAGGTGCCTGTGCCAGCGTCTCTCAAACAGCTCAGTTGCTTTGGAAGCTTGAAACCTTACCTGGAGCTGCTTATGGAATGGCATGCGAATACTTTAGAAGTAAGTTTTCTGTTGTTCCTTGTTCCAATTCTGTCTTTTCGACGGAAGCAGAGCTTAAACTGGTCTTGAATACGATGCATTTACATTTTTTCATGTCGGGTGCCTATCTAATAACTGTGACAGTAAGGTGCGTCATTCTTCGTTACTTTAGTAACAGTTTTACCCGTACTTACAAGTGCAGTATTGACTTCATCTAAGCACAGTGTTCACCGTACTTGCCCTTGTTGGAAGACAGTCATTGCTTTACAGCACAGTCAATCTGGACGATTTTCAAAATTAATTCAAACTCCTTTGAATGGAATCCATGACCACATCTTTACAATGCAGTCTACAAACTATGGTAGACGCCGTACTAACGTGCGTTAAACGCCTTACTTCCAAGTACGGTTAAAAGCAAATTTGCCAATCGGAATTCTGGGAGAATGGTGACGGCATGAGAGTTAAACGTTTCCCGAGGAAATTTCCCTCTCAACTATTCTCAAGCATAGTTTTTCTTAGATTGTTCTTTGTAATGTTGAAATGCAACTTCTCTCTTGTTTAAAAAGTGTTGAGACCACGTAAAATGTACCATGTTTTCTCCATTCACAATTTTCCTAAAAGATTTTAATGTCTCAGGGAGCAATACACTGAAAATGGCCAAAAACTGACTTGTGCGATTGCTCCCATACGCGTTGTTGAGCGTTGTTCAAACTTTTCATGTGTCAAGACCTTACAAAATGAAGCATTTTAAGCCCAGCAGGGCATCGATCGGACGTCAGGGAGCGGAGCAGCGCCCAATCAAATTTTCGTCAAAAGTCGAACTGGCGGGCTTCCCTCAGTCCGCAAAAATGAAGATATCTGAACCCCGTTTGCGCCAAAATGTAGGTAATTGAAGCGGCTATAGCGCAAACTAGGATTATGAACATCGAGCAACCGAAAGTACAAAATTTCATCCAAAAACACTTTTTGACGATTTTCCAAAAACTATCAAAACAGGTTTTTTCGTAAAATTTTGTACCTTTGATTGTTCGATGTTCATAATCCTAGTTTGCGCTAAAGCCGCTTTAATTACCTACATTTTGGCGCAAACGGGGTCGAGATATCTTCATTTTTGCGGACTGAGGGACGCCCGCCAGTTCGATTTTTGACGAAAATTTGATTGGGCGCTGCTCTGCTCCCTGACGTCCGATCGACGCTATTCTGGGCTTAAAATGCTTCATTTTGTAAGGTCTTGACACATGAAAAGATTGAACAACGCACAACAACGCGTATGGAAGCAATCGCACAAGTCGGTTTTTGGCCATTTTCAGTGTATTGCCTTCTTACCACCGTAGATCATGAAGAAAATCGTTCAAAGTGAAAGGGAAAAAGTAGTCATTATATTTGGAAAGGGATGAAACGTTAACACGAGGCTGGAAGTGTAACTTAGTCCGAATTTCGCCGTTCTTCACTGAGAATGAAACCGGATTGAACCCTGAGATTCCGAACTGGACACTTCAATAAAATTTCAACGGAGCCACTCCTTGTTGCAGGTCGTGAGCCTCTCCTCCGACGGGCCGCGATTGACGTCCCTGCTCGCCGCCATGCCACGCCTGCGCAAGCTGAAGTGCCCCATGCTGCCGGACATGCAGTTGCTTCGGCAGTGCCTGTCCTTGACGCACCTGGAGCTCAACCTCACTGACCTCGACGACGAGGTGGTGGAGGCCGGCCTGCCGGGGGCACGGCTCTTGCTCTGCTCGGCGGCCGCGCACCTGGAGCACCTCGAGATCATGTACAACCCGTACTCGTCCCCGGACGTCGTGGACCTGCTGCTCAGCGTAGGCAGGCGGTCGGGAGATACCGCGCTGCGCAGCCTCCGGTTAACGATCTCTCAGTGGGACTGGGAGTTCCGTTGCCGTGAGTCCTTCGACGAGGACGAGTCCGAGAGCCCTCCGCCGCAGCTGGTCCCTCTGGCCGCCATCCTGCCGAGGCTGCCGCTTCTCACCGTTCTGGACATCGACACCGAGGCCTCGGACGCCTTCCTGGACGCGCTGGACGGCCAGGTCAGTCGGCCGGAAGAACGGTGGAGGCGGCCAAAACTCAAGACACGTTTTGAGCTCCGCAGAGTCGCTTCTCAGGGCCCGAACCGAGCGTGTGACCCTACCAATGGATTGCTCCCCGAACGAGGAATCCACTGATAGGGTCACATGTTCGGTTCGAGTCCCATTCAGCGCTCTGGAGCTGAAAACGCGTTGGGGATTTTGACTACCTCCAATAAACTGAGAATGAAAGAGTCACCATCTCGCCCTTTCATTGGGTGACGCACGCATCGTCGCTGAAATTTGGGTGACGAGCCAGCCATGACTTTAGTTTGGGCAGTCAAAAATTCATCGCCCAAATTTGGGTGACGTCGTTGGCCACGCCTTTTGGGGCCACCACGATGACCGCCATGTGGCGTCGAGGCCTCCCGAAGCCCAACGCCGAAGTCAGTCCCGTTCTACGCCCAGTACTTACTGTTAACTGTGCAGGTGGTGCCCAAACTGGAGCGGCTGGACATCCGCACGCCACGCGACGGCGACTGCGACCACTCCTGGCTCCACGTCGAGGAAGAACGGATGCGGCGAGTCATGAAGAGGTACCCGCGCCTGCACGTCTTCATCAAGGACGTCGATAAGACCATCTGCAGGCAAGGGGACTGCGGTTTCTGCAAGGCCAACTCCTGCCATGCCGACATGCCAGACGGCCGGCCCTGCCTGCTGCGCAGCCACAGGGGTACTGGCTGCGGTGTGAGTCACGTGCACTACACACATAGTCCGCACTGGTCCGGTTTTGAAATTTACATCGACACTAGTAGTGGATAACGTAGCCAGCTGATCGCCCATTGTTAATGTTTTCTTTGCATAGTCACACTAAAATGCTAATGGTATTCGTCACAGTCCAGGGTCTGGTTTGTGATAAGCTAATTATGGCAGATCTCATCAACTTAAGTCATAAAAATTTTGTTGCATAGTCACGAAAATTTTATTAACATTGTCAAGAGAATTAAGAATTACATTTTTCTGGCTGTTGGTAATGGTTTTTGATGAGGTAGTTTAATGCCTCGGTTTGATTAGTTGCATACAGTACAGATTTCGTCCATTGTTTTAATTTAGGTTTGTTTAATCCATAATGTAGTAGTTTTTATCGGCGTGCCATTTATACTTATTTTTGTTGAAAATAAGTCACCCACTGTGATAACCGCCATGTGCGGTTTTGTACTAGTCTGCAGTAAGTTAGAAGTTTAATTCATTTCTGTTGATATTTCAACTCCTGTGCTGTGTTTTCTCACTCTGTGTGGTGGAGATTGTAAGTGCAATGATAAATAAATTGGTGCCCTTCAAGAGGTAAAGTAACTTCTACTGGTGGTTCGTTCCTTGTATGTCAATCAGGATCATAACACAGTAGCTTGCAAACACACAAGACGCTCGCTGAATGCACACACTAAATGTCATGGGACTTTTTTTGTCCCACGATTTATGCAATTTTAAGCACATCCGACGCTGATACAAATTTGTTCCCGCCTGGCGACACATTTTGTCCGACGGACGCCTGCTGCAAATTGTACTTTCACTAGACAATTTGTCCCGCCTGGCGAACACAAAATTGCATCACCACCGGATGTGCTTAAAATTGCATCATTCATGGGACAAAAAAAGTCCCATGACATATAGTCTGCAGAGGCAGTGCTGATGTCAAACAGTGTGGACCAAAATCGAGGGGTGAATCACTAGTGTACTCATGTGTACAAATTTGCCCGTACTCAGTGTACTCACAAGTTCAAAAAAGGCGAAATTCTCTAGTTTTTTTAAAATTGATTTAACGTCGAGTGCCGTTAAAAACGCTACATAAAGCCTTAAAACGTTTAAATTTGTGAAATTTATGAGTAGAGCAAAATGTACTCACTCGTACTCATGTGTACACCAGAACGCTGAGTGATTCGCCCCTCGACCAAAATAAACGCCCGCAGAATGATTAGGTAAAATGTAGCAAACACTGCGACAGCGCCACCGGGGGCTCACATTGACACTTGAAGGAATTGAGTCAAAATAATTTGGTGTATAACCATTCACAGGCACAATAATACAATTTAAAAAAACTCAATTTAGCACACACTAAATTCTTATTGACTTTTTTATGCATAGTTATGCATGCACAGATACGTCCATCTGATATGTAAAACATTATGCGTCACTGTACATTTTATGCAGGAAGATGCATAAAATGTACACAGTGATGCGTAATTTTATACATTCCTTAAGGACGTTTCTGCGCATGCATGTCTATGGATAAAAAATGCGCCATTATGCATTTAAAAAGTACATAAGAATTTAGTGTGTACGTTTCGGACCATGATGTTTTGACGTGGAATGGCCTGAACGTTCCCCCCTCCCTCCCCCCACTACCTTCCCCCACTCCCGTACCGCAACGTTACGCAGTGAAGATCCTAGGAAGATCGCTCGCACGCACCTCCACTGCACTTTTCGTCACCAGTCCGAGTACTCACGTGCCAGCTAGGTCTCGGGAGCTGCAGGGCCACAACCATCATAGAGTGACAGATTCGCGTGGTGTGGGCATCGCTCTTAACACGAGTGAAGCAGCCAGAAGTTCGTTTCACGTCGCTGGCGTAACGTCAAAGGTGAGTACGAAATGGTGTTACGCTGGAACCCATAGCGGCTCGGTACGCGTGCACTGTGGATTAATTAACGTCAGCAAGCAATATGTTCATTCAATGCCTTAGTTTCTGCTATGTTGCACTGAACAATAGTTTTTAATAAATCCTTTGTCCCAGAGTGAAGAACAGAAGTAAGACAAAAGCTTGGAACCAGTAGGTACCTTCCTAGTGGTTCCTGTCTGTTTTATTCATTTCCTTTGTTCTTTACTCGGCAACGACCGAAAGGGTCCCTTGAACCTGTAAATTATCCTGTATCAGTTTCACCTATCCTGTTACAATTTCTGCTCAACGTGTCCTTTGGTATGGTATAGGGCAATTAACGTGCTGACAACCCTTCTTCCCCGGATAGCAAGTGTTCATCCCCACAATCCTTAGTGACGTCTACTCTACAAACTGAAGTGTGTACTCAGTATGCATCTACAGATGCATACTTATAAGTACACACCTACAGATGCATACCTAGCTAAGTACACATCTATAGATGCTTACTTGGCTGAGAGTACACATCTACAGATGCATACTTGACAGGTATGCATCTGTAGATGTGTACTCAGCCAAGTATGCATTTGCAGATGTGTACTTGATACCGGGCATTTCTATGGTGACAAGTACACACCTACTAATGCATACTTGCCAAGTACGCACCCACAGATGCATACTTAACAGGTATGCATCTGTAGATGTGTACTCAGCTAGGTATGCAGCTGTAGGTGTGTACTATAAGTATGCATCTGTAGATGCATACTCACACTAAATTCAGGGTTTTTTGCACCCAGGCCCAGCCCCCTTTTAAGCAAATAACGGGGGTTTAAAACAATTTTTGCCCCCCCCGCGGAACATAGCGTGAAGTTTCGCTTAGCTGGCCCCCTCAAAAATTGCAAAGACGGGAACACAAATTTATCAAACGTTTGCAATTGCAAAAAAATTTCTTTGCAACCCTGGACAAAAACGTTTCCCGTTGAAATTTTTCTTGACTTACAACTTAGTTTTTTTTTTAATGCCAAGAAAAAACCGCCAGGGACCTTGAATTCGGGAACGCTTTTACGTTAATACTTTTCTTTTCTTTTTTGACACCCCACCCCCCGCATGGAACGTAGCGTGCGTTACGCTAGCTCGGACCGCACTCAAAGAACCTTGCAAAGTATTCTCCGGCATTGTATTGCAAGCTCTCTTACAAACTATTTATGGCGAAGTATTTCTTCGAACTTAAAAAAAAAAATGCTTTGAATTTAAAACCAAACCCCGAGCTTGCAAATTTTTTCTTGAACCGCATTTTTTTTGTGCAAGAAAAAATTAAAGGGATTTGAATACAACCAGAATTTTTTTACTAAAGTATTTTCTTTGAATTTTTTCTAGTGGAACCCCGCTGAGGTCCCTATGGGGTAGTTTGAAAAACCCTATCAAACCCCCCCCCCCCTAAATTTTTGTTTTTTAAAAAAGGGCTTTTGGAGTAACCTCTATAATCCGTAATACTTTATCTTGAAAACGCTGGAGAGTCGCGCTCGCCGACTAAAAATTTGGGTCCCCATTGTTTTGGCAAGCCTTTCATTTTTTCATGGGAAGTATTTCCAACCCCCCCAGAAACCCAAACGTCAACCCCCTTTCCCAGCTTGCAACCTTTTTCGGGATTCAAATGAAATTTAAGAAAAATTGCAGGGGGGATATCCAGTGCTTGACCAAGTTTTTTCCAATTTTGGGAATCCACTCGGGCTAACCCCCCCATGCGTGGTCCCAACCTAAACTACCCCCCTTAATTATTTTAAAAATTTTTTTTTTAAAACCCTGGGTTATTTAATTTAAAAAACCCCAAACCCCAAATTTCTAGTTATCGGGGGTTTTTAGGTGACCCTGGAATTGGCGCTCCCGGGGGGTTTTTTTTTTCTAAATTTTCCCCAAAGAATTCATTTTAAGAATTTTATTAAAAAAACCATTCCTTTTAACCAACGCTAAAATTTTTTAAAAACAGGGATTACTTAGGGCCCTTGGTCATGGATTTGGGTTTGAAATTTGTTCCAAAAAAAAAAGGTGCAAAACCAATATGAATAGGGGCAACCTCGAAAAATTTAGGTTTAGCCAAATCTCAAGGTTGGGAAGGGGGGGTTTCCCCTTTTTTTAAAAAAAATTTTAACTTTTTTTTCCCCAATTTTTTGGGGGATTTCAACTTCAACAAATGTCCAAATTCAATTGTATCGTCAAAACAGGTACCAAAAGTATTGCCTTTGGATTTGCAGTGTAGGTTAAAGGCGGGGAAGAACTCTGAACACCCCATATTTTACTCCAAATGCTGTATGAACAGGCTTTACAAACTGACATGGAATGAACTGCTGATGCCTCTGAACAACTTTTGATGGTTGTTATGCCTGTGCATTCTGTAATTTTGGAATAGTATGGGGTGTTCAGTTCTTCCCCTGTCCGGTTCTTCCCCTCCCTGACCTCACAATAAAGTTTTACATTGCAGCACCGAGCTTATTGCCATCGCTTTCCGTCTCGTGCCACGTTTGCACAATCTTCGGATGAATCTTTCATTTCACGGCGATGTCTGCGACGTTCTTCTAGTCACACCGACTGCCATTTCCGAGGTCACTCTCGTGTTCGAAGCGAAGGACGCCCTGCTTGTTGCGCTGATACTTTCAAGGTACTTTCACTCTAAATTGCTTGTACTTTTTTTTGTGCACAGCTTTTTCACAGAATAGACCTTGCGCGTGAAACACTCGAATTCGTGCTCAACAACGCCAACTTCCGTGCTAAGTTGCGCACAAATTCGAGCATTCTAAGATGATATACGCACCACTTTGAGGAAAGTTAATGCTCCAAAAACTACATAGCAATTCAGTGTGTAGATGGGCGACTTGGTGAAGTGACCATGACCTTGGAAGTGCTCCACTGTCGCGATTTTCATTTACTTCCTGTAGATGTATTGATTTAATTTTTTACATGACCGAACACAATTTCGTGCATGCGATATTTTTTTCGCAAATTGGTACGCTCAGTAACACTAATTCGTGCGAAATTTCGTGCAAACTTGTAGGCACGTATGCTCTTAATTGCGTGCGGCTGCTTGCCAAAATTGTTGCAATGTTGTAAGTGTGTTAATCACGTTTCGCAGGCAAGCCTCTCTTGGACGGTTGAAGAAGGTATCGTTGAGCGTGAAAGATGACATCCTCAGGACCTCGCACCGAGGACTCCGTGCATTGCTCCTGCAGATATGCCAAGCTCTCGGTGAGTGCACCTTTAAGTTACTATTTGTAGTTTATTCGTGCATAGCTTTGCACAAAATAGAGCTTGCGCGTGAAATGTACGAATTTTTGCGCTACAACACACGTGGTGCTGCATAACAGTGCTTGTTTTCATGCTTAGCTCTGCACGAAATCCTCGTCTTCAAAATGCCTGCTCAATTCTGCGCAAGGCTATGCACAAATTAGCTACACAGTACGTTATTGTGCAGTTGGTAGGTTCTTGATTCGCCTTTATAGTTTTTAGTGCATTATTGCAGTTGTTAACAAGTTTACACTGGACTAACTGAAGCGTAGTCGCAATTTAGGTTTTACCAGAGTTTTTCCAATTTTGAACGTGACTGATCTTGCATGACTGTCTTAGAATGGATGTACAGATACAATCAGATGAGTGAAAATTTAGTTGTTCCAAAACATTGTATGTCATTATGACTCAAAGCCGAATAAATGTCGTTGAATCTGGAAAGGAACAATTTGTCGTAGAAGCACAAAATACTTGTTGTCACTCTAAATGACAGCATATTCGCTATTATCTGCTCCATTAAAATAAATGGAGAATATTATTGGAATCCTCATATATTTTGTTCCTCTAAGTCATAGGGAGATATAACTATCATTAGAAGTAGAACCATGACAAATATAGTTGGGGACAGAAGCACTCAATCCATATTTGTCGTAGACATTGCAAAATCGTTTTTGACTTACACTACTTGTCACTGACTAGCTATATTTGTCATAGGTCAACGATTTGTTTTTTGAAAGGTGGACTGTTAACATGTTATTACATGTTTGTTGTTGTTGAATTTTCCTTAAGTTGCAATGTCACTAAGTTTCAACAAAACTTTTTATGAGCGTTAACCGATTCCAGCTGTTGATGGTTTCCTTTATGTTTCAGGAAGCAGAGTTATATTATGTAATATTGTGCCCGGAAATTAATTTTGATCCCCCTTTGTGTTGTTTCTTTTCTGCAGGATTGCAATCAATGAGCTTGAGTTTGAACGTGGACGATGAGGAAGTTCTGGATGTCATCGAAGCGAAGGTGCCTGTGCCAGCGTCTCTGAAACAACTCAATTGCCGGGCACGCTTGGAACCATACTTGGAGCTGCTTATGGAATGGCATACAAATACACTGGAAGTAAGTTTTCTTGTTCCTGATTCCGATTCTCTCTTTTCGATGGACGCAGAGCCTAAACTGGTCTTGAACACAATTAATTTACATTTTTGATGTCGGGTGCCTACCAATAATATTGATGATAAGGTGTGTTATTCACCGTGAATTTAGTAACAGGATTTACCCGTACTTACAAGAACAGTATTGACTTTATCTGGAAGTACAGTGTTTACCATACTTTATGCAGCGCACTTGTTGTTTCTTTCACTTGCAAGTTCTAGGGTAAACTACCCCTTAAACCAGTGTGAGACCGCGAAGCATTTTAGCTTATTAAAATTCTGGGAGCACGGTGAAGGCATGACAGTCAAAACGTTTTACAAGGAAATTTTCTACATGATGAAGGAAATGGGTCAAACATAGTTTTTCTTTGTTACGTAGGTTTTTCTTCGTAACGTTGAAATGCTAATTCAAAATGATTTGCTTATTTATGGTGGAGTTGCGCTTCGTATTACGCTTGTGCCTAGTTATTAACTGTGAACTCTCAGCAGATCCATTTGGACTGTTTTTTCCAGTTTTTTCTCTTGCTAAAACAAGGTCTGCTGAGCCCACGTCAAATGAACTATTTTCTCTTAATGCACAATTTGGTAAAAGATATAAGTTTCTCATAATATCATGCAGGAAGTAAATACAATGTGCAATTCACCAAAGGTCAGGTTTTATTGACTGAACACTGTACACTCTGAAAACCTTACGAAGTATTTTGAGCATACATATAACAAACTAAGATACTTTGTTATAGGAAGTAATAGTTCGTAAATTACGTAGTATTTTCTTTGTAAGCTTATGTGTGCTCAAAATACTTTGTTATACAAACTACTTTTCTTTGCAAGGCCCAAAATAGTTTGTAAGGTTTTCTCAGTGTAGATAACAAACAAAATCGATCAAAATTAAAGGGAAAATTGTAGAAATCATATTTGGAAAGAGATAAAAAGTTAACACGAGGCTGCTAGTGTAACTTGGCTCAAATTTCACCGTATGTCACTGAGAATAAAACCGGTTTCAACCTCGAGATTCCGAACTGGGCACTTGACGCAAATTTTAACGGAGCCACTCCTTGTTGCAGGACGTGAGCCTCTCGTCCGACGGCCCGCGAATGACGTCCCTGCTCGCCGCCATGCCGCGCCTGCGCAAGCTGACCTGCCCCATGCTGACGGACATGCAGTTGCTTCGGCAGTGCCGGTCCTTGACGTACCTGAAGCTCAACCTAACCCCCCCGAGCGGAGGGGGACTGGTCCGGGGCGCGTCTTCTGGTCCGGGGCCCGGGA